GCCAGCATGCTCACTGCCCAGCCAAATGCCGAACGACATTACACTCAGATATGAGTCCGGAGTACTCCGGTTTTCAACATTTAGGACCAATGTCACCCTGTCAACAGGCTGCGGAATGAGAGCCCTGCAAATGGAGCCGGGCCACTTTACGGGGGATTGTATATTTTAGTGCTTTATTTAGCTTTTTGTAGTGTATTCTCAAGGGTTCCTTCATGGAGAAGTCCAACTTGCCGACGAAAGGTGGAGGCGTTGGTGGCCCCAATTTTCCAATACTAATATATGGCTTTCTTATAGCGCAAGCATGAGTTCATGACGTCGAGTGGGTTGACTACTAGTAGCTTTTTCGGAGCTGTCGGCTATTGTGATGACCCTAAACCAGTACAATAAAGAGTATGGGAAACATATCCGAACGCATCAAATTCTGTTTACATCTCTTTTGGTCCCCGAGATTTTTCAAAATGCAACGCTATAGCTTCTCCAACCCCTCAAAATCGCGGCACGTGGGCAGGTATGAAACCTGGCTGACATGTTAGAATAGCTGATTCTGATCCCAATTTTTGTGGGGTGAGGAGACATGTAGCTGCGTACATTGGTTGCTGGTTCCGGTGGGACTGAATTACCATTGTGGGGTTTCGCGGGTGGTCCACGCCCAGCTCGCGGGGGAGAGAACTATCTGCCGAAATACGAACCAAGTGTGAAGACGGCGGATAGGGTCCAGATTTCCTACATCATTATTACTTGACCAGAGGCAAGCAGAGTATGTAGCATCCACTCCAACAAGGAGACTTTTCGAATGGGCAATGGACCGGATTCCCTGAATTTTCTTGGAAGTTTGGCGAGAAAGCTCAAGACTCCGCCCCAACAACAATCGTAGCTAAAAATAATACAAACCCATTTTGAGCGATTCTGCTGATGGTTTGTTTCTTAGAGTCGTCACAGTCAGGAAGGGGAAAAGAATGCAAAGGTAAAGCCAATTCCCGTCGTTCCACCCAGCGCATGCTTTTCACATGTCGTATTCCGCCGAAAGACATTGACATTCGACCTTCCCATCAGTCTTCCGGCTGGAAATCATGTAATGATTATGGGTAAGTTCGTCAGCTGAGCATCACAGATTTAAAAAAGCATTCCAAGCATAAATATATATTGTCTCCTTCTATAAATACAAATGATGTCCTTCCTGCTCCTCCCCTAATACCTAGTAACAACTCTCAGGAATCATTTTTAGCGGCCTTTGGGGCAGGCTTGGTTGGCTCCTTCTGGAATGAAGGCGGGGGAGCAGTTGAAAGGAGGCCCTTCAAGGATTGATGGACATAATCTCGGATCTGTCGCAAGGCGGAAAAATATTTCGGTTAGCCAACGACGGACGAAGGACTGGGAAATAAATGGGGGATGCGTAGGGGACTGGAAATGATATGCGTGACGGAAATTTAAAGATGGAATTGCCGAGAGCAAGACTAACCGGTTGGAATGGGTTTGCCTTTTCCTCCAAGTCCAGGAACAATACACAATATACCATAACCCCTATTCGGGCCCCGCAAAGTTGTCGGTTAGTATACACAATCTACAGGCTTACTTCCTATGATTGTAAAAGGAAGGACCTGAGAGTCTTTCTTGCGCTTGGATTTGAGGGGAGGTGAACATACAGCCAATAGCCGCCCACTGTACCAACTTTGTCCACTTAGTCCATGTAGGGCGTGCCCATTTCAGTTTCGCCCGCCTCCTGTATTTCCGCTCTAATCTGAACTGCTGCTTTTGCGATAATTTCGAAACATCTGGTGGCCATATTCGTTTTGCGCGATGTGGATTTATGTATACCGTTGACGGATTTTCGCTTTTGCTGCTGCTGCTGCTGCTGGTGTCGATGCTTGTGTGTGTTGCGTGGCAGTCAGCATCAGGGCGATTAGAGGATCCGAGTGAGGGTGAAGTCGGAGCTGAGGTATTAAATGCGCATTTTTGTACCGTACGGAGAGTCGAGGGCATGGTGGAGGAGACAGAAGCGGGAGCGGGCCGAGTGGGATGTGAACGGCATAGGCACGGCATCGAGAGATAGTAGCTCTGCAAGTGAGCGAATTAGTTTCAACTATTTAAAACGAATATCCAAGTTAGGTCATGATTAGACCATACCGCACTGTTATTGGGAAGGGGGCGGCTCCATCTTGAGATATTAAATGCTGTCGCAAAGCTCGACGTAGCTCGGATCGTTAAACCCGGTGATCTTGGAGGTGACATTGCACAATTATATCTCCCGATTGACAACTAGAACGCGAAAGGTCTTCAGGCAAAACGTAGATGCGGAAAAGAAAATATCATAGCGAGTGGTTGTATAGTATTCAGGGCAAAAAAAAGGAATTGCAGTTGGTTTGGAGTCTTGGCAAACTTATTCGACCTCCTATCGGGCCGTGAAGAACAACAATTGTATGTAGTTTCCTTACAAAATGATAGATTTAATTAATAACAACCTAATAACCCCATTTGATGTGCATATGCCTCTTGGTAGATATCTTTTGCAATTGTATATCATTGCCCATGAATTTTGCTCACTCCACAGCCGTGAGCATGGTGTTTTTTGATATTATCTACACAAAAATAAGTTTCTCATGTAGGCCCTCCCCTGCGTCCTCTTCTTTACGCGAGATGCTCCGTATAGATAACAAAAACTCCATAATTTGCGTCAAGAGAAGGCACTGTGGGTGTATGTAACATGCAACTGTGACGATGAATGATGCGACGTGATAGGGTCGCTACTATTCTGCTTCTCCCTCATCGTAGGACCTTAACTACTAGTAGACATGTACGTGACAGGGCACCAGCTTAAATCAGTTAAGAAAGGCGGATCCTATAAAAGAAGTATTCTTGAGTACGGAGTATTGCTGGAAACCTGCGTAGTGTACAGAGTATATATGCGCTCTTTAAAATGTACCGTACGTACGGGATCCCGGATATGCCCCACTCTTTGGTACTCTATTGAAGGTAAACCGAGTTTGCAGATCAATCTAATTTCCTCAATCTCAGGAAATCCTGGCTGACAGCAAAGAGGAGTTAGTTGTTGTTGTTGTGGAGCCGTAAAAATGGAAACGAGAGCTGGACAAAGTTGTTGTTGCTTCTTGACCAATTCCTAGTTTCACATGTCAATGTCAACTCGTGCTGCCAAGCCACGATCATGGGTCACGTGTTGTATAGCTTTCAGGAACAATTATAATCCGACGAGCCTCGGCTTTCGGTGTGATCAAGTGCTCTGGATACTGGATATAAAATAAGCATCCAACTCTCAGCCCTTGTTCTTCCGCTTTTCCTTTTCAATTTCTTCTGGCCCGTCTTCAAATATTTGTATATCCCTACGGTGCTTTATCCATTATCTATCCATTTCCTCCATCTACGTTGACTCTCACCATGTCTCAAGGTATGTGCCATCTGCATAACTAGCATGCACGTCATTACATTCTGCCTCTCAATGCTAACATGTGATTATTCCTTGCAGCAACGCAACGTCTTTCACAGGTCACTTCGCACCTTACCGGCAAGGGCGGAGTCTCCGCTATCACCGCTAAACACCCGGACGACATTGTCGTGACCTGTGCCCTGCGGACAGCCATCACCAAAGGTGGTAAGGGCGGCTTCAAGGACACTGCCGCATCCGACCTGCTGGCCGGTGTATTCAAATCTTTGGTTGAGAAATCCAAGATCGATCCTGCTTTGGTCGAAGATATTGCTGTTGGCTCTGTTTTGCCTCCTGGAGGAGGAGCTACTGAGTTCCGTGCTGCAGCTCTCGTTGCCGGATTCCCCGAAACCGCCGCTGTTCGGTCTCTAAACAGACAGTGCTCGAGCGGGCTCCAGGCAATTGTCGATATTGCCAATGCCATCAAGTGCGGGATGATTGATGTTGGCATCGGCGCTGGCGTCGAGAGCATGTCTCAACAATATGGGTAAGTTACTCCTCTCAGATTGGCAGTGCTGTAATGCGATTCCCTCCAGATGTAATAGAAAGATAAAATTAGCCCCGACTAACCCATCCTCCAGTCCTGGTGCAGTCTCCGAATTCTCCGAACTTCTCGAAAGCAACCAAGAAGCCGCCAATTGCAAAGTGCCTATGGGCATCCTCTCCGAGCAGATGGCCAAGGACCGCAATATCACGCGTGCCGAGCAGGACGCCTTCGCCGCCACCTCTTACCAGAAGGCCGTCAAGGCCCAAGAGGCGGGCCTCTTCAATGAAGAAATCGCCCCACAGACCGTTAAATTCGTCGATCCAAAGACAGAGAAGGAATCGACCATCACCGTCTCTCGCGACGACGGCGTGCGGACGGGCATCACGGCCGAATCGCTCTCCAAGATTCGCCCAGCCTTTGCCAAGGACGGCAGTATACACGCCGGAAACTCCTCGCAGATCTCTGACGGCGCCGCTGCAGTCTTGCTCATGAAGCGCTCTACCGCTGAGCGCCTGGGTCAGCGTATCATTGGCAAGTACGTCACTGCCAGTGTGGTTGGTGTCAAGCCACTGCTGATGGGCATTGGGCCGTGGAAGGCCATCCCCGTCGCGCTAGAGAAGGCGGGTTTGTCCAGGGATGACGTTGATATCTATGAGATCAATGAAGCGTTTGCGTCGCAGTGTGTGTGGTGTGTGAAGGAGCTGGGGTTACCGCTGGAGAAGGTCAATCCGAAAGGTGGTGCTATTGCCTTTGGACACCCGCTTGGCTGCACAGGCTGTAGACAGGTCAGCACGCTCCTGACGGAGCTGAAGAGAACGGGGAAGAGAGTTGGTGTTACTAGCATGTGTGTTGGTACTGGAATGGGTATGGCCGCTGTCTGGGTTGCGGAGTAGGTTTGCTGGTTATAGATGAAAGATAAAACAATGATGGGTATTGGCTGGCGGTCATGCAATCTTCACGGCATTCCAAGTACGTTTTCCTATGTTCATTCATCTTTCCTAGAAATGGTTAGAGCGAAATTGCTCATCATTGGTCGCTCTTGTTTTGCGTTTTTGTCTATTTCATTTCGTTCTTTTTGTCATATAGGTGTTTTACATACTACTGTACAAGTATGACACAGTTATTGCTTTCTTTCATATTTTATGTTCTCGGCTTATATTGGAGACTGCAGACGGCAGTACGGAATAAAATGACCCAGACTGATTAACGCGCTATATCGGAGACGCGGATTATCGAAGAAACCCCACATGCTAGCCCCAATCATCTGGTGAAAGGGCTTCCGAAATGTTCAATATATATATATTTAATATTTACAAGGAACAAAGTAGGCGGGAGCTGTCAGCTAAATAGTTACACCAGAGTAATTACGTCAATTCCATTAAATGCTGCGATGCTTATTAAAGGAATCGAAGACGCTTGCCCCGCTCAATACATCTTCCTTGACCTTCTCATCCGCGGCGGCAAGCTTGGGCACCAAGGCCAGGACTTCGTCGAGGAGTTCAGCGGGAATAACCGCGGCCCCTTCAAGAGGGTCACAAAACGCAATATCGCCCTGGAGATTTGGAAGATATTAGCTAGGGTGGGACTGGGGGGAATTATTACGATTTATTATGACTATTACGGTTTTCCGGAAGGGGGTGAAAGGTATATTTCTTACCGGAGAAACAGTCACTCCACCTATCTTCACCGGCACGTTTCGAGCACCTGGTTTGGCTTCTGCACTCGTGCCAACGGTGGATGTAGCTCGAGCCCAGATCTATTTTGGTTTGCAATTAGCGGTGTCCATATGCTTTTATGATCAGGTTGCCTTAGATGTATGGAGATGAATCTCCAATAATATTTTTTTAAAAAAAATAAAATAAATAAAATAAAATAGAAAAAAGAAAGGAAAGGAAAGAGATTTCAAAGTCAAGACTTTTCTTTTTCGCACTGACTTGTAGCTGTGTACTCCGCAACTCGGCCAAATCCCGCACTCGGCCATCCACAACTACCCCTTTCACTCCTAGGACCTTCATTCGCGCAGCCATTATGCCACCAACGCTGGCACAAAACTGGCCGGCTGGCTGCTCGATGAAGACGACAGTCCCCGGCTGTGAGCAGTCCACCCAATGGTGGCCGGGCGGGATGATACGATCCTTTGATGGTGACGTATCTTCCGGGAGAGGATCATTTTTGGGTATGAATTTGAACGTTGACGCGGGGCCGATTACTTTTGGTTCGTTTTCTAGGTTGATTCGGGATGGGGAGAATGGGACTTTTTTTTTTACAGTTTTGTTAATTCATCCATTCTGATGTATGTATATCACTTAAGGAGCTTTCTATTCTCCCAATTTGGGTTGATCAAGGATAATGCTTGTTGCATTATTTAAAAGAAAACGGGAATGCATTCGATACACCCCGATATCTTCTTCTTCCAAGGTCACTGGAAGCTGGCATGGAATCTGGAAGCATGTGTAGGCAGGCTCACCAATATCAGCAAGAAAACCAGCGCGGGCAGTTTCGCCTGCTGGAACTTTTTGGATTTTCAGAAGAGCATCTGAGACCTGCGGAGAGATGTGAGATTCAATTGCTGTACAATCTGCACCCGATATATCTTGTTCGATTAGGGAGAAACGAAATGACGCACATCGCAAACAGAATACCCCTGCAGAATATTTAGCTTTGCCTCGAGCGATCCTGATGTCATACTGCGCGGCACGGGGGAAGTTGATAGGTTGATATCGTGACTACTTAGTATTCAAGCCAGGGATAATTTGGGAACAAATTCAATGTGGCCGTGGGAAGGTCTTATTGCTATGCCGAAACTTGCTGCCCGTTTCTTTTTTCTTGGGGACATAGTGGGGTATTTTGTATGATGTTGGCCGAAGCAAAGGCGAACCTCCACTTACGGAATCGATCCACTCAAACTGCCGAGATCTGACGCGAAGGGTTTTGTGGAAAGGAAACTGCTGAGCATCTAAGTTAGTGTACTCCGGACTGTGTCATAGGATGCAATCGGTGTTCTGATGCGTTTGATCAAAAGTTGAAGACTTCCACAGGGGCAACTTGTTGATTGCTACATAGTATCCACTGTTTAGTAACGACCCAAGGATATTTTCCTGAATTGCCAACGACACTGTGTAAAGTTCTGTAAGAATAAATCCCCAAAAATCCCCAATGGAGGTTCTGGTCGCCTTTGCGTTCTAAAAGTGCCTGCTCGACCAGCATCCGAAAGTATTCTATGGCAAACCAGAATACGAGACACTCTGAAGCCTGTTGGGCTAGTGCTAGTTTTGTAACTAAGTAACTAGTTATTAGAGTGAATAATGCCCCGCGATATTGAAATCTCGGTTGGCGGCGATTTTCAATTCAACATCCGTATGCTCAAATAATTTACTGAGAAGAAGGCCGACGACTTATTATTAGGGCCTGCGAGACTTAATTCATCGGTATAACATGGCTTCTCAGCACCCTACTTATACTCGCGAACAACTCGCCAAATACCTCAGTTTTACTTTCAGCTGCTCTCCTGACCAAGGCATGGCCAAGTTGGTTGAGCTGGAGGCTCTTGTCCAGAAAGATCCACTGAAGGCATTAACCATGCTCCAACAACGACAGCTCGCGGCCGTACCGTTTTCCAATGTGGTGTTGCATTACTCGCAGCACCAAACCATCTCCCTGGACCCTGACTACCTGTTTCATAAACTTATCGAGCGCGGCCTGGGTGGCTATTGCTTGGAAAACACCGGCCTCCTGGCCATAGTGATACGGTCGCTGGGATATCAGTTTTATACTACCGCAGGAAGAGTGAGCAAATCTTATGATTCGCCTACCAGGGCGGGTCAATTTCATGGATGGTGAGGAACTCCGATACATAGAAGAAGACTCCTTGAGATAGCAGAGACAAAAAGGAGCAGGGGGAAGGAACTGCCAGAAAATATGCCAGGGTCATTGTATGGCGATACAGGAAGCTGACTGGTACCCGCAGGGGCCACATGATACTGGTGGTAACTCTCAACAGCACTAAGTACATCGTAAGCCCTGCTCCTCTGTGTCTGAATCTTTCTGCAGGACATCGCTGAATGGCTGCGGCATAGGTGGATGTTGGATTTGGTCCGAATGGTCCCACCCGTCCTCTGCTATTGGAGGAGGATAAACCCGTCACGTCCTTTGCTCCTGCGCAGATGAGGATGATAAAAGATAATATCAGCCCAAATGTGGACCGAAGCCAGCGACTGTGGATATACCAAACCAAACCAAAGCCAGAAAGCGACTGGAGGGACGCCTATTGTTTCTACGAAGTCGAATTCCTGCCACAAGACTACGAGATCCTGAACTTCTGGACAAGCCAACACCCCACCAGCACATTTAAGCAGAAATTTATCTGCACCAAATTTCTTTTGAATGAAACGGAGGATGATATCATTGGGACCTTGGCGCTAACAGGAGTTGATATGAAACAAAATATCAATGGTAATCTAGAGAAGATCGCGACTCTAAATTCTGAAGCGGATAGAGTTTCTGCATTGGGGAAATGGTTTAATGTACATCTCCATCCAATGGAGGTTCGGGGAATTAAGGGTGGGGTGGCAGAAATTCAGACGTCAATATAAACAAGTCTAAACCACGCAGCCAATTCTCCTGTTCAAATGTAGGAATACAGCTGCTTTTCTTCCTTTGATCTCGCAAAGTTGCAAAGCAAGTGTAGCTATGACACAGTATAAAGGGGGGAAAGTATGTTTTAGTAAAATCGTTTCTCCGTCTGGTCATCAAATCAGCTTTGTAACTCGTAGAAGAGGATCAAACATAGCATCTAGCCCTTACCTTCCATGGGTTGTTAACCTCGAATCCTACTGGCGCCTCATGGCCGTTATTTTGCCCTCTAAATATTCCCGTGATCCGTCGATCCCGTTCCATCACTATAGAATGTCAGTCTTCGATATCCGGCCGCTATTGTGCGAATACGTACTTTGCTGTTCAAAGGTCAGCGGATTATCCAATCAATGGAGCTCGACAAAAAAATACATGCCTTATCCCACATATCAATAGCCCGTCTTGGGTTTTTTCTTTCATTCGAATAGTACTTCACCGTCGACAGCCCGACCCCAGTGACACCGAACATCTAATGGTGGAGAGGTGAGCATCCGTCTTCAGGCAAAGCTGGTAGGGTACATACCACCATGATAATCCCATAAGGGAGAAGGGCCTCGAACGGAACGCCCATAATTGTAGAATACACTTCAAGACGACAGCCAATGATACCTCAAGCCTAGCTCTTCTAAAGAAGCTGCAATTGCACAGAGACACGCGGAATTGCGAAGTTGGTTGCGATGAATTGACGACGGGTTTGGCGGTTGCCAGATGGAGTTTAGCGTTTTACGATCTTGGCGTTCGGTGAGTAAGCAACAATTCACCAACCCAGACCGCACTCCAGCCAGGAGGGGGCTTTTACGTAGAGAATGCATCAGCTGGTGAGAAAGCAGACTGAAGGGACGAGCCAGCTGTAATTGACGCGTCCGTCCGGTAGTTGCCGTAAGTTTTCCTGGGGGCTTTTTCTTTAATGTTCTCTCTCCCCTGTTCCCAGCGCGTTTTCTTGACAATCCCCATCCTACCCCATGAAACTTCAACTAACAAAGACTTTGCGTTGATTTTCAGCTACTTTAATTTAACGACATATACCCTCGATCGCATGGTTGTTTTTGCGCAAACTGGTAGTTTATAGCTCTCGCTGATTCTACCCTACAGTGTTGCTGCAGACATCCGCATCTCCAACCCTTGGGATACAAGCACCTGCCACGGCGAACCTCACATCTTCCCCGAACGATATATAAAGGAACAAGCTGTGCAGTCATCTGCCAACCCGAGCAGAGTGGCCCAATGGTCTAGGCGCATCGTCAATCTGGCGACTGCAGTAGCTTATACCATGGCGGCGACTGTGCCGGCCACTTACGGAAATACCAGCATCGATCGACAGCCAGAACTGGTAGATAGCGACCAAGATGCTGAAGGCGATGAAGATGATGAATTGTATCCAACCCTCACACAATCGGCGACTGTAATACCACAAGAGAATATCGATCCCCCTTTAACGCTTGGAAATGGCGACGAGACAATTGAAGCCAGTGAACGAGAAGAGAATGACGGGGTTGGTGTTGGGGAGGTCCATGAACCTGAGACGAACCATAGGGATGATGTTGCTGATATGGATGAGGATGAGGATGCGGATGCGGATGCTGATGCAGACGAGGACACCGAGGCCATCGGAGCTGTGAAGTTCCCAGATGGCAATGCTAAATCCGATAGCGATGATGAGGACGACGATATTGACGACCCGGATGTTGAATTCGAAAACGAATCCAGCGATGTCAAGGCAGGCTCTGATGGCGAGTCATCCGAAGAGTCGGAAGTAGATGAAGAATGGGAGGCCGAAAGCAACGACGGAGAAGATGCAGACGCAGATGCGTTAAATCCCAACAATTGCATGTAAGTTTTCAAACAGTACATATGAACAAACGAAATAGTCGCTAATTACATATAGAGTCTGTGGACAAGATGAAGAACACGATCCTAGTGAAGAGTTCGAGGAATATTTATCATGTGCCGTTTGTGGTGATCATTGTAAGTTTTGATGAGTTTTAAAATGCTTGGCTCGTTCCCTGACGGAATTGTGGAGTTGAGTCTAATCAATCCATCCTTAGGCCATCGCCAATGTGCGCGAGAACGGGGAACTTTAAATAGCGAAGAAGGTATTTTTCCATATCACTTCTCATTCCCGCTTTCTTAAGTTCCTAGACAAGGCTAACGAACTCGCCAATTTATTAGCTGCTGAAAATTGGAGATGCCCTAGTTGTGTTGAAAACAAGCTAGAGCCTGATAAACACGAAAGGACTCCATCCCGGCGGAGATCAGGCACATCAAACATTGCAATCGATCTACTGCCCGCTCATAGCGAAGCGTTAGGCCCCGAGTCCCACTCTATTTTCAGTTCGTTAATTGTCGATGATGATCCATTGGATGGCTCTAGGTCACTTCGGAAGCGGAGGGCATCCGACGAGGGTCCAGAAGGGAATATGGTTACTCAAAAACGACAAAAGAAAATTCCCGCTAGATTCGAGGGGATGATTCCCACTCCCTTACCAAGGAATATGAAAACAGTACAAGCACTGATCGAACATTCCACCGAGAACAATGTTACTAGCCGCCAGTCAAGACCACGAAGAACGCGGAAAACTGAAAAGGCCCTCTGTAACATTGTTCAACGTCAGGCAGGAAAGATTATTCTTTCATTTCACCTAAACAGTACGAAATTAAATAGAATTTTGAACTCACGGCAAAAGCAAATCTCGAGACGGAGGCCGCCAAAACCACCTCCAGTGGTTGAATCTCCCCAAATTCCTTTCCAACCCATCGCGCCCTCAGCATACAGCGCTCCCTTTTACGCCTTCCATGATCGAGAAAACGATGAGCTCAAATCGAAGCCCTACGGTGGAATATTATCGGAAGCTGATGCTGATACTTCAAGAACACTCCCTCTTGCTGCAGATCGGGAGAAGTTCGAGGCCGCTCGCCAGAAAGCCGAAGAAGAATGGAGACAGAAAATGGCTGCTGCTGATCAGCCTGGAGAATCCGCACCACGTGCAAAAATCTCCGGGCCACCAAGCAAAATAAAGTACATTAGCTTTGGTGGCTATGAGATTGAAACGTGGTATGCTGCGCCTTATCCAGAAGAATACAGTAGAAACAGAGTGCTCTACATTTGCGAATTCTGTCTCAAATATATGAATTCGGATTTTGTTGCCTGGCGCCACAAACTGAAATGCCCAGCGAAACATCCTCCCGGGGACGAAATATACCGAGATGGGTCAGTTTCAGTTTTCGAAGTCGATGGTCGCAAGAATCCAGTATACTGCCAAAACCTTTGCTTGCTTGCGAAATTATTCCTAGGATCCAAAACGCTCTACTACGATGTCGAACCGTTTCTTTTCTATGTCATGACAGAATATGATGAGTTAGGTTGCCACTTCGTTGGCTACTTTAGCAAGGAGAAAAGGCCCAGCTCATCAAATAATGTGTCATGCATCTTAACACTCCCCATTCATCAACGGAAAGGCTACGGGAATCTCCTGATAGATTTCTCCTATCTTCTAACGAGGGTGGAACGGAAAACAGGGTCGCCAGAAAAACCTCTGTCAGATCTGGGTCTGGTATCATACCGCAATTACTGGCGTCTCGTGTTGTCATACCAGCTGCGAAACCAGAAATCTCCTGTGAGTATTGCCGAGCTTTCAGAGCGCACTGGCATGACAGCGGATGATATCGTGTCAGGCTTGGAAGGACTGCGGGCTCTCGTCCGGGATCCCCAGACTAAAACATATGCCCTGCGACTAAATTTCGCCTATTTTGAAGAGTATATTCGAAATTGGGAGAAGAAAAATTATATACGACTCAATCCAAATGCTCTTGTCTGGACTCCTTATGTAATGGGTCGCAGCAATCAGTCACACTATGACCGGGCGCCATTACATACTGTTGCTCCGCGTGATGAGCCCGATGCGGACGACGACATAGAAGGCAACGGCGATAGCAATGTGTATACCAACCGGGCAGAAAATATGAACGGCGATACAAGTAGCATGCAAGATGGATTCGTCAATGGACACAGTCACGCCAGATCTGTATCACCTCCATTTGATCCCCCTGGCCCGCCATCAATGAGTGTGATGCCTTTTGATGGTGCCTCATTGAGGCAAGCCAATGGTGTCAGGACCCCGTCAGTGTCCTCCATGATGCAGAACCCAGCAGCCGGCATTCCACCCACGCGGTTCGAAATATTCCCCCCGATCCCAGGAACGATTACCAAGCGTCGCCCTGGTCGCCCCTTCGGCTCAACTCGTGCTAATAAGTTCAGAGGACGCACCACTACAACCACTGCTCCCACTACGGCACGAACAAGTGGCCGCAGTACTCCAAAGCGAACGGCCAGCCAGGTTACGGGTACTCCGACTCCTTCCAGCAGAACAATTGGTCTCCGAAGAGGGCGAAGTAGTAGGTTCCTTGACCCCAATGATGCTGATGAAGTAATGGGTGACGGTATTGAGAGCAGGGAGGGTGGCGAACTTGAACAGTTGGAAAGTCCGACACTTCAATCTACTGAGGTGGAGGCAGCCAACATGGAGATTGGCGCCAATGCTACACCTGAGTCGCACGCCGCTGCAAGCAATAATGGCAGAGCTACTGGCGCACTTGAGAATGGCAACACAAATATCGACAAAGCTACTTGCGCCGTCCCGCCATCTGGAGACAACAAAGTCAACAAGCACCAAGCCACAGATTTGGATATCGTGGACCATGAAAGGTCGCAGGAAGCCATCCAGGGGCCTGAAAATCACCAATCGATAGATGGCATTGATGAACATACTTGAAAATGTCGTTTGACGTGCTGATTGCTACATGTCTCCTCCCTCGTCGACAATGGCGACTTTCGATCTACACGGACCGGCGAGATATCTAATCTTTTCGAATGTTACAATAGGGGCTGGAGGGGTTTCCACCATTCCCTCTGTTTTCTTGTGGTAAGGTACGATACGGAGTTTTACATTGGTTCATTTGGAGGCTATTATGGGCATGTTCAACGATATTTCATTTCATGTCGTTTATTATACCACAGTTTCTTCCTTTTTTTCCGGCGAACTTCTGATATACACATTCTTTTTTTTTTTCCATCTTCCGGGTTGTTGCACGTAAAAATCATTCAATGGCGTTCTATGTTTGTTAGATTGGCCCCGGTGCGGCTCCATCTCTCTTCTGCCTACAAACTAAAACTTGACCCGACCTTCTTCTCTTATGCATCTTTGATAATATTTTCCCCCCTTTTCTTCCCATATCTTGTAACAGACTCATATCTCATTGTCCTCTTGTACTTTATTATTATGGATATTTTGGTTCGTGGGGTACTTTCGGCCCTGATACCATTTTGGCTCGCTGCTTTTCTTGATTTTTTTGCCCTCCAGGTACACGCAAGACCAACTTTGTGTACTTAATACGCGTTCTGTTAATAAAACAATAAATAGCAAATAGTTGGACCCCACACCTAGGGTGGTAATGTTACCGAGCATTGTTCACAATTCTAACTTCTCGTACCTGCGTCCAGAGCTACCAACATTCCCCAGGGTACCAGGGTTCATGCCTGCGTCTTCCTTATGTCCGTGCGATGCGCAGGGTACCAATCGCAGAAGTTTCTCTCCAACGCTAAAAAGTCCCATCTCTATGCGTGTGCAAGTAACTCCCCCCCCCAATAAATGAAACATTTTGATGAATTTATTATTATCATCCTGCCACCTTGATTAAGACGAGGTGCATATATGGCCATTGGTGGTGGGGGAGGAGGGGTTAAGATTTGGTTTTATGTTTTGTTCCAAGATCTGTGAAGCAGGTTTTTTGGAGATGAGAAGTTGTATATGCTTTTGAATAGTGCCTGCGCCATTGCGGAATAAGTTGGACTGTGGGATCTCATTGCCTCTTCACCTCACACTCCGCTAGCTAAATGTCTGGCATACTTTAGCAAGACCTTATAAAAATTAGCTTCATAAAAAACAGCCACACTGTGTGGTCATTACTACTCCTTTCCGTGGTGATGGGTTATAGAAACCCAGTATGGAAAAAAGCCTTTTTGCCCGGCTCAAGTACTATCAAAAATGGCTGGATGGTGTAGTTGGTTATCACGTATCGCTCACATAATCGGCCGACTCGCGCAAGCGACGTTGACTCATCGCCGAAATGTGCCGATAAGGTCCTGGGATCGAACCCCAGTCTAGTCATGATATTTTTTTCTCTTTGTGGCTCTTCTTCTACTCCTTTTTTTTTTTTTTAAAAAAAATCTCGGTAATTTGGCCTCACATTTCGCGGAAAGAAATGCCGCCTCCATCTTTAGTAAATGTTTCGTAAAATCCGATCTCTCTTTATCGTATATACAAGCGATCATGTAAAGGGAACACAAGTATTTTCTCTCTGTAAATCTGCTCAATTTACTCTCCTCCTCTTCTCCTGTTAACATTTGTACCAGCCAGAAGTATTTAGCGTGCCAGTAAGCGGCCAATGCCATTGCATTTTCTTTGTCTGATATGGTGGGATTAAACGTTGGCGTCTTACATGACGATAGGTTTCATTCTAGGATTGTGAAAAAGGCTATTATAATTATAGGACCATGTCGTGCCTCAAAATTCATCTCAAAAACCTTCGGGCTGTATTATTATTATTAGTATTATCATCTCGAAGTCCACAGCTCGTTTGTCAACCTCAGCATTAGAGCCATGGTTCCAGATTGCTAATTTTCCCTTTGAAGGAGCTTAAAAGCAAGGCTGGTCAAGATGACGGCGAGCTCCACAGAGGGCCTGGGGTGTGTGCGCTAAATTTTAACTCAATTATGGTTTTAAATTTAGTTGGTGGATGCGCACCCCTGGTTGGCCTCGGCTGGAAAGTAACAAAGGTAAACAATTATGATGAGCACAGAGAGAAGAAGCAAAAGGACTGCCAGTGTTAGGGAAATTGCTTTTATTAATAGCTTTCGTTTGTCATCCATTGCTTTGTATTGGTCAATTGATTTTGATTTCTTGAACAATGCTTCTCTTCACGAAAATCGGGCAGAGAGGGGTAATATGTCTGATATTGGTAGATTGCCCAAGGTACCACCCACTACTTTTCTGCTACAAAAAGCACCATGATTGTAGTTGGGTTGTCAATACTGATGGCCTAGTACAGTATGCTCAGTGATGAAATATTTAAGACAGCTTGGTCCATAGAGGAGCATTTGCAGTAAAGATGGGGGCCGGCCAGTATTCGATCTCGTAAATTTTTGTGCACAAAGTTCGCCGGACGAGCGGCTCGGGTCCCCAGATGGAAAATTGGGAATCGCGTACTTATTCTGAGACTGAGAGTGCTCGGGTTTGAATGTGCATCTCTTCTAGCAGGAAGCTGTCGACTTGATATTTGGAAATCAGATAATTTGAGTAATGACAATGTTGCTTTATCGATAACTATGTCCCATGATAGTACTAATAGGTCTCCAGGTCTGGTTGCAAATCTGCAAGTGTTGCGGGTCGATCCCAAGGTTGGGAAGGACCTGTCAGTTGCGAAGGATCCATGGATTCACAGAAGATAGAAACATCCTTAATTATGTAACTAGCCATGGGTCGACGATCAGCCCTTAAGTGTAGATATCTCGTTCGCAGCAGTGGTAACGGAGCCGTTTGAGGAGCTAACAAAATTTTTGAAATTATATCACGACTCTAAAATGAGTTTCCTTTCGACATTGCTTAGCGGTTTGGGCCTGATTGCGAAATCGACATCTGGTGGATTCAAGGAGGGATGGTGGTGAGTTTCACAGCTTGTATTGAGCAACAATGGGCCCGTTTTATTACACGATCTTGTGACTAAAACCGGGAGTATCAATTAAAATCTCATCGAGAATTGTTCTAGGAATGTTAATGACTTCATGAGGTAGGTCAAAGCTGAAAAAGAAAAAAAGAAAAAGAAAAAGTATGGTAGGTAGCCTTTGGGATATATAACCCTCAAGCCTCACCAAGATCCGAGGAACAAATTATTGAAGTGGGTTTGTGCGTAGATGCTGCAACTACCCTACCCCATGCTATATCTTCGGCCCCATCTCTGTCTTATCCAAGAATATATTCTCTTCTTCCATCCACACTTGGTCCCCCGTAATACACGATTGATAGAGACAAGAGTAATAGCGATTGAAGACGATTCCCGTTCATAGAGGCTTCCAATAATCAGAACCTACATAGTACCCTCGTAGCTGTAGGTACCCGGCACTTGTTTTAGGCCAAGAGAGTGGAAGTCAACTAAAACCCGTTCTGAGAAGTGGGTAACACAGGGTTTGTTGGGCTGATCCATAGGAGGTCTGTTGATGCACCGATAGGTTTGACTGGCCATCTTCTAAATGGTAATCTCAAAGGAGACAGCCGCTGTGTGGGGATGATTGGCTGAAGGCGCTAGTAGGTGCAAGCCAGCCTGCCCGAGGTGTGAAGCTGTTCCGAGAACCTGCACCTCACCAACCCCCATCGCTCTGAATCCAATATTTGGCTGCGATGGACATTCTTTTCCAAGTACCGACTGCCATTAGGCTGACATCTTAAAAAGTACTTCATGCTCATTTGTGATTCGCTCTGGTATACATTGAATTTGGGAGACGGGATGATGCGAAGCGCGAATTAACAATGGCGAAGAAATTAGAAAACATTCATTTTTCGTTGATCTTGGGATCTGCAACCGCCAAAGTTATTCTGTTCGACGCTTAAGCTCCGAAACCTGTTTCCACCGTGCTTTCGGCTTCCTGAACCTGCCTGCTGGGCTTGAGTATTTGGTATGGTGGAGGCACTAATATCCTTGGTCCGAGTTACTTCGCGACGTGGGTCTCCAGCACAAGAGCGAAGACCATCTGAAATTACCACGCGAAAGTAACCACCAGCAGCTCACAGGCGCCATCTACTTTCGTCCCAAGTCCGAACGACTTGAGTTGGATAACCGCGTAAAGCTTAAAATATTTCTCCGACCGGAAAGGACGATTATTCGTGATCCGTGCGTGGACTGTTCACGAGCGTCAATTGCAAAGGTGCTGTGCATCCTTCGAAACATTGATGCAAGTCAGCTCAAGCAGTCCGTCTGGAACTTTGGAAGTATAGTACAGTACATAGTACACAATCGATGATGATGATAATGATGACTCCCACAGATCACATTTGAAAATCGTTGCATGCCTGCACTCTGCAGGATTTGCTGAACGCCGATTATGAACCCGAGAGGCAGCCGTGTTTGCACTCAAGCCGTCAAGATACACAAGAGCGCATGCTGTTTGTCCTCAAGCTTCCTAGCATCGTATTTTATTGGCGACGTGTTGGGCTCTGGACATTGTGCTTACGGCTTTCACGTAACTCACATGCCAGCCAGCGTACAGTACAGTACCTACCAAGCGCTACATACACGCCCCCCTCAACTTCGAATGGCTCTTTAAGTCAAAGAATTCCAGAGGGTGGACCGTTCATGGTGGCGGCCGCTCCGATTTCCAAGCTAAAGCCTGTGCTTTGATATCACTCGTCCCTGGGCCGCATCGTCACTGGGATATGTGATGTGATCCGCCCAATAAGATGTGATTTCCTGCATCTGGCCGATCCTTTTCGTCGATGTTTTCAAGCCCCAATAAACAGGGGTCTGGAGCGTTGAACTTCATTCATGTTGCCAGGCCAGTTAGGGAGCCAACATGTACGCAGTAGGGAGTGACTCTATCTTTGACGACCGTTTGCCTTGGACCAACAGAGCACTTTGGAGCCGTCATCTCCTGCATGCAATTTCTCCCCCGATAATCATCGAGTAGGTAGCCATATTTCATTTTTGTTGCCAACTGTACGACACCCTTGTTTCTCGTCTCGAAATTCTGCATCGGAAATAGATTGTTCGCCCTTTAAGCACGGATCGACGGCATAACAGCAATCATTGGAGAGCTTGAGTTGATTGACAAACAGCGCTTCTTTGTTGAATTGTTTTTGCAAGCCGTAGGATATACCATTCCATCCGCGCAGTTCGCCTAACTAGTTGTATGAGCTTTGCTTGCCGAGTCAGGAAGAGCTTCTTACCATCGTTTCAATCTCTTTATCTCAACCCATCAGGAGAGGATCTGTGAGTTCTGAGAGAAGGAAAACTAGTCCGACGCCGCAGATTCCCAGGATCGCTGCATGGTGGCTAATGCTCTTTGTATCAACTGTACCGCCTCTTTTCGCAGATCCTGGTGACATTGTTTTCTCTCCGTATATGAATACAAAAATCTCACACTGCGCCGGTCAATTGGCGACGATCCCGACAGTGTTCAAGTTTTGCTGTCTGTGGCCTGTCCAAGGCACATGTACCTACCCTCAATTGGAGTTGTCGTAGGCTTGTTGTCCGTGATTAAAGAAAGAACTCCAGTTGCTAGATATTTTCCCCTCCCAAGACATCCTCCTCCGCCCCTCCAACCCCCCAATGCCCCAAACTTGCTTGCCCCCAGTTCTTATCCGCAAAACCACTACGCTCTCAGCTACGACGACGACGCTGGCTTCTTAGGTAGAACCTGCTACGGGATCGCCAGTGGTGGGTTATCGGACACACTTGAATTGCCAAATGGTTGCTTCGAGCCAGTTACGACATGAACCAACCTCGTTAACCAGATTCATTCCACGATACGAAGAGTTCCCCGCGCACTGGAAGAGATAAGCATATCCATACCAAGGTTTGACTGCTCCCTGGCGCCCGTCAAGTGGCGGCCGGCGTCTACTCGCGGACTTTTCCACGCAGAGGCGGCTCTTCGTTATCAATATACCGTTCAACAAGCGCCGCAAATGTTAATCAGTCTACAGGATATTCCCAGCAGAACGACCACCGCTACAACTCCGCTGCAAACGGACTGCCCCGGGCGAGTCGCCGAGCAGATTTGGCTCGACAAGACAACCCCCAAGAGACCCTCCTTTATCCCGTTAGGGTTTTGGGCAGTGTTGACCGTTGAACTCAAATATACCAGGCAGTCAAAATCGGAACCTTGGTTCGCCCATAACCTTCTTACAATTGCAACACGGCCAGGATAGAAACTACGGTACGAAGGGTGTGTCAACGCATCATAGGTCGAATTTGGGAACACGCCTTCCGCTCCTCTGTGACGTTTCTGCAGGAAATCAGACGTTCAAAACACTGCAAGGGCGGTTCATTCCACTTTCCTCGATCCACAAAAGGCACTATACTCGGTCAGGTATTTCGAAGCGCTCTCTCACCCTGTTCCGTGAGTAATATTGCCGGGCTACCTCCCCCATTAGGCGCAGAAGGTTTCGCTGCTCGCTGCCATTTGCTTCTTTGCCATCATTCCCCATTATTTGGCCTCGACTATATTTTCGTTTTAGGTGATCCTAATTTAGCCCGCAGACCTCCCCACCCGTGATACAACGCTTAATATTCTTCCCCCAACCTGGCTTGTTAGCCGTTTATCTTTATACTCGACGACGCTATATTCGATCCAAAGCGCAGACTTGGAAAAGAATCCATTCCCAAACCCCATTTTTATTCCCAGGTACGACCTACAAGGATCATCACACGAATCCTTGGGTCTTGCGAACCCTCTCTCCTGGAGAAGAGCTAAAGTGTTCCTTGGATATTTTTACTATCCAACACTCTTAACAGGCTGTTCTTCATGAGCGCGCCAACATTTGCTGAAGACCCTGTTACACAGCGGCCAGCTCTCCAAAGGTTAGTCGCTCTCCTTTGCGTCTCTAATATATCATCGCAGCAAAACTCCGCTGATATTTGCTATGCGTTCTAGTGCGGACTTTCGTCTTACGGTTCGCCAGAACCCGGAGCGGGCCCGTGTAGCAGGAGGAAAAGAGAAAGGTAACTGCACAATTTCTCATATCTAGCAATCCTCTTCTCCCCAGGGATGACTGAAGGCTAATGGTAGTTTTGCTTCTTTCGTTCTTTTCGTTTGCGCAGAACGCAAAGCGGTGGACCCTCCACCTATTATCCAACTGAAAATCGATGAATCGAAGGACCCTGGGCAGTAAGGCGCTCGTGTGACGAAGCTTAGCGGTATAATTGCTTACAGCCCGTGAAGGAACTATTTGCAAAGTCCGTTTTATTTTATGTGCTGCACCCTCTACAATGCGACAGAGGATACACCCGCCACGACAGCTCAATCTACGGCGCTCGCGGGGACTTTAGTGTCCTCCCTCCATCGGCTTAAGGACACCGATAATATGGGTTAGTGTTCCGCCGAAACATTGATGGTCAGCATTTGCTGGTATCTGACACAGAAGTCCTTAGAAGGTGGTTTTTTCGTCTTCGGCGACCTTTCTGTTAAGATTGAAGGAGAATTTAGGCTGAAATTTAACCTGTTTGAGATGCGAGAGTATGATCCGCGTGGAATCGATCTTATTGACGTGACTGCTGACCTTGTTGATAGAGTTAAGAGATGTGGCGGCTCGAGAGATGAAGTCGTTTACATAAAATCGATCCTCTCTAAACCATTCACTGGTGAGTTGATACCTTAAGGGGGATTGCGTTAGCGCTCATGCTAATATCACAGTGTTACCCCCCAAAAACTTCCCTGGGATGACCGAGTCCACATGGCTTTCAAGGTCTTTTGCGGATCAAGGAGTTAAGCTGAGAATTCGGAAGGAAGCCCGTACACTTCTGTGAGTTGTTTTGCGAAGGATTTAAAAAGAATGTAGCTGATGTAGAATAGAAAACGCCCATTGAATCGAGCGGAACCAGATTATCCAGCCCCGCCGACGCAGCCTCGTACGCCAGAGCGCTCCGGCGCATCGAGTCAGCAGATGGTAGCTGCTTACCAGACAAACCGAGACTACCCTTTTTACAATGGGCCAGACGCCAAGCGTCCACGGAGTTCAGTCGATATGAGTGGTCGAGGCTTGTACGAAGGAGATGCTCGATACTCGTACCCACCGCATGCCGCCAATCCATACCAAGGTCAGACATACCAACAAGGCATGATGCAAGGCTATCCTACTGCTGGAGCTGGGGTATCCGACTACGCCATTCGACAGGCACAACAGGGATCTACACCGACACCGTTTGGTTCAGCCGATGAATCCATTGGATCTATCCGCTCGCCTGGAGCGGGTGGGTACATAGGTCAACCTCGATACCAGTCATACTCGGGCGCTCAAATGCCATACAATCTTGCTTCTTCAACACAAATGTCACAGATGGGCGAATCCACCCCAGGCCGGACCGGCCAGGCAGCAAATATGGGGGGAATCGTTTCTGGTCAGTCTTTCAGTCAATCCGCAGGGCACATGCAGAGTCCTTCTCAAGTGAGACAAACCGGTTCTGCCTATCCACAGGGGCACTCACCTGAATTCTTCTGATCTAGGTTCCGCCGGCATGGGGATGATGCCCCAAGCGTACCAACGATCGCAGTTCCAACCCGCGGGTTCAAACACCCTACCTCCCTTGCAATCGAACCGGCAAGCAGCTCCGTCGAACAGTAACGGTAATGCGCGGGCTTATTACGATCAATCCATACAAGGAACTCCACCAATTCTCCCTTCTCAGCCGGGTCCCTCGACAAATGGCGATAGATACGGGAGCGACGGCCAGGTTGCTTTCGGTGCTCCTGGTTCGTCTAACACAACACCGCAATAAGTTGCTCCTCGCGAATTTCACGAACCGCTGTCTATATGATTTTATATTTTTATTCCCTGGGTTCATTTCGGCTTAATATTCGTCCTTGTATTCTGACATGAGACTTTCTCAGTTTCCATACTCGTCCGCTTGGATAGATTTTCACGGAAGGTGTCAAAGGGAGGAGGGACTGGTCCGGTTGGGAATAATACAGTTATACCTGGTGTCTTAGGACTACGGATCTTGTGTTTATGCTATTTTTAATTTCACGGGGTGTTCACGAAAATTGCATTTTTTCTTACGTCCCTTTCTTGTACAGTATGTTATTTTACTCTCCTTTTCTCTCTTCTTCTCTTTGTTTGTAATGGGGCCCCCTTTTCCTTTTACTCATACAAAATCAGTTGGCGGGCTGTTTCCCCCCCCTTTTGCCTTGCTTTTCCTTTCCTCATTCCCATGTTTGGAACTTGCAGTGCATGCTCGAAATTAGGTTGTTAAACACGGGACTGGCAGTTCTAAATGGAAAAGGCGTGGATTTTAGAGTTGCATCTCAAGACACAGGTCATTTATAATGGTAATATGGACTTCCCTGGTTCATTGAGCAGGCGCATCATGTATGGTTCGGAAAGCTGACTCAGGTGTTCCTGACCTCGCTGTTTGATGTTCAGTTTGTTAGGTTGAATGTACGGTGATCAGACAAATACAATAATAGGATGCCTGTTCTTATTCTGCTCTAATAATACAGGGATTGCGCCCCTTTGCTAAGTCATATTCAGATCTCTTGCCCCGTACAAGCTTGGGCCGTCGCCAGGAACACGCGCTAGACAATCCAATGCGTCATTAGAGCATCGGCATTGAAGCGCGTTATCGCAAAGCGGGAACTACACATACACCGTCGACAATACACCCCACGAGTGTAGATGTGTTGTTGGTGAGTGTTGTGGCCTCTCAGCCGTTGTTTCCCCGGCGCCGCCAACATTGATCGATTGTGTCTAAACAACATCAAACTTGTCTTGTGGTCATCAGCACTCCAAGATTTTTCAGAATCCATCCCAAGTCCCCTCATTTTCTTCCCTTTGCTCTCCTATTTTCTTCCTCTCTAGATTCTGCTATCCCCGCACCGTTCTCTTTTCGATTCCGTTGATTTGGTTATTCTCTCAAGTTGAGCTCCCTTCTACAGGCGTTGTTATGGTGGAGTGAGAATCAGCGACGCTTCAGTTGGTGCAAAACGACGTGCAGGACCGAGTGTGGTAGACATCTATGATATCGACATGATGGCGTTAGAGACTCTCTCTCAACCACCAATCAATCGTATTGATTTGAGCGGTGAGTGGGATGGTAACCCAGGAAGCGAAATTGCTCTACACGCGAAGATCGAGGTAAGCTATCCAGGATAACTCCTTTCTATTGCCTTAGCCCATTGCTCCTTGGCCATCCAAGAAATTATAGCAACTGACGAACACTTGAATTCAATCTGATAAATGGAAACAAGTTCATCTCTGCGCCAAATACAAGATTACCTCTGCTTGACTTGAGCAATGGTGTTGAGTTGTTACATTATGATGGCCCGACCGAGATGCCGGAGGATTGCCCCTATCACCTTGCGGAGATCACCGATGAAAAATCCAATGGATCAACTAGGGGCGGAGGAAGCGGTAGGCAGCATCCCGACATCTTAAAAAGGATTGCAAACGGGGGAGCTGAGTCATTATCTGACACGCCACGGTCCTTATACCGGAAGGGAATGGAGCTATCCCCCTCTTCTACAAAAAGAAGGCTCTTTCCCCCTAGCCCAACAAGCACCGTCAGTCAAATGCCTTCGTTTGATGACCTGGCTCCAGGGCTCGAAATTGGACTTTTGTCTATCGGCGTTGATGAAGATGACGGCCTCGATGGCGAAGGTAGCAAGAGTACTGATGTTTCAACAGCGTGCATTTCAGAAAGTAGTGGCACTAATTCTGCGGCTCAAAACCTCCGTCTGAGTGATACATATAACCGAGAAATGTCATCGTTGTCTTCCGCTGCCATAACCCCAAAGTCTGAAAAAAGGGTAGTGAGCAGGATACCTGTTAAATCGCAGCAGTTGGCAAGGCCTTCTGGCGCATATGAAGAGTTTTCGCATTCGTCGGGGTCCGAAGCTAATTTGAGGAATACCTCCGTTTCCTCATCCAAGACAGAGAGTCCTCCATCTGAGATAATTCCTACCCAAGGAAATGAAATGCCACCCATGAAACCGTCTACTCCTAGGAACGAGCAGTTTTCGCCAGTGAAGTTATCGCATACGCTGTCCGCTGATTTGACTAAACGTCGGGTGGATCAGAGGTCGCCGCAATCCCCTACTAGAAACTTTTCACATGGAGTAGGGGGGCATCCTCTTTTTGACCGCCATACTTCTCCGAAGTCTGAGCTGGGAGGTTCCAGATGCCATATCCAGTATTCTTTGCAAAGCGACGCTGCAATTTTCTCTCAAGAAGGCGAGCCTAACCTAAAATACAGCGAAAAGTACAGCGATAAGTCGATGTACGTTTCAACCTGGCTCGGGAAAGATGAGTGCAATGGACTCGCGAAGGAGTACCACCAATCCCGATTATTGTGCCCTACTGGATACTCAACAGAGCCTTCAGAAAACCACAATGAGAACAGTCCCACAAAGGTTGAGAGCCATACTCACAACACCGATAGACCACGACAAAGCGAGACCCATAAGCCAGTCATTCTACCAAGTCCTTCCCCATCATCTCAACAGGGAATGCCATGGAATTCGGCAGAAGAATTGGCCAGGAAACGCGATTCAGGAACGAATCTGGACACGGCATCCGCTATTCCAGTACCGGAACTTGCCATAGTGGAAGAAGTTGGCAAAGGCTTCTATATTTTATCTCCAGAAACATCTATGCCAAAGGTGTATATTATTGAATTCGATTTTAAAGTACGATTAAGCACCTTGCAGCCAGGCGGCTGGCAACTTCTGAAAATACCCGGTTTACCAGTTTATAAACAAGGAGGCAAAGGAACTGTTAAATTAACTATCCCCAATAGTTCAACTAGAAAAAAGTTGGACTGTGGAAATGAGGGTTTTCTGAGTTTGGAACGCGACGGCGCCGGTTTTATTGCGGATTTCGATATCGCCGAGCCGTTGGTTGTATCAATGCGAGCGGTAGAATTACTATCAAGTGAGTCGCGCGATAAACGTATCTTGAACCATGAAATCAGAGCGGTTTTGAGGTGTCACCAAAAAATTGTGGAGTACACTGCTATTTGTGCACTGTCTTTTTATCAGAAGATTCTCTGTGCCGATGAGGGTTCTATTGCAGTTATTATCAGTGACGGTCCTGTCGGGGATTTTGAATGGACAATGGAGAATGGGAATAGGGATTTCCATGTGGATCAAAGGGTGGCAAATGCCAGTGATCTTGGGACAACGAAGATTAGGATTTTCTGTAAGGGAAATAAACTTGATGGATGCTTTCGTATAACCTGGGAAGTTCCCTATGAAACACAAGCTTCACAAACTTGGGTTCCGAAACTCTTTTGCGAAAAGCCCGCAACCCAAGCGGAGTATGTGCCGTCGCTCCGCAGCCAGTGGCGAACGGAGACGCCAGGAACTCCAATGATTAGGGCCGACCCGGAGTCTGGGGAAAGCGGCCTTGTTGAGACGGAGAAATCTGTGAGGGAATGGGGCCAACATGGTTTTGAAGATTTAGGTTATTTGGGACTACCAGCAATTGAGACGGAAAGCATAACCTACTGGTGTGTGCACCAGTTGGTTAGGGTCGTCCTTCTCTTCATGGCCATTATGGAGGGGTTGGGTGGTTTTGTTCAAACCTATCTAGAGTATGTTCCACTTGGGCCGAAGAAAATAATTCTCTTGCCCGTTATCGTGGTGCAGACACTGGTCCTCATCAATCAACATCTCAGCTGCTCAAGTACTATTGAGTGCCAAGAGAATCAACAAGAGTGTATTGGACTCTCCTGCCCACGAAGTTATTTTCAAATTGAGCCCTGCCTGAGTAGCTTCAGCTGGTTTGTTCAGGAGAAAGTTTCTGTTGCTGAAAGAGGTCTGTTGGGGCATATTTCCAAAGTGGTTAATGGTCGAGGTGAGGTTACTTTTATTGACAGCGAGAACGTTAGGAGCGCGGAGACAAATGCAGGGGAGGAGGGAGCCTTGAAAATCGCAGCAGCTCAAATCTCGACCCATAGAGAATTTGATGCCGCTTCTCCAACTGGGATTGGTGCCGGCAGTGAAGCCGGACAGGCCCATATACACCTCTCAACCTCGAATCAACGCCAAACGAAGTTGAAAAGTGATACTAATAGTTGCACAACCTCAGAGGGCACCACTACCGGTACAGACATTGCGATCCTGACAAAAACGTCCTTGCGAGATCGAATTGATATGTTTTTCGGCTGGACTGGGCCGTTGGAATGATCAACCGAATGTGGAAATTAGTTGGTACTTCTATCGCTCAAGCTAATAATGAGAGGTTGTCTATGAGAACAGGATTGCGTTTCGAGTTCTTAGAGTAACGGTGCTTGAGTTAAGCTCACTTGCTTACTGATGCGGCGTATCCTTCCTTTACCCTCTATGTGATTTTAATTTGTATGGAAACACCCACAAAAATAGAAGAATACCATTTCTCACTATTTTCCACACTCTGGACAACAACATGCACCAGCGACGATCTGCTCATCTGATAGTTTGTCTTGGCAGGATCCCTCTGATATCATCACAGATCTGCGGACTCCGGGACAAGCCCATATCAAAGGTTCATTCAGAGCGTTTCTGGACTTTTGCACCTTGAGAAAAGCAATTGGTCGAAGGTATTTTTTTGTGGGAACGGGGAATAAGGTCCGAGACCTTATTCCACAATGGCAGCGACTTTCTTGGTGCGTGCGTCCATGTTGTTCACGATGAGTTGCACTAAGATACGCCGTTTTTTATTTTTTATTTTTATTTTTTGTTGAGAAGAGCCAAGGGCAGGCCAAGACGGCGAGAAACGTGAATCTCACTCTCTTTTGAGTCATTATTGAATCATAAAGCAATGCCAGCCTTCATATTTTAAAACAGATGGTGCCTCTCTACAGATGGTGCCTCTCTACAGATGGTGCCTCTCTCACACATGAGCTTTGCCAGCCAACATATGTTGGGTTGAACCACGGGCAATTTCTCAACAACTCCTAGACACTGTGGTGAGACAAAACTAACTTCTGAGACTCCTCCGCTTGCGCTTGGTAGTTATCGATTACTTCGTGTCCAGGGCCTTTCCGGGGCATCCTTTTAGGCAGCTTACGACCTCCATATCTACCATCCGACTGACCCCAAGCGCTTCGGGCTTATCTCCATTATTTCTTTTCTTTTCCTTCTTTGCTTTTTTTTAGTTTTTGCAAGAAACGAGCAGAGTTCCGGCGAATGATGAATAGAGCTTCCCGCTTCATTTTTCTCGTCCGAAGACGCTCTCGTCCTAAGGAATAAGAATGGAGTCTTCCCCCAGCACAACCAACCATGCCAGCTCTCGTTCCACCACAACTTCTTCCACGCCAGTCCCTCATTCTCACTCACGCTTCCTGCTCTGCCAGTTACTGAAACGAACAGGGAGTACTTCGCACGGAATAACTGGAGCTTTGCCGTCCGGGGTCACCTGCAAGATATCGCTGTCTCGGCTGCGACGGCTGTCATTAACAGCATGTAAGTTCTACATGCTAATCTTATTGCTGGCTAGTTGTTATTCACTGCGTTCTTTTTCGGTATATCTCGCTTCTCCTCTTTCGAATTTCTCTTCCAGCAAGGTGTTATTGTTATTGTTCTAACAAGGCACGCTCCAGCTTGGCACCATCATCATTGCTGAATGACGAAAAGCCGATGGCGAATCAAAGATTTCCTATGATCATATACACCCACCTCGATACGCGGGTTTTCCTATGTTTGGCCTTGTTATGCTGTTTCCATGCGAGATGAGGGGAAGTTTGATGTTGTTATCTCACACGGTATTCATGGCTTTCTTTCCAGGATCGAGTGAGATACAGCTCATCTGATCATCATTTGTCTATCCCCTCCCTCTTTATTGCTCGACTTCGGCTTTTGCATTTGCTCTTGAGCATTGGCAGTTCAGTAGAGATTTGTTACCTCCATCTGCAAAAGCCTTCTCAATTTACCCTTTGCCATGCATCCTCAACAAAACCCGATGCTCGGGTCAATGTTGACGATCCTATGATATCCATCCCTCCACGAATCCAGGTTATCTTCTAATTTTGTGGCCGGATATATCCTTCCTGGAGCAATGTACTCCATTACATACTTGTACTGTTCAAGTTGTATAAGGAACCTCCCTTTTTACCTCTTTGCTCTCTGTACTACTTCCTTTGCTTGGCTGTAACAAAGACAGCAGAAACAAGTAGTTGTTCTTTGTTCTCCTCCCACAGCGCCCCTTATATTCCAATCTCCGCTTCGCGGCTCATTGAATTTATCTCTTGGCTGTTGACTGCTCCCGTTTCTTCGCTTGACGGAGCGCACTAGAACCACTTTTACCCCCTCTCCTAAGGAACATGAACACATGTTTATATCAAATCACTCAAAAGAAACATTTGCATACTAACGTAGGCTAATTCATAAATTATAGCTTACATTTCTTGTTATAGTGCTACATCATAAGTTCGGCAATTCAGTTTGGCAATTTTGGTGTACAAAACGCTTCAAAGTTATAGTACAACGCTGTACCATATACGGGGTTATCAGCTGGGGTCGTTCCGCTGGGATTGGAGCTCTTCCTCTCCAACTTCATTCAAGCCAACAGCCATATCCGTTTTTGAGCCATATTTCCTAGGACGCTGAAGGAAATCGATTCTTTCAAGGGCTTGTGTTCGTCTAATGACAATGACTGCGGATGATTCAAGCCTAGTTCCCCAAATCACAGACGGTATGGTTATCTATTATGTTTTGTACATTTTTTACATTGTCCCCCGGCAAGAATATTCAGAGTTAAGATGTTATTCTTTCTATGGAAGACACGTGCCGCTTTCCCTGACCCACCAAGGGGCATTAATTAAATATCTCTACATTTCTACACCTCTCATATTCTTATTATGGGAATCGAAACCAAGCTCATCTTTCCATCTTAGATGCATATCGACTCGCCTTAGCGAGAAACCGACAATGGGCAATCAAAACCGCGAAAGACGATCCAACTCTCTTCCCAAAACTCGCAACAGGCCAACACCCAGAAATTCTCTGGATCGGTTGCTCCGACTCCCGCTGCCCTGAAACAGCCATCCTCGGCCTGCAACCCGGCGACGTCTTCGTGCACCGCAACATCGCGAACGTGATCCATTACAACGACATGAGCTCCTCCTCCGTCATCGAATATGCAGTCGTGTATCTGCAAGTCAAGCACATCGTGCTCTGCGGCCACACTTCTTGCGGAGGCATTGCGGCCGCCCTCGCGAACAAAAGGCTAGGCCTCTTAGACACCTGGCTCATGCCTCTTCGGCACTTGCGCGAACAGCACCAGGTACTCCTCAGCAGTCTGGACCCGCAGGAAGCCGCGCACAAGCTGGCGGAAATCAATGTGCGTCACGGCCTGCGCACGCTGAAGGAGAACAGCGTGGTTCTAGATGCGATTGAGGAACGTGGGCTGGAGCTCCATGGGGTTTTATATGATGTTGCAAGCGGAATTTTGAGGGAGCTGGACACGGATGAGCCGAAGGATGTGATTCATGCTCGAATTGATTCGTTTAAGACGTTTAGGACTGAGGTTGTGCATTAAAGGGTGATTTTTGTTTTGATTTTTTAAGGGGTTCTTCTCTTACTTTTGATTTAGTTTGGTGTTGGAAGGGGTTGCTTACGCTTTTGATGATGAATTTTCCTTTTTTCTTTTTTTTTTTTTCGATTCCTCCCCCACCTATCGTTTCTTACTGACATTGTGTTTGTTGACAACCCATTCCGCTTGTTGTGAATATTCTTTGGAGAACTCAATCCGGGCTACACAAATATTGAATATGGTTCAAACAACTCTTCTCATCATGGATCAACTTTTTCCTCAAGGAATGTGACATGATATCAAAAACCATGCTCTCATCACCCCATCAGTTGATGGGACCACGCGCATTGCTCGCCAATACATCGCAACTACCCTGAATGACGAGTAGTATATAATATGTTGATTTAATGGGCGTTTTCGCGGAACATCACCTGTGTCCACAGGCTAAAGATTTCCAGGGCGAGAATTGAATGAAACAAGTAAATGTTCAGTCTTTTCCACCGACCTTATACAACGATGGTATTTACAAACTGGGGCCGCCAACCATATATGTGCACTGGCACAGGAGAAAGGAAATAAGGACAATATCAACAAACATCCTAACCGACCATATTGAAAAAATGCAAATACCCCGGTTAATTTTTCCTTTTTTTTGAAAAAAAATTTTTTTTTTCGTTTCTTCAGCCTACATCAAGCGAAAATGACTTACACACGAAGCATAGTGATGACGGAGAAGCAATAGTATGCCGAAATAAAAAAAACAACAAAACGAAATGGTGCTATGTCTCCGTAGAATAATAAGCTGGATGTGCCTTTTCTGACACTCCTTGAATAAAATAAAACAGACTTCCTCCTGTTGCCAATTGTCCATTTGCTGCGAAAACAATATTCGACAGGCGATAAAGTAAATAAATAGAGTAAGATAAAATGAAAAAAGTGAGAGAATGGATGAGCAATTAACAAGCAAAACGTGCGCTGAAAAAATGGCGGGAGGCAATCTGTATGTGGCTAGCTTGAAGATAGATTGCAGGGTGATTCAGGAAGCTGTAGTAGCGAACGACGGAAATGTATGGTTTGTGGGTAGCTCTTAAGAGTATTGTATGTAGCGATTGTTGGTAATCGATCATGAAAGTGCCTTGGTTGGTCTGCTCTCACTTTCGACGGGTAACGAGATTAGAGATATGTCCATGATGGATCCGGCCTTACCTCGCTTTCATGCGTTTTGGGACATGTTCGGAATAAAATATCCCCAGTAAACAGTAAAATTAAACTTTTCTTTTCTTTTCTTTTCTCTTCTTTCCCTTATCATTCCAGAATGGCTACATATTCCTCACGTGCATCATAACGACACACGCAGAGGTTTTATAAACTTCTCTATATCAGTTCTTGTGGCTGGGCCCTCGTTCTCCAATTTGAATCTAGTCTGACGTAGAGACGAAGTCTAGTGATTTATCAAGGATCCCACACAGAGTACGGCCGCATTCTTCTTCTAATTCTTGACCGTCTCTCGCATAGGTAACGTCGTGGTTGTCATTGTAAGGGTTTTTAATATGTCCGACATATTTGAACCTTGTTTCAATGGTATTGTACCAAGTGATGCTGAAGGGTGGGCCGAGAGGCATATCAAGGCTTTTGAACCAACTCGGCCTCTCAACGCCTTCGGCTCCAGGATGAGAATCCATCCGTGCCTATTAGCATGGTTAGTTGGGGGGGATATATTTGAAAGCAGATTTTGCAGGATCCTTTTTCATACATAACCTTGGAATGCCCCGCTCTGATTCACTGAGAAGACAAGAACAACATGACGAGAATTGTCGAAAGCATTGGTAAATTTCTCCAGGTTCTTCACTTGCGTTGCCCAAGTTCCCTAGCCAGGGTGTGTTAGACGTTCCTATTTACTTATAGAACAGGGAGTTAAGATAAAAATCGAGAAAAAGTTGCATACTTCTTTTTTAGCCGCATCCACCATTTCATATGCAACGCATTTGATCAGGAAGTAGGTGACATCTGACTCGATACGTCAATAAATTTAACGATTACCCAAAGATTTTCATATGGCCTTGGAAACATACCTCCTGCCGCCAGGTCTAACTCCTCAGACCCTCTCATTCCACGAGAGGAAGAAATATCATGACCAAAACCTGCACTGAATTCCCCGCGACCGCGCCCGCGGCCACGAATCCACCCGCGTGCAAGGCCACGACCGCGGCCACGACCACGACCACGACCACGGCCTCGCCAAAAGCCAGAGTCGACCCGGCTTCCGTGTGGATCCAACAGATCCTCATCACTTGATCGAGAGTTTTGAAAGAAAGTACCATTATGTTTCCCCTGATCAGCAGTTAAGTCCTGATTAGCGAGGTTTTCATCTTCTTCCCTAAACAGGGAGCTATCACCATCAGAGAATTTATGGTCCTTGATCATATTGATGCGTTCTTTATTCATAAAGTTCTGGGCTGTGTTTTGTATATTTGTCAGTTTTTGTGTGAATGGAGGGTACACGATCCTTTGCAATTTTCTGGTTGGCCACAAACCTTCTTCGTTGTGCAACCCGTCCTTGAAGTTGCTGTTAGAGTGAGTCCGCACAATTTTCTCTGCTCTTTCATGCTGAGCTCCATTTTCAAGATCAGAGTACTGTCTTTTGGAGACATGACTGGGAGTATGATCATCAGACACTCCTAAGCTTAGGTTTCTTGTGGCATCGCTAAACTTCATGTTGCTAGATGCAGTGTTGGTCTTTGGGATCAAAGGAGGGGGAGGCATGGAAGAATTTGCTTGAGGATCATAGCCGGAAGAATCAAATGAAAGTTTGTGAGAAAACAAATACGAAGCTCGATCGCTGCCTTTGGTCAAAGCTTCACGTTCCTGTACCTCTTCTCTCATGAGCTCCTCCTTCTCGCGTTCCAAAGCAGCCAGTCGCCTGAAACGGTGTAACCTTCCGCGGCGATAAGTTTCATCATAATAACCTGTGTGCTCAAGCCATTCGCGGATCTCTTCAATTTCATTTGGCTGTAGCTTGGAGAACTCATTATCAACATCCCAGTTGGATTGCATGGCACCAGGAGTGGGCCGTTTCGACAGGGGGGAGCCAGCCTTTAGAGGTGAGCCATTCTTTCGGGAAACAGAAGAGCTAACACTGCTGTCCGCCCAAGTTCGCTTTGGTGGTTCATATACACGTCGCTCTGGAAATGATTTATGATCTGATTGTCCCGACGTCCGTCTCACTTCCAGATGAGAAGCACAATCAACATTATCCGCAACACTTAATCCCGCTGTCTCGTTTGCGGCAGAAGAGTGACTGGCCTTCCGGCCTTCAGGTCCCAAAATGGGGTTTATTTTATGGGCGGTTTGACGCCTTTGAGAAATATAATCTGCCGCCGGAGCACTGTTTTCATCTGAAGGAATAGAAGTCCGTCTGGTAGCTCTAGCATCTTCCCCACTTTGCTGGCCGGGAGCAGATGATTTGGAAACACTAACTGCTGACACTCTGCCCTCGGCCAGCAAACCATCAATGTCTTCAGCTGAGGCAATCTGACTGGGATGAGGCTTTTGTTGTTCGACCGCACCCATCCTCCCAGAGTGACTTTCCGCGGCTGCTGGAGTGTCTTTGTCTGAAGACTTAGCATTCCCAACAGCCGCAGATCCCTTTGCGTGTAGTGGCTGATCAATGGCAGATTCTGAGCCTTGAGTGAGAGAAGCCAGAGTGCCTGAGCTCCTACGTGCAACATCCGCATTCCCAGAATTAGCCCCATGGCTTGAAGCTCGTCTCTGAGATAGTGAAGCCAATGCTTTTGCACGTTTTGCCTGTAAAAGCTCTAAGTCACTAGGGTCATCACCCGAGCTTCTTTGATTCTCATCATGTGCTGGTGTATTTTGTTGGGCAGCATTATAAGTAAAAACTGAATGAAATTGGGAGCCGTTGTCATGATAGATTCCTGAACTGTTTCCATCAGCTGTGTAGGCGGCATCTGCCTGACCATGCCATGGTTGATTGAATTGCGACTGGGACTGAAACAAATGGCCTGGGCCGACAAGGGATTTACTGAGGTCGGATAGCCTCTCATCCCTCTCATCCGACCGTGCACTGAAGTTGGGATAAAGGTTGGTATCACCGTCCGTCATTTTAAAGGGTACAGGAGGTGGAGGCGGGTTGGCGCTTGGACAGGGTAAGAATGCTGACGAAACGAGGGGAGGTGAAGAATGTCACGAAACCAATGCATGGAACGAATTAGCATGGTGTCAAGTACGTGTTGTCAGGGTTGAGGATGGGATGATATCCATGGATTTTCCAAGTTTAGCGCCACTAAAGAGTGCACGCTAAGACCAATTGGAATGCCGAGCTCACGTGTCAATTTGCCAACACAGGATCAGAAATAGTTACTTGAATACTTATTGATAATTTAGGGAGCTAGTTACGTATAGGTTAGTAACTAGTAGATATGGACAATGGGTGGTTTCAAAAGTGAAATGTATATGACAAAAGAACGTGAGTGGCAGGTCTGAGATGGTCTGGGTCAAAGAAGAATGCTCCCCAACAAAATAAACAAACAAATAAACAAACAAATCAATAAACAAATAAGCTAGCCATATTCGCCTAGCGAACTCAACATGTCCATGCCTTTGCGCCGTAGAAACGCAACGAAATATATGATATCGAAAATATATATAAAACTGAGGATAGAAGTTCCCCAGTGGAGAGCCTACGTCGATGCCGGTCCCTTTTTGCCAACAAAATCAAGCAAATGGCCTAATCTACGCCATCCCTTGCCTTTCGGCTGCTCCGGTTTACCTTCCCCGGTATAAACACTGGGGGCGCTCGATATCGCATCGTTCGGGCTATCTTCACCATATGAGTAGCGGGGAGAAGGAAGGTTTCTTGCTGCACTTAGATATTGACCATGATCACTGGACATTGGGTTAGGCTTCGCTTGCGTTTGTTCGCCAATTGTCAAACTCGTAGGCTGAAAGGAGTCATGCGCATCATGGCTTGGTTGATCTCTTCCATCATCCTTCAGTCTGGTTTTCCCTTTCCGAGATGTTGCTCGTCGAGAAGAAGTTGGATTCTTTGATTTCTCGTTAGTCGTCTTTGCGCGGTTCAGAGTCAGGCCCCCCAATCGTAGTCGGCCCCCAGTGAACGGAAAGCTTTTGCTCCTTGCACTGCCATTTGTCGTGTCCTCTCTCTCCACAATGTTTCCTGAATTTCGTGTTGACTCTGGGTGTTCTTGTTCTTGTTCTTGTTGCTGTCGCTGTTGCTGTTGTGAAGTGGAAGAAATACGAATTCCGGGGCTAAGGGCCGTCGGTGTTGAAGGGGGAATGTCTGGGAAAAGCGGAGCCTGCGACCACCCTTCCCGAAATGCAACCCAAACGCCACTGACTACTATGAGCGTACGGAGATGTTCGTCGGTTTCAATTAAAGGCGGTTCGTTACAATCACTGGTCTGCGGAAGATTGGACGAGCTTGGAGATGATGGTTGAGTTGACGTGGAAAAAAGTGGATATTGATCAAGAATGTCAAGTCCCTGGCGGGACATCCACGCTAAAACTGGGTGTCGACGAGTGGTGGGGTCAATCATACTAAATGTAAACCGCTTGTAATCGTCGAAGGTGTTGTCAGCACCAGTGCTGGATCCAGAAACTCGACGACCTCCCGTCTTTCCCCGTAAAACCCAACGGGCGCACTTTTCTTCTCCGCTCTCCATAGTCCCCCTAAACTCGTACCCACCAGAGGGCAAGCGGGAAACTTCCCAACGGGTCCCTTGCTGTAAAGATATCTCTGCTATCCCGTTCGATTTCGCGCCCTCTTTGCGATGGTGACATACTGTTGCAACAAGCTCTCCGTGATCCTGCGGATCGTCATCAGATGAAATACTCCTATCATCCTCAGTACCAGCCTGTTCATGAGCGTCTCTAGTTACGAGGACAAGGTCGCCCGTAGGAGCACTGTCCTTTCCCCTATATATAGATTGGAGTTTTCGAGGTCCGCAACAGATGGGGGATGATAGGACATCAATAGCGGGTATAGGACGCGTTGTCTGCGATACTCTGTGCAACTGAAGTAGCAGTTTCGACCGCAGTGCGAGGCGTTTGCGACGGGTGCTACGCGGCGGATGCGCGAAGCTAAATGTCGATTTTGTCCGAGTATGCTGCTGCTTTTTTGCAGCTACAGCTGGAACGTCCTGCGTTCGATTATGCAGGCCAGTCTCATTGGGATTTGGGGCAGCATATTCCTCTTCGGTCGAGAGGCGAGGCGCTATAAACAGAGATGTAATAGCGGATGGTGGGCTCATCACTGGCTGAGGAGCTCCAGAATCGGAACGGTTTTTCGAAGACGACGTAAATCCCAGTGGAAAAATTGCAGCAGAAGTTCGCGAAAGAAAGGAGGTGTTCGGTTGAGAGTTTGCTTGGTTCGAGAACTCGTGCGTATGGGCGGCTGCCGCATCAGCTGTCAAGCCTAGATTGACAAACATGACGTAAAGAGAAAAAGGGCTGCAATTGTAATGACCCCTATCGGGGGACCATCGAATCTGCTTGATTATCTCCAACAGGTTGAATGACATTCAATTTCTGAAGCCGCGGATATTTCGAAGCCCCCGTGCAGAACGGGAGCGCTTGCTGGGCGACAACGAACCCGTTCCCTGAGGTTTCACCGAAATGATAGACTTCCGCCTGACACTGGACGATACACAGCAAAAGTGCTGTGTGAGGTTCGGTGCACAAATGCCCAGAAACGAATACGGGATGGGGACTTTTGATAGTGGGAACTGAATTCCAGCCCCTCTAAAAAAAGATTGCTTGGGGCTCTCGAGCTTGTCAGCCTTATGGTCAGCTCGAGTCGGTTAGCCTCTGCTCAGGTTGACAGCTGTTGTTGATTCTTTTTGTAACACTTGAGAGCGCTTTCGAACAACGCAGGCATAGTTCTGTACTTTGTCACGTACGCTACTTCAGAACGGGTATGTGCTGGTAGCTATTTGTCTTGTGTAAGGAGGGCCAGATTGTTGATACCCCACGCGCCAAAGGAGTCAAAATTACCTTACAGCCTCGTCGAGAATTAATCTTATTAACTTTGGATGAATGAGAAGCTTCCGCTGTCTGAAGATACGGGAGGACAGTATTGCAGTCAAGAAAGCAAATGCCTTCCTCGAATAATAATAATGTTAATGTTAATGATAATAACAAGAGCACAAAAGAGGGAGAGTTATAAGGGAACAGATCATCCTGAAATATTGTCAACAGGGCCATCTCCATGACAGCTTTTAATAATCACTAGCACCAGCGAGGGGGTGAAATCATAATGCCCAGACTCCGCCAGGCGACTTTGCGGCAGATGGCGGAATCTTGGAACAACAGGGGACAGGCTTCAGCGCAGCGTCTTGAAGCAGCCGAGTACGATGACCGATGAGAAACTTGATCCAGCTGAGCGGACAAATGACGATGCACAGCGAATACGGCCAGAGCGCCGTTCCACCACATTCACTTTGAGAGCATGTCCCTAATATGGCGATTAGCTAACTCGAAACAGCTTGAGGCCTTTGCCATCCACTGACCACTGCCACCACCACTACTAGTGGCATAATCGTTTTTCATTTTTCAAAATATATTCCAGGGTTTCTGCAAGCCGAAAACTGGTCACGAGCAGGGCTCCACCAGCCCGGCTGGCCCCGCTATCGGTGGATTGCGAGCTGCTGCGAAGCGTGATTTTGCTGAGATCTCGCAAAGGAACCTTGGGATAATGAAGCTGCCTTGGGCGAGCTTACCGGTAATTTCGCCGGTGGCTGCCAGTGGATCCGACCGGAACCGGGGATCTGAGGCAAACCGACAATTTTTCAATCTGCTCAGTGCTGTGATTCGACCACTACTCTTGGACCTTACCCTGTTTCTAGTGGTTATATGAAGGTGGATTTGCCTGTGTTCGAACATGTGTTCCTATGGTGTTCAGCCAAGGCCCCTGAATAACCCATACATGTTCTGTACGGTGAGCTATCTTCTTTGATCATATAAAAGAGGTAACTTTTCTGTAATATTACATACAATGACTGTATCAGCCCCTCTCTGAATGTGTATTTAATAATTATCACTCCACTACTGTATTCTTCTCCCCCTGCTCTTGTATTGATTTCTATTCTTAACTATTCTTGTCCTTACCCATCTACTTTGAAACCCTTGCATCTCCATACAAGTGAGAAAGACTGATAATAATCTCTGCTGCTGATACTGCTGTTGAAGCAGCTGCTGCACAGAAGCAGCTATAGTATGATTTTATTATAGAGATGATAGCACAGAGAGAAAATGCACTGAGAATCAGCAGATAAAGCAGATCAAAGAATATATAGATAGCATATGCAGAGAAGCAGAATAAATGAGTGATAATATATAGATTTATTTTATTTCTATTTCTTCTTTATTTCTGTGTATGAAGAGAGATGAAATTTGATAGACTAACTTCTCACTGCTGCTCAATCTTCACTATTCATACAATAGAAATAATGTAATGAAAAGAAGTTTTCAGATAATCAGATTGTCTCTGAGTAGAAGACAATCTGATTCTTTAGTGAGAGAGTTCTCAATCATTCACTCAGAGAAGGTCATCTCAAAAGAAAGTATACAAATATTGAGAGAGAAGAGATTGTATAGACAATAGAAGAGAATCTGATCAAACAGTATTGAGCAGCTCTTGTTGATCTGTATTATATACAGTAGAGTAGATAGAAGAACTTTCATTCTCACTCAGTTGATCAGATCTTGAATAGCATGTTAAAGACTCACAGATCTATAAAGTATATACAGAGATGTATGAAGTTTGTGAACAGAGATACAGACACTCTGATGAACAGCTATACTGAGCTGAATATAGTGAACTTTGTACATCAGTGCTGAGAGAGATGACAGAGGAATGGAAGACATACAGTTGAGCCTCTTCTCTGTATAACAGCTGACTTTTTTATGAGTCATCACATGCTGCTGAGAGAGCAGTTCAGATGAGAGATGCAGTTGACTGATCTGTTTACAATTGAGCTATTAAATAAAAGATCAACACTCTGCTGGCCTTTTATTCAGATTATGAGTAATGATAAGATAAATCAGAACAACAGACTTGAATATTCAACTGTTGTACAGTATAAGAATTATATTCTTTGTTCAATATCACAGATTGTATTCTATCTGTTCTATAGATGAAATATTGTATGAAAATCTCTGCCTCAGTTTCACTATTATCAGCTCTGATACAATATTCACTTACTCAAGAATGAGAATCTGTATAAGCAGATCTTCTACAGAACTCATCTTGAGTGGATAAACAAGCTCTTTATATATACAGACATGTCAGAGATGACAAAGAAGACTCACATCAGATAATCCACAGATGCACAGAAGACAGAGCTTAATGAAGTGAATGAGAGCAGCATTCACAGAGCTGAGCAATGAAATAATGACTCTTTGATCAGCTGCTATCTCAGTCAGATCAATTGGAAGTTTGTATGAGGAATTGCAGAGTTCAATTCTAGCTTGCCAAATAATTATCATTTTCTATAAGCTACAGTCACTTCATCAGAGCTGTTGAAGAAATCCCTCTGATTATAAGTGAATGAATGACTTATCTGATTTCATTCTGAGAACAGATTCTCTCATATCACTTCTTCTGAGATTTCTGATGTGAGTCTGAAGCTGCTTGATAGTGAAAGTTCATTTGACTCAGATAATCTTGCAGCTCAGAGGTTTTTGCAGCTGTTAAATTATCTTTATACAGTGATACTACAGAACTCTGCTCTTCTTCAGAGGGAATTTCCAACTTATTTACTGTGGATCAACTCAGTGTTTCAGCATGCAGAGTATGAGCAGTTTGCAGATGCTGTACAGACTGCAGAGTTAGTTTCCATTTCTTCACAGAAGATAATACTTCAATGATCAGTGTCACAGATTTCTGAGAGTCTGAGCACTGTATGAAGACAGATCAATATGATGACAGATTAGATAAAAATCAGAGATGTATGAATGAAGAAGAAGATTGATAGAATTCAGTGTGGAATTGATACAATAACAACTGAATTCTGAATCTTTCAGCCTGTCTCTGTTTCTGTCTATATACAGAAAGATACTGTTAAGATTCCCTCCATCTCTGCATCTGTATCTTCATTCTTCTCTTTATCAACTGCTGCTGCTGCTGTCATCACTTCTGCTACAGCATTATCAACTGAGAATAATATTTGAATATATCAGCTCTTCTGTACAATTCAATCAGTCAATGATCTCTGAAAGAAATAAAAACAGAGATTGAATGAACAGCTCTCTATACAGCATCTGAAGTCATTATATGAATCTAGCTGAAGAAAGAAAAATAGTGAGTACATATTCTTTTTCTGATGAAAGATGATTATCAATGAGATACTCAGCTGCTACTATATAATGGAATCAAAATCTGTTCTAGAGATTGTAGAGAAGCTTGAGTTGATATGTGTATAATTAAGAATGAGTCTGAACAAGCTCTCTGTCTTTCTCAGAAGAGCAAGAAGATAATCTGTATATATTAACTATACTATATTGTATATCTTTTAATCTTGAGTATTTATTTATTTATACACACAGGCTGTCTCAGCAGAATTCACAAGAATGAGTATTCTCTCTTTTTCTCTTTTCTTTTTTGTATGCAAGACATTTCTGCTTTCCTCTTTCATTCATAATGACAACAACAACAAATTGATTATAAAATCCCCTCTTTCTCTGTCTCTTCTCTCAACTTCTTTTCTCTTTCTCTCTTCAGCTTCTCCATCATCATTCACTGATATGTATAACCTCTTTTACATCAGAATTCATCATTCTTTTATTGAAATTTATCAAGATCACTCATTCACTGTCCACTCTGTCTTTTTCCCACTTCATACACTGCATGAGATGTTTATTTCATCATATCAAAAAAGAAGAACACTGACAGAGACTTGTATATATAGTCAGAGAAGATTTTTGATTTTTTTTTTCCACAAAAAAGAAGATCAGCTTTTTTCTATTCTTCAATAGTGTTCTCTCTTCCTCTCTTCTCTGTGAACAATGTGAGTATTTCTCTGCTTCTCTACTGTACAGTATAGAAAGCTGATTATAATGTAAGAGCTCTTATTCTATATAATTCTGTCACTGCTCAGCAGAATCTGGCTCAGACTGAGTTGATTGACTTATATCATTCAGCTGCTGAACATCAAGATGAGTGACAGAAATGATTAGAATATAGCACAATATATACCAGCAATCTTCAGCTGAGTATATTTTGTTATAGTTCTCAATTCTGTACTCTGCTTACTGTCTCTGACTTTGATATATTATACATCTGTATATATATCAGAGCTGATCAAGTGTTGTTTCATTGTTCATTATACATCAATGTCATTCTGATTTAATTCTGTAATAGAACTCTTGTCACAGACTATATGCAGTGTTGTACATCCTCTGAGCTTAAACTGTTCTCATTATACTGCTGTGTGTATGATCACTTTAAAGGAGTATATATCAACTGCAAATAGTGTAATCATGCAGTGTGCTGCTCTCTCCACAGCTCTGTGAATCAGTCTGATATATATAATGATTTTTATAATAGACAGTCACCACAGCTATAAGTATCAGCAGTAGATGATATGAGTTATAATACTCAGTCTGATGCACAGAATAATCTCATTCTCATTGAATAGAGTATGTACAAAGCTTTCATTTTTCTATTCTATTCTGTTCTATTCTCTCTCTTTGATCTTCATTTCTTCATTATTATTATAGATGTATATATATTATTATTATAGAGTTAGATCTAGTTGTATGAGCTGTGTATGACACTCAGACAGTTGACTTGCACTTCTATACAGTGTCTGAGATCAGTAGCTCTTTAATAGAGATGAAGTCAAGCAGATCATTTAGCTAGTGGTTATATAACTTTCTGTGTGCAAAGTCACATATATCTGAATTTAATAGTATTTCTCTTACTAAATACAAGTATTCTGTATATATGAACATGAAATTGAACACATATCAGCAATAATTAGGTTATATGCAGTGGTGTTGATGGCTGAGTGACTGTGCCTCTGCATATAATCTGGTTATTGTGAGGGTCAGGTTCGAACACACCGTAACCCGACCCACCTATAACTATATTTAAGGCACTAAGAATTTGTCGACTTAACCCCTTCCAAGGTTGGAAGAGCATCGAATCAAAGCGGATGAGATGAATTCCGAACCCCGATCCTCGGGATCAGATCTGCTTCGAAGTCTAGAAATTAGGAGAGTCGGGAAAACCAATGTCCGTCGGATGTTTCACCTTCACATTCTCTTCTTGATTCTTGATGTTTCTGCATCGGGCACCAGAGGAGAGGGAAACTCAAAAAACAGCTTGCTTTGCTAGGAAAGTTTTTTCTCTCTCTTTTTTCTTTTTGGAGCTCGCATTTAAGGTTTCCTCAGTCTTCCCTGGGCGTTGCATGATGGAGCCCGCCACAAACACAAGCTGCCGTTACTAAGAACAACAAGTATGCGGGACCTGAAGACTACATCACAGATTACTGGGGAAAAGATATTTCGTTCACACAACTTCAACACCTCTCGATGTGTACTTTGAGTTGCCGAAAATTCTTCCTCCGTTATACCCTCATTTCATTTAGATGAAGCGGGGCTGTTGGACAAGCAATTATTGATGATTAGGCGGCAGCTAACTTAACCGACCGCGTTTTCGTGGCTGACAGGAGATGATGGGCAGTTTTTCAATCAACGAATGACCGAGAGGTGCGTCACTCAGCCCAAACGGAAATTTCTTCTGAACGAGATTGGCGGCTGAAAAGAAAAAGCTGCTGTTGCAGAGTCCAAAAGCTTGAGTTCTGACGACCACTATCGCAAAATACGACAGCCAACCGCTGACGCAGCAAATCTGCGATTTTAGGTGCTTGGTGAATACGAAACGGTTTTAACCCACGCGCCCGCAATGCACAGATGACGGCGGTGACGATTTTGAATTCATGCCTTCTTGATTCGAACCAAGGTGCAAGTACGGGCCGGTGCGAAATAAATATCTCTTTGATGGCGTACTACATCGAAAAGTTGAATGAGCTAATTGGTTCGGTAGGAAATCATTATACGGGTAGGAAAGCTTGTATTGCCATAGATTTATTTATAGTTTCCCACTTGAGAGAGAAGCCTTGCGAATGGAGCGAGATGGAGCGCGCTATCTTGTGCCTTTGTAATCTGTACAGATATGTATATCGACCAAAGCAACCGGGATGAATTTCGTGCTAAGTGGTCTAGGTGAGTGAGGTCGCCGGGCTTAAAAACGGTGAAATGCTGATGCCTAGGTAATCGACAAGAAGAGGACCTGCTGGTTATCGAAGCTCAGGGGGACGAGAGATTGGAAGGCTATTCCTGAGCCGAGGGGTGTTGGTATCTGTATCAGTTTGCAATTCATGATGATGACGTTGTGCTAAACCAGTGCAAACATCTAATATGCGAAATATTCACGGAATGAATCGCGACGGAGCGTGCCTATCATTTGTGTTCTTAAATTACATCATGGATGCAGGCAAAAAACAGCTTCTCTGGTAGTGCTGGGTTATCGCGATTATTGAGACGACGATGCAAACCCGTTGGGGGAGCTAAAACTTTAAATGTAAAGTTCTGTAACTGCGCACGGAAGCGATGTAAACCTACCACAGAACTCCATCTCATTTTTAAAATAATATGAACCATGAGGCTCACAGCCTCCCCTCCCTCCCCTCGTTGGCAGTGGATATGTGGGACATTGCTTGACCATCCATTGAGCAGCTTGTCTGTCCTCTTCGTGTTTTGGAAGCTCCTGTTGTTGCTGGCGGTTGTCGCCAGCCCAGGACCTGGATACGATACATCTACTACTCTTCTTCCGTCCACTGTATCAGTGAGCGCCACAGACTCATCATTATTGGGAGTTGGAACAGTAATTGGCGGCGGGAGTGGGTGGTCATCATCCTTGCTAAAGCTTGTGAGATGGGACGCGATTTACTTCGTGAGCATCGCCCAGCGCGGTTATATATTTGAGCAGGAATGGGCGTTTGGATACGGCTACACGAAATTGCTGTCGTTTTTATCATCCGGTGAGAGTTTTCTTGGTGTGTTGTTTTTTTCATATGAAACTGTTTATTTATTTATTTATTCGTTTGTTTATTTATTTGAAGTTTAAATTTACTTGTTTTGTCAGGACATTTTTTATTTTTTGGCAAAATGACCGAGAGCTAATGAATTATCCATTTGTAGTCTTCTGGAGAGTTCCGGATTCGAATCCTGATACTTTCCATGTAGCACTGGCTGGTATTGGACTCTCGCATACCTGTCATTACTTATCTGTCCTATCGCTCTACGGATTATCGAGAACCGTCTTCGGTGATGGCAGTAGCCGTGCGCTGCCCCTCCTAGCCGCAGCACTTCATGTCATCTCACCTGCTGGTGCATTTCTCTCAGCGCCCTATGGCGAGCCTGTATTCTCGTTTCTCAATTTTACAGGCTTTTACGCATATGCATCTGCGCTACATGATGATCGTCGTGGATGTGTGTTCGCAAGAGATGTAAAATTTCTAGTGGCAGGAGGGCTGTTTGCTACCGTCACTACTGTCCGTAGCAATGGTGTCTTGAGCGGCATGTTGTTTGCGTATGATGCGGTGGTGGGATTGGCAGCCATTGTTTCAAGTGGAGTATCGCTATCCAAACTCCACAGGATGTTCTTTGTTGTTCTTGGCGGGAGTTTGATTCTTCTGGGAGTTGTTGGGCCCCAGTACCGTGCCTTCATGGTCTACTGCCGGAATGTGGACGTGCGTAGGATTTGGTGTGATAATACAATCCCCAGCGTTTACACCTTTGTCCAGAATCATTACTGGTATGTCTCAAGAGCTACGACGATACCTAAAGCCGTGATGTCGTATACTAATTTTACTTCGTCTTTGCAGGGGAAGTGGGACTTTCCTAAGCTACTGGAAAGTATCTAACCTGCCTCTTTTCTGTCTCGCAGCTCCTATGCTCGTGATAATGGGTGTTTCATCTTGGTGGCCGTTCCAGTCGCCCTTGGATTTCGATATACGAAACAAGGAGCCAAGGAAACGAGAAGAAGAAGTATCGCAAGCGGAGCATCGACGTACATGCCTTTACAGACTGGCAATTCCCCAGGCGGTTCTCGCAGCCCTCGCGCTAACGAACTCTCATGTCCAGATAATCAACCGCATATCTTCTGGATATCCGTTGTGGTACTGGTATATAGCGGTTTGTGTTCTCGAATATGGTAACACTTTCCATCCAGTGCTCAAACCACGTTTGCTGGTTCAGGCAATGATTTTATATAGTTTTATCCAGGGAGGACTATTCGCGTCATTTCTTCCGCCAGCATGACCTGTGGTTTTAGTCCCTCGTGCATTTTATCAGAAGCTCTGAGCAGACGGTTAACACCTTTGTGTTGCGTATATGGTTCTGCCTGGTGAGCGCACTTATTAATCAAGCCAACCAGGACACAACTATTTAAATAGAATCCTTTGTAATCCTACTTGCCCAGCCTTCTCGTTATTCTCAAATTTTATTCTGGAAATCCCACAGCATTCATTGCAGGGTGCGGCTCTCCTTGTATCTGGTCCAGCCAACAACCTGATTAGGTCATCACTCTTCCAAAAGCAAGTTAGAACTTTCCAACTGAGCTTCGGACAACTTGTAGCTCCCAAGTCAAATGAGCTTGGGTAGTTATCTGGCCAAATGACTTCCTGAACTTCACGTCTCCTTTTCCCCTTCGTTAAATAGATGATCATCGACCAGGAATCAGTGTAAATACACCTGCGGCTACCATTGCTGTGCGGCTAGTCCACTGCAAGTCTCTCTGCCCAGGAAGGAGAAAGGCTGAGGCATCAAAAATCCCCCTTGCCATATTTGTGACCTTTGGTAGGTTGCTACATGTGTTCTTTTGTGTCTATTCTTCAACTCTGCTTCGTGTTTAAACTAACTACTTAACGCCATACTCAGGTATCTGCTGCACCAGAGACAAACTGGTCTCTATAGTATCCCGTCGACGTCATCCCGCCCTTCCTCGCCATTCGCAATCTTCACTTTTAACGCCAACATGGATTCCAGAGAACAACTTCCAGATATTTTAGTTGCGGACCACGGCCATAGCGAAAACGAGCTTTCGCGGGAAACGTCCCCAGGAGGCGAACCTACTAGAATCAATGGGGGTTTACTTGATGATCACTTCAAAAAGGCACGGAATAGACCAAGGACATATCCATATTTCAAATACCTGCCCTATACCGTCGAGGATGAGAGTGAGCGACAACGCAGCCTGGAGGAAATCCTCGAACACCTCTATATCGCCGTCGAATCTGGAGATTTCAATCCAGGAGCTGTACACTGGACACGTGAATTGAAAGGATGGCTGTCGTTGAAGTTTGACCCGACGAGGGAGCAGAGGATAAAATTGGTGAAATTTTATTATGAACTTGCTCTAGCTCCGGGAGTCGACCCGAATGTCGCGGAGAGATTCGCCAGCATGTTTATGCTTTTAACGAAGTAAGGTGGATTGCGGTTTTCGTTACTTCTTTCCCATCATTTCGCTAATAGGACATATAGGAGAAAACATTACCTTCGACCGGTCAAGGACCTCATACTTGACTGGAAACCGCTATACAGAGAAATTAAGATATTCGTTCTTCCTTCACAATCTGGTTTGGTTCACTCCACGAATTTGAAGAGGAATATCAAGACCTTAACGAAACTTTGTGCTTTTGCTCAACCTTATTTCGACCCTTTGGAGTTGCCGGTGATGCTGGAGGAATTTCTACCTCATTTCAGCACTTCATTTATTGAAGGGGCATTCGTCGTTATCGGGTTGATGAACTTGTTCTTGCCGACGACTCCACCACTGGAAGACCGTGAAGACCTTCTCCCACAGCACTATCTTCCAACTTATTTCCACCTTTGGCCCCTGGTGAACCGATCTAGAACATTTGATGTTACCTTCACAGATCTCTTATCGAGGATGGCACGAGACGCACTCCCGGCCAGCTATATTCCATTCTCCGAGTTTGGAATCTTTACCTCCGAGCAAACCACACTCATATTTACTGCAATTCTGAGGTTAATGGAAATTCCCGTTGGACAAGCGACCTCACCTTACAGCAGTGGTGTTGACTCTTTATCAGGCCTAGGATTAATGCTTGAAAGGGATTTCCGAAAACACCCATTTACTCATAATATTGCGCGATGGATAGTGATGTCACTTTCGCCTGCATGCCTTGAAACCGAACATTCTATATTATCCAAGCTTGAAGGTTTGATAGAAGCAGTGGAAACTTTCTTCCACCCTTCTAATACTGGCGTATGGTCAAAGGCGTTGTCACAACTCGTTTACTACCTCGCAGACTTCTTTGTGATGCGGTGGAACATGGAGCATGACAAGGAAAACGAGGTCCCACCCGAGCGGAGATTAAACGATGCATTGAAACGGCGTTTTGTCCTGTGTCTTCGGGAGGTAACATTTATGGGGATATATTCGAAGCTCGGAGTCGCAATGAACTTTGCGCTGTCCACTCTTCAAAGCTTAGCATACCTGGAACCGAAGCTTATTTTGCCTGGAGCCCTTCAAAGAATTTATCCCTCACTACAGGGTTTGGTAGAAGTCCATAGGACAACTTCCTCTCTTCGATCTCTGCAGGTTTTATCCCGGCTGATGGCGCGAACCAAGGGGTTCCGTTGCCATATTACCACGCTGTTGGGATTAGTCTTACCGGGCATTGATGCCAACGACTTAGAAAAATCCTTACATTCGTTGGCTTTCATACAGTCGGTCTGCTACAATATCCCTTTTGAAGACCTTACTCGGGATCGTGACGATGTGAACGGAAATATGTTGGCTGTTCAGTGGATAACTGGGGAGCTCGAAAGAATGGAAAATGAGGGAGCGTCTATTGAGATGAACTATGACACAGAACTCACTGATCAAGAGGAAGAAATGATCTTGCGGTCATCAACAACTCAATTTGGAGAATTCTTATTATCTTTTCTTGGCAGAGTATTCACTCTTCTCGAAAACCTCCCGGACGCTGCTCGGGTTCGCAGCGGCTCTCCCGAGGAGAACGTCGTTAATACATTACCTGCGACGCTTATGCCTCTACTCGCATCCCTTTCACCAGAACTATATGACCAAGCTTTAATCAAAATCGTAAATTTTGTTTCTGGTCATGTTATCCATCCAGCCCGAGATGCAATGGCATTTATTTGCAATGCCGTTTGTAAAGTCAACCCTGAAAAGGCTCTGAAGAGTCTTGTTCCACTCCTAATACAATCTATACGTACCGAGATAGATGAAAATGGCGCGGCTTCCACAAGGACCACAGGCTCAGATATCTTGCCTCGCGATCGCGGACTCGTCTGGAATGTTAGCATGCTGAGCATGTGTGTCGTTCATGTGGGGTCTGCTGTTTTAAAATACAGAACAGATCTTTTCGACATTGCCATCTACATGCAACAAAAATGCAAGGGCATCCCAACTGTCCATGTTTCGAATTTTATCCACCATTTGCTTCTGAACCTTACGGCGACGTATGTTATTGACCACTCTCTGTATGAGCCGGATGTCAAGGAAAAAGGTATTCAAGTAGAACAATGGGGTCAGAGGCATGACCCAAACCATCTAACCATCAAATGGCATGTCCCACAACGAGAAGAACTTGAATTTGCAGTCGAGCTCTTCAAGTCACAGGCAGAGAACGCTCTGGATCAACTTACATCCCTTACAAGCGAGACACCAAGTATAAACCGAGACGGAAGCGGCAAGGAATGGTCCGATGAAGTGACACGAAAGCTTGTTTTACTCAGACTCATCATTTCTGGAATTTCTATGTTGTTTGATAACAAGGCAGCTTCATACTACAACACTGGGGATAGACGTTCCCATGCAGATCTTGACGTCAAAATGTCCAATGCGAACGACCCATGTTCTGACGAAGGAAGTTCTGAAGACGATTCTGCACTAGACGGCTCCGACGATTCTGCTGTGCGACAAACATTCCAATATCCTACTGGATACCTATTGAAAGAAGACGACCCTCTCTATATCTCCATCCATGAAATTAGACGCCGGGTTGGTGAAGTATTACATAACGTTCACAGGTTTTTGGTGGAAAAGCAGGAAGATGATGTTTCATGCTTCCCTCCTTTGTATACCGCCTATCGTTCATGGTTCGTCGACGTTGGAATAGAAAAATCCGCCCATATTCTCGACCGAGTTACCAAACTCCTTGCGGCTGACACCCAGCCATATAAAGTAAGCGGCGTTCGTAAAGATTATCCTCGGCCTTTACTTGTTCGTCGTGCAAATGTTTATCACGTGCAAAGACTCCGACACAATGCCTCCCCTCGACCTCGATCTAAGCTTGATGAAACCCTTCTACTTGATCTCGCTGAGTCGAGTGTCTCGCTGTACACTGATATAAGGCGAAGTGCCCAAGGAGCCAGCGAATCTGCTCTCAAGGCGATTTGGGGATCAAGACTACTTATTATTCCGACGTTGATCAAAGCACTACAAACAGCAATCAAGACAAACGATTACCCCCGTTTAAAAGGTGCCATATACTCTATCCTTTTCAGCAGCATCGCAAAACCCGTGGGCCGGCATTGGAAATACGCGCCGTCTCTCATTAAGGCATTTATAGAAGCCAACGCCGTTGATAGGCCCTCGATTCAAAAACTGTGTTCCGGGGCTGTCTATCAGATTATGGATTATGGACGCCCAATGGAGAGGATGGCGGTACTTGACCAGGACATTATAAAGTCTATCGCCCCAAAGAGTGATGTGCAGGCTATAATTGATAATAAACGGGAAGCTCTTCAAAAAAAGCGAGCTTTGATAGAACAGAAGAAGGCTGAGCTTTCAGAAGAGCTGACCGATTTGGCACGGGTATCCCACTGGAAAATGGCCAGCAGGACTGCAGCGATCGTCATTGGCTTGGGTCTGAGATTTGATTATGTCGCAAGCGAGAATTTGGTAAACCTCATCATACAAGGATCCATCGATTCTCACCCGAGCCTGAGAGGGATATACTCCCAAACCCTTGTTGCTCTGTTTACCATGGTAGATGTGAGGGCAGTCTGCAGTCATAAATATGAAAACTACATCATGGGTGTTCAACGTTTTCCTTCCAAAATCCAAGTCGCCACACAACCATACAAAAAGGGTTGGACTGAGGAGTACCTTGCAAGTTTCGCCAGGCCGGAGGCGGAATACTATGTCGACCACGATTATCCTGGCTGGCTTGTTTGGGGAAAGACCATGCCAGCATATAAATCTAACATCAAGCAGGATATCGAGTACGATGAGCTTGAATGGAATGTTCGCAAACAAATGGGAAAGCTATGTACTCGGGAATGGTTTGCCGCATTCTTCAAATATTTGAAGCAGGAGCCAAGGGATGTCTACGCGGATAAATTTCGCATGTCAAGCGCCATGACGCTACTTTATGTTTTCGAGCTCATGCTTAGAGATGAGCTGACAGCCGCCACGTTTGAAGACATCAAAGAAGAGATTGCTGTTGTTTTTGAAGATGGGAGTGATAAACATCAACACCGTGCAACCGCGGAAATACTGGGCGCGCTTATCGGCTCGGTGACAGATACGAGCGTTGACAAACGAACCCTAGTATGGGAATACGCATTTCCCATTGTTCGCCGGATATTCTCAGATGGCCTTACCCCAGAAAACTCTGGATATTGGACAACGTTCGTGCATATGATAATGCAATGCAGGGACCCACGTCGCCTCTGGCCTCTCCTTGATTGGTTAACCAGCTTCCGACTAGATATGAACTCGAATGCAGCGTTTAAAGAAAGCTCGAAAATCAACTTATTGCACCAATGCATCCTGGACGTCGGTTGGCACTTTCAGTTAGAAAAGCCGATTGTTGCAGACTTTCTTGCTCACCTTGATCATCCTTACAAAGGAGTCCGTGAAGCCATAGGCCACACTCTAGGGTCGATTTACCGTACTAGGTATCACGAGTCATATGAAAATATACAACAATTGATTCAGGCACAAAAAGAAGCCTCTTCTATTGGCACGCGTCCCTACAAGCCAAGCAAGGAATTTGCAGATACCATAGTCGATGTGTTCAGCCGGCTGGAAAGGTGGCGCGGAGAAAGAGTTCCTGGTCAACAAACACCATCCTCATACACTTCGGGGAGCAAAACCGTTCTTCTCTGGCTAGACTCCACACTGTCGTCACATGAATGCACTCAGCTTCTACAATTCTTTCCAGGTACTTTTACAGAGGAGCTTTTGCATATGATGGATGTCAAAGAGGACCAGGAACTACAAAGACTCGCCTACCACGTCTTCCGTCACCTTTCGAATATTCCCCATCCTGCTGGAGATGACTCCGAGTTTGTGGAATCTTTGATTCGTATTGGGCTTACGTCTTCTTCGTGGCATCAACGACTTCGCGTCATGATCAACATCCAAATTATGTATTTCCGCCGTCTTTTCTTGCTGTCCAAAATTGATCGTGAGAAGCTATTCGATTGCATCGCCTGTATGCTCGAGGATACCCAACCTGAAGTCCGGGCTGGAGCTTCTGCAACGCTCTCTGGCATGATCCGCTGCTCTCCTGCGTCATTACGTAACGATATGGTTCTCAAATTACGCGACAGGTTCACAAAAGCGCTTACTGACAATCCACTCCCGAAGAAATCTCGTCGTCATGGTTCCGGTGTGTCCTCAGGTGTTTCCACAGGCGCCAGCACTCCAAACCCTGAGCATACCCGACTTGTTCTCACAAGACATGCTGCAGTCCTTGGATTAGGTGCCCTCATACAGGCTTTCCCCTACACTAGCCCTCCGCCACAGTGGATGCCCGACGTTTTAATCACACTGAGCCACAAAGCCGCAGGTGATCCAGGCATTGTGGGGCAAAGCGTGAAGTCCATAATTAGTGATTTCAAGAAAACAAGACAAGACACCTGGCATATCGATGTCAAGGTATGTTAATGTTCCCCTTTTGGCTTTGTCTTAGTGCATTCAATGGTTGGCTAACAATACCTAACTAGGCTTTTAAACCGGACCAAGTTGAAGACCTCGCAGGGGTTCTATGGAAGAGCTATTTCGCGTAGGCTATACCATACAGAGCTCTCCTAAATCCTTTCTCATTAATTGCCAATCTGGCTCTGTCTCTTATGCCGTATAAAAATATTGGACACTTGGACACTTTATTTCATCCCTCCCTCGCACGGTTTGGCGTTTGAGAATTGATAAATGGAACTACGCTTGTAGCCGGTCAGGAATCAGGGTTCGCTGGGGTTTTATCATTCCGATATGCTTCTATGCATGCACTTATAGCTTGCATTCAAAATTTCCCTTGGGTATCTTATCTTCCTGCACTAGACCTATACATCATCCTTAATCTCGCCCGTCCTCCATTTCTCTAGTAATTTTAATTATGAGCCGGAGGATTCCTGTTGTGGGAAGAAACATTTCCCTAGTTTAACATGGTCATATTGTATGGGCACAGGTAATTTGAATTGTATAATAAAGACTATATACGGCATAACGAGACCTTCTCAAGGCTCCGTCGCCTTTTGTTTCCCTTGGCAGCGACTATTATCACGTGACTATAAGCCACAATCTCTTAGCGCTTCCAAGGTTCTGGGCAACCTTGCAACTCCAACCTCCATCGTCAACTACAGGTTGGTCCTAATCTTCCTCAACATCAACTCACATCTGCCCGTCATTTTTCATCTTTTTTTTTTTCCTTCTACGTGATATTTTTACACTGCTTGTTTCTTTGTCTTGGATGCGTTCTTTCTGTATTGGTGAGATAGCCGACTTCAGGCAACCACCATGGGGGTTCCGCAAGATACGCTCTTCCGCTCAGCGGACATGAGCCTGACCCAGCTATATATCGCAAACGAAATCGGCCGGGAGGTTGTCAGTGCTTTGGGAGAAATTGGGCAGGTTCAGTTCCGTGATGTGGGTTGATCCCGAATACCCGGAGCTCGACGCCGAAGGTGCAACTGACCCTGGAATACTTTGTTTAGTTAAACCCTGATACTACTGCCTTCCAGCGGACATTTACCAACGAGATCCGGAGACTTGATAATGTCGACAGGCAACTGCGTACGTATCATACCCGGAAGATGCTGAAAGTGAGATCTGCGGTGCTGAATTTTGATGGGATTGTTTTAGGATACTTCCACTCGCAGCTGGAGAAAGCAGGAATTCCGTTGAGATCGTCCTCCGAATTTTCCAACACTTTAGCAGCCCCAATGGCATCCGAAATTGACGAACTGGCTGATCGAAGTGAGAGTCTTGAACAAAGAGTCACTTCTCTGAATGAGAACTATGAAGCCTTGCAGAAACGAGAAATTGAACTAGTTGAATGGCGATGGGTCTTGAGAGAGGCCGGTGGATTTTTCGATCGGGTTCGTTAACTTCCCAACTTGGTACATATTATCTACTCCCAGGTGACTGGTGATTGACCCGAAAACTAGGCTCACGGCCACACAGAAGAGATCCGTCAATCATTTGAGAATGATGAGGCTCCTCTTCTGCGAGACGTTGAACAGCAACCCGCGAGAGGCCAGAACGGTGATACAGAGACTCAACAAGCATTCTCAGTCATGAATATTGGCTTTGTCGCGGGTGTTATCCCGAGAGATCGGATTGCAGCATTGGAGCGAATTTTGTGGCGAACTCTACGTGGAAATCTATACATGAACCAATCGGAAATCCCAGAGGCGATTATTGATCCGTCCAATAATGAAAAAATTCACAAGAATGTCTTTGTGATATTCGCCCACGGAAAGGAAATCATTGCAAAGATCAGGAAAATTTCCGAGTCCCTTGGAGCCAACTTGTACAGCGTGGACGAAAACAGCGAACTCCGGCGAGACCAGATCCACGAGGTTAATACCCGAGTAGGCGATGTGGGCAGTTTTCTGCGCAATACGAAAAGCACCTTGGATGCTGAATTAACTCAGATCGCACGTTCCCTTGCTGCTTGGATGATCATCGTCAAGAAGGAGAAGGCAACTTATCACACACTCAACAAATTTTCTTACGATCAAGCCAGGAAGACGCTTATTGCCGAAGCTTGGTGCCCTACTAATTCTCTCCCACTTATCAAGGCAACACTGCAGGACGTGAATGATCGTGCTGGATTATCGGTGCCAACGATTGTCAACCAGATTAGAACCAATAAAACTCCTCCTACCTATATCAAAACAAACCGATTCACTGAAGGTTTCCAGGTCATCATCAACGCCTACGGGACGGCTAAATATGGAGAGGTGAACCCCGGCCTTCCGACGATAATCACGTTCCCTTTCCTCTTTGCGGTTATGTTTGGCGATTTCGGCCATGGGATGCTTATGACCATGGTTGCCACAGGCATGATTTTGTTCGAAAGGAAGTTGCTGAAAACCAAGGTGGACGAGATCACTGCTATGGCTTTTTATGGCCGATACATCATGCTTATGATGGGCATCTTCTCGATGTACACCGGTTTGATATACAATGATATCTTTTCCAGATCTATGGAAGTCTTTACAAGCGCATGGAAGTGGCCGGAACATTTTAACAAAGGCGACGCCCTTACCGCTGAGCTTAAATCTAGTTATAGATATCCCTTCGGTCTTGACTCGGCGTGGCATGGAACCGAGAATGATCTACTCTTCGCCAACAGCTTCAAAATGAAGTTGAGCGTCCTTCTCGGTTGGGCCCATATGACATACTCTTTGTGTTTATCTTACATCAATGGCCGACATTTCAAGAGACCCATCGAAATTTGGGGTAACTTCGTCCCTGGAATGATTTTCTTCCAGTCTATTTTTGGATACCTCACTTTCACCATTATATACAAATGGTGCGTGGACTGGAATGCTCGTGGACAAACCCCCCCAGGCCTACTAAACCTACTCATTTTCATGTTCCTCAAACCCGGCACTGTTGAGGAAAAATTATATCCGGGGCAAGGAGTCGTGCAAGTCATTCTCCTCCTTGTTGCCGTTATTCAGATTCCAATCCTTTTGTTTCTGAAGCCGTTCTACCTTCGATGGGAACATAATCGTACCCGCGCGCTTGGATATCGAGGCCTGGGAGAAACTGCCCGTGTGAGTGCTTTGGATGGCGAGGATAATGGAGACAGTCATATTTTAGGTGACGGGCGAACCAGCCTAGGCAATGATGCGGATGGTATTGCCATGATCACCCAAGACATAAGCGAGGAGGAACATGAGGAATTTGAATTCTCTGAGGCGATGATCCATCAAATCATTCATACTATCGGTTAGTAAAACCTTCTCTTTTATTGCGTTGTCGGAATCAGTCACCACAAGAGTTTTCTTCGGCTTATTAACCTTCTTTTCCTGTAGAGTTTTGCTTAAACTGCGTTTCACACACTGCATCATATCTCCGATTGTGGGCCCTGTCCCTTGCCCACCAGCAACTTTCAGTGGTATTATGGACTATGACGATTGGTGGTGCTTTCTCCATGGAATCAAACGTCGCTAGAGTCATCATGATCATTGCCACCTTCTACATGTGGTTCACTTTGACTTTTGCCATTCTTTGCGTTATGGAGGGCACTAGCGCAATGCTGCATTCCCTCAGGTTGCACTGGGTCGAGGCCATGAGTAAGCATTTCATCGGTGATGGAATTCCCTTCCTCGCATTTAGTTTCAAGACGCTCTTGGAAGAGGAGCCGGTGGATTAGGCGATTTATCTGTCTGGACCGTTTAAAGTGCAGATGGCTGTAATAATTCTTTATTTTTGGGAGGTCATTCCGTACTTCAAATTTATTTCTTACCTTTCTGCCCTGTACTCTCCTTGACGTGACATTATAAATGAATCGTTCTTTACACTTTGTTTGTGTATACCGGTAGTTGAGGATATAATTACTAGAGAACAGAACGTCTGTTTAGGTTCTTTCCATTTTCTCTCCAGATTCATCACTCCAACACCGGATTCCCGTCCACTACCAGCATGGAGCTACCGATCTGTAGCAGTGAACGAGCTCTTTTGCACCAGTGACCTTGCAACTTACCAAGACCGCCCAGACATGAGCAAACCCAACCTGGTTTGGATAATTAAGTGAGCATTGAACTCCACATGTACGCAGTAGTAAGTGCAACTTACATCGCACAACTCGATTCACCCTACTGAACCTGCCAAGCGACTCTCCATCCTGGTGTTGGTAGGGCGGAGGCATGATGAGTAACTTACCACAGGTCCATGAGGGTCGTCTCCCGATCGTCGCTTAAAAGTTAACACCTAGCGACGCCCCGCCATAGTTGTCGAAAAGGACGCGGTGGTTACTGACACATCGGGCACAGCTGGGTATGCTAGGTAGATTAACATCGCTGCACAAGTCAGAGTTATAGAGCAACGTCAGCAAGATGACATGCGCCTACCAATGCCCGTTGAAGAGCCAGTGACAGCTTCGGACAGGATCTGATCGGCCCCATAGCACAGTTGGAGAAGCGAGACAGAGCCCAGCTACCGAGTAATGGGTCTACTTGCGACAGGATGAATTAGCCATCGCTGTCTTCCCCTACTCGCATTCGTTGGCAGCTAACGAAACTGTTGGAGTCCCTTGCAGGCTTCTCGTTTCAAACGCGAACCATGAGGTTATTGCAACAGCTCTCTGTGTCGATGCAAGCGCATAGATGATTACGATTATGATCAACAGCAATACTACGTTCCCGGTTGTGACATGTGAGCATGGGAAATGTATTTGGAGGGCTCTGAGAGAGATCTCCTTTCGATATCACCAACTTGAAACTTTTCAAATTTAGGTATCTTTGAAATAATGATCTGATACAAGATGTACCTGAGAATGCAAATTCTCAAAATATGAATATCTTCAAAACCTCAGATACCAATATATTGAGTATATAAGTATATAATTCAATCCAGAGAATATAACATTTTGAAAAATTCAATTAAGTTATTAATTTCACTAATTAAAATGTATAGATTACGGGGAACGAAATCTTATGTTGTGTTGAAGATATGATTTTTTTCTCTCCATCATTTGCTTATTATAGGATGCACTCGACAGAGAGACCTTGTGGTGAGGGGGGTGCTAAGCGGTCTTGGTGGCGCAAAGGCACGAGCCATCACCACCAAAAATCTCTTGAGGTATCATATTCGCCCACGTCTTCAACGAACTGGCAACAATGTTACGTGATATGATCACCTCGAAACCCTGCGAAATCGCGGTCTACACGTTTACGAGCAGATCGCCTGGCGTGCTTGGAAACCCTGATATTAATTTCCCTGTCTCAGACCGCGTGGAATCCTCTGCGATAAGCTATGACCGGATGATTGCAGCGTACAGTACTCCCACTACCCTTCGATGTATCAATCGACGAGGCGAGGTGCTGTGGAGTTATCAGTTTACCGATCGAACTAAAGGATACATGTGTTACATAACACAACCGGAATTCTCCTTTGACAGCAGGGTTGTATGGCTTTACCGACCAGACTGCGGAATCTGGGGGGAGATTGCACCGACAAACTTCTTGCGATCAATGCGGCTACAGGTTCTATTATCTCTCAGGTGGATTTGGGAAGCACAGGACATTGTGCACGATTTCTTGCCCATCCCAATAATCAATTTACGCTTCTGGACGTTGGAGAGGGGCAAGATGGATCACCGCTCTTCATGTTCTATCTCGACGAAGCTGGTTCTGTCCAGCTAACCCGCTGTGATTGGTGCGTAGGCTACCGCCTACTTGACACCTCTCTTGATGGAACACGATGCGTGAGCGTCGATGAGATGCAAAACCGTGCTATTCTCCACTCCCTCCCCAGCGGCCAAACTCTAGGCACAATTGAGGTAGACGAATTCGGGCAGGACGCTACATATATCGAAACGTATCCAGGTGGTTATTGCGATGATAACTCGGTAATCATCAACGTCAGAGGCGAAAGCGAGGGTTCTAATTGGAACCAGCGATTTTTACTCGACGCGCATGCCATGAAAGTGATCAGGCCAATTGGCCCCCGGACAGAAGATGCGGAGAGCTTGTTTTTACCTGGCAATGGAATGTTCGTGAATTCATGGAGCATTGAAGAGATTCCTACAGAGTAGATAGATCTGCCTTGAAATCAGGGGCCTAAGCGATGTAAGGTCCTCTGTAACCACCTTTGGCGCAGATAGCAGGGTGGGCTTTCAGCATACTCCAAAACGATAGCCAGCTATCATACTAGACGGGTAATCTCGTAGACTTCCACCTTGTACTTTCGGTGTGCGTTAGGTACTTGAAAGTTAATATCCTTGAAATTCGCGCGGAATAAATTATATCCCATGGAACAAATTCCTTGTGCGTACTAAAAGCTTTCAGAAATTCTAAGACTTAAAAATAAATGATGTCATTTGCTGCTCAGGCGCTGAGACTAAACCAACTCACTGGCAGGAGCTTTATAAAGCATAGACAGAACAGATAGTGAAGTATAAATATTACCGGCTATACATCCTCAAATCACAAGTTCCCCCTTCAGATAAGCGCTCGTCGTAGTCGAATATGGCTTGTGGGGAGCCCCGATTCCTCACGTACTCTACACCGCGCTGTGGGATCGCCAAACACAGTTTCAGGAAGGCGACCATCTACAATATTATCCCGGCAATCCACGTGTTGTAAATTGTCGAATATTGGTTTTTACTTGACACCCCGTAACAGCTGATGAAAAAAAATGTCCAGATACTGTCACCGGGTCCTTACCTTGCGCTGAATGGCAACCAGTTCGTCGAAATACATATGTCAAACTAATATATGTACGCAGCCTTTTTTTTTTTTTTTTTTTTGGTCTCCCGTTTTGATAGAGTTGGGACGAAGCCTATTATTTTGAGACTGGCGAAGAGCAGCCCCTGCTGACCATAAGATAGTTCGGCTTTCAAGCAAGACACACCAATGTTCTAAACGATGGCTGATTCTCTTTTCAATCTAACAGGGAGCTACTGTGACAGGAGCCCACAAAGGAATTGGCCAGGCTGAGGTGATTACACTGGCAGAAGCCGGAGCTAGCCTTATCCTGATCAGAGTAGGCCGAAGCCTGTGCGGTTTGGAATGCATGGTTTGAAGCCGATGCAATTGACAAGCAAATCGCAACGGAAGCCATTGAGAAAACAGGCCGGAAATGCTATCCAGCTACCAGCGCAGCCTGGGCAATCAACCCGCTGTAGTTGTCATCATTGAAGCGGTCACTGCTGAACGCAGCAAGCACTAGTGTCAATGTCCTTGTGAACGCCGCAGGGATTCAGCGCCGTTCTGAAGGCCAAAAATTCCATGATCATGCATCCTACTCTCATTGGACCATTTAAGCTCTGTGAGGATATAGGCAAGTATTAGATTGAAAATAATATGCAAGTTATAGGTGGGTCGGGTTACAGTGTGTTTGAACCCAACCCTCACAATAACCAGGTTATATGTGGAGGCGCAGTCACTCAGCCATCAACATCACTGTATATAATCTGGTTATTGCTGATGTGTGTTCAATTTCATGTTTATATATACAGGATACTTGTATTTAGTAAGAGAAATACTATTAAATTCAGATACATGTGACTTTGCATACAGAAAGTTATATAACCACTAGCTAAATGATCTGCTTGACTTCATCTCTACTAAAGAGCTACTGATCTCAGATACTGTGTAGAAGTACAAATCAACTGTCTGAGTATCATACACAGTCTATATAACTAGATCTAACTCTATAATAATAATATATATACATCTATAATAATAATGAAGAAATAGAGATCAAAGAGAGAGAATAGAATAGAACAGAACAGAAAAATGAAAGCTTTATATATACTCTATTCAATGAGAATAGAATTATTCTGTGTATTAGACTGAGTATTATGATTCACATCATCTACTGCTGACACTTATAGCTGTGATGACTGTCTATTATAAAAATTATTATACATATCAGACTGATCTGCAGAGCTGTAGAGGAAGCAGTATACTGCATGATTATATTATTTGCAGTTGACACATACTTCTTCAAAATGACTGTATGCATGATAACACAATGAGAACAGTTTAAACTCAGAGAATGTACAACACTGTGTACAGTCTGTGACAAAAGTTCTATCATAAAATTGAATCAGAATGGCATTGATGTACAATAAATAATGAGACAATACTTGATCAGCTCTGATATATATACAGATGTATAATATATCAAAGTCAGAGACAGTAAGTAGAGTATAGAATTGAGAACTATGATAAAATATACTCAGCTGAAGATTGCTGATATATATTATATCATACTCTGATCATTTCTGTTATTTATCTTAATATTCAGCAGTTGAATGATATAAATCAATTAACTCAGTCTGAGTCAGATTTCACTGAGCAGTGACAGAATTGTATGAAATAAAAGCTCTTATATTATAATCAGCTTTCTATACTGTATGATAGAGAAGCAGAGAAATACTCATATTGTTCACAGAGAGAAGAAGAAGAGAGGACACTATTGAAGAGCAGAAGAGAGCTGATCTTCTTTTTTATGAAAAAAAAAAATCAAAAATCTTCTCTGACTATATATGTAAGTCTCTGTCAGTATTCTTCTTCTTTGATATAATGAAATAGATATTTCATGCAGTATACAGAGTGAGAAAAAGACAGAGTGAACAGTGAATGAGTGATCTTAATGAATTTCAACAAGAGAATAATGAATTCTGATGCAAAAGAAATTATATATATCAGTGAATAATAATAAAGAAGCTGAAGAGAGGAAAAGAAAAGAAGTTGAGAGAGAAGATAGAGAAAGAGAGGATTTTATAACCAACTTGTTATTATTGTCATTGTGAATGAAAGAGGAAAGTGAGAATGCTTTGTGTATGAAAGAGAAAAGAAAGAAAGAGAGAATACTCACTCTTGTGAATTCTGCTGAGGCAGCCTGCATATATAAATAAATAAATACTCAAGATTAAAAGATATACAATATAGTATAGTTAATATACACAGATTATCTTCTTGCTCTTCTGAAAAAGACAGAGAGCTTGTTCAGACTCATTCTTAATTGTACACACATCAACTCAAGCTTCTCTACAATCTCTAGAACAGATCTTGATTTCATTGTATGATAACAGCTGAGTATCTCATCAATGATCATCTTTCATCAGAAAAAGAACATATACTCACTATTCTTCTTTCTTCAGCTAGACTTATACAATAACTTCAGATACTGCACAGAGAGCTGTTTATTCAACCTCTGTTCTCATTTCTTTCAGAGATCATTGACTGATTGAATCATACAGAAGAGTTGATATATTCAAATATCATTCTCAATTGACAATGCTGTAGCAGAAGTGGTGACAGCAGCAGCAGCAGTTGATAAAGAGAAGAATGAAGATACAGATACAGAGATGAAGAGAATCTTAACAGTATCTTTCTGTACACAGACAGAAACAGAGATAGACTGAAAAATTCAGAATTCAGTTGTTATTGTATCAATTCCACACTGAATTCTATCAATCTTCTTCTTCATTTGTACATCTCTGATCTTTATCTGATCCATCACTATATTGATCTGTCTCTATATAATACTCAGACTCTTAGAAATCTGTGGCACTGACTGTTGAAGCATTATTTTCTGTAAAGAAATGAGAACTGACTCTGCAGTCTGTACAGCATCTACAAACTACTCATATTTTACATACTGAAATACTGAGTTGATTCACAGTGAATGAGTTGAAAATTCCCTCTGAAGAAGAGCAGAGTTCTGTAGTATCACTGTATGAAGATAATCTAACAGCTGTAAAAACCTCTGAGCTGCAAGATCATCTAAGTCAAATAAACTTTCACTATCAAACAGTTTCAGACTCACATCAGAGATCTCAGAAGAAGTGATATGAGAGAATCTATTCTCAGAATGAAATCAGATAAATCATTCATCCACTTATAGTCAGAGGGATTTCTTCAACAGCTCTGATGAGATGACTGTAGCTTATGAAAGATGATAATTATTTAATAAGCTAGAATTGAACTCTGCAATCCTCTGTATGAACTTCTGATTGATCTGACTGAGATAGCAGCTGATCAAAGAGTCATTATTTCATCACTCAGCTCTGTGAATGCTGTTCTTATTCATCTCATTAAGCTCTGCCTTCTGTGCATCTGTGAATTATTCAGTGTGAGTCTTCTTTGTCATTTCTAATATATCTATATATATAAAGAGCTTGTTTGTTCACTTAAGATGAGTTCTGTAGAAGATCTGCTTATACAGATCCTCACTCTTAAATAAGTGAATATTGTATCAGAGCTGACAGTAGTGGAACTGAGACAGAGACTTCTGTACAATATTTCATCTATAGAATAGATAGAATACAATCTGTGATATTAAACAAAGAATATAATTTTTATACTGTATGACAGTTGAATATTCAAGTCTGTTGTTCTGATTTATCTTGTTATTATTTATAATCTGAATAAGAGATCAGCAGAGTGTTGATCTCTCATTTAACAGCTCAATTGTAAACAGATCAGTCAACTGCATCTCTTATCTAAACTGCTCTCTCAGCAGTATATGATAATTTATAAGAAAGTCAGCTGCTGTACAGAGAAGAGACTCAACTGTATATTTTTCATCTCTCTATCATCTCTTTCAGCACTGATATACAAAGTTCATTATATTCAGCTCAGTATAGCTGTTCATCAGAGTGTCTGCATCTCTATTCACAAACTCTGTATGTCTTCATACATACTCTATAGATCTGTGAGTCTTTAACATGCTATTCAAAACCTGATCAACTGAGTGAGAATGAGAGTTCTTCTATCTGCTCTGCTGTGTATGATACAGATCAACAAGAACTGCTCAATACTGTTTGATCAGATTCTCTTCTATTATCTGTATAATCTTTTCTTTCTCAGCATTCATACACTTTCTTTTGAGATGATTTTCTCTAAGTAGATGATTGAGAACTCTCTTACTAAAGAATTAGATTGTCTTCTGCTCAGAGACAATCTGATCATCTGAAAACTTCTTTTCATTACATTATTTCTATTATACAGATAGTGAAGATTGAGCAGCAGTGAGAAGTTAGTCTATCAAATTTCATCTCTCTTCATATATAGAAATAAAGAAGAAATAGAAATAAAATAAATCTATATATTACCATTTATTCATTCTGCTTCTCTATGTATGCTATCTGTATATTCTTTGATCTGCTTTGTCTGCTGATTCTCAGTGTATTCTCTCTCTGTACTGTCATCTCTACAATAAGATTATACTGTAGCTGTTTTCATACAGCAGCTGCTTCAACAGCAGTATCAGCAGCAGAGATCATTATCAGTCTTTCTCACTTGTATAAAGATGCAAGAGTTTCAAAGTAGATAAGTAAGAACAAAAATAGTTAAGAATAGAAATCAATACAAGAGCAGGGGGAGAAGAATACAGTAGTGGGATGATAATTATTAAATACACATTCAGAGAGGGGCTGATACAGTCATTGTATGTAATATTACAGAAAAGTTACCTCTTTTATATGATCAAAGAAGGTAGCTCACTGTATGGAACATGTATGGGTTATTTGGGGGCCTTGGCTGAACACCATAGGAACACGTGTTCGAACACAGGCAAATCCACCTTCATATAACCACTAGTTATTTATGGGTTCGGCCTTTGCGCGTTCCTTGGGGGTGTGAAGATGCCTGCGAACTCGAGTTTTGGATCAGTAAAGGTCGCCGGACAGTTGACGAAAGGGTTGTTGGACAATGAGTTTGCTTCATGGGGGGTGCTGGGGGTTCAGGGTCAATGCGATTGCACGAGGGAGTGGTGTGTATTGGCCAGTCCTTTCCCTACCCGAATGGGGAAAAAGTGATCATCATTCTCTCAAAAGCAATCATTCTTCGCAATTGAGCAACACTGATTCTAAATGTTCAAAAAGGGGATTGAATGCAGGCAGAAACATGAAGCTATGGCAGCCTAACATTCTCATGAACCTCAATCCTGACTTCGGCCAAAACCAACTCCCCCCACCTCCGAGCTCACTCATGGAGTCGTGGAGCAGTGGAGCAGTTGTGCAAGGGATCTTGTTGATCCCGAACCAGGCCCTGGCAGCCAAACATTTGAATCGCTTCTCTGTACGGAGTAGTTCGAGCCAACTGGCGATGAAATCCACGGATGTTGAAGTGCTTCTATTTCTGGAGGGCTGTCCTCTGCATCACGGCCTGCATGGTCCCCATGGCCAGCAAATCAACATCTTCCATAAGCGCCCAGTTTTTGGTGGCTGGAATGATGTTGGAATGGCGTTGGACCGACTTCTGAGACTAGGCAAGGATCTGTCTTCACCTTCAACCCACCTTGTGAAGGGTCGAATCAGCAACACGCAACACAACAGAGGAGTTCCAACTTACACCAAGAGGTCGAGATCGCCCAATCATTTCTCTGCCTGGTGACATCAGGCTGTTTTCGACTGACCATCATTGGCGGAAGCAGGATTTCCCTTGTCAAGCCTTCAAAAGCGGGACCTGCGAGAGGAAATCTGACCCTCTTTGAGCTCTTGGCCTCTCGGTCGCCCAGACGGCCTGGGATTTCTAAATTCGGATTCCAGAGACTGAGAATTGTCCACTCAGAGGCGTTTGTTAAATTTGGCTGCTCTAGCGTGGAGTTGGCTGCAGATAATAAAAATAGCCCACGGAGTGACTGACTCTCAACAAATTTGGTGATCTCGCTGGTTTGAATGGCCCCGTGCGATTTTCTACCCTCAACACCAATGGATGGTCTGGCTACGACTGTCAACACCGTGCTTCTCGGGCTTGAAACTATCTAATTTCGCGACGGTTTGGTTTCCGTAATATTATTGTTATTATTAGCTTTTTTCTATGCCTGGTCTGATGCTTTGGCTGGCTGCGAACCCTGGCCGGGGCTGCCTTTGGCTGTACTCGCGGATATGAATAGGTGTGCATGTCCCCTCCTCATTCCATTTATACCGTCTTAAGACATTTGTCTCTGGTGGTTTGTCTCCCTCTCTCCCGTTGTGAAGTGCGTAGACTGATCGTGGATTCTCTCTTACCAGCTGGTCAGACTCCAGGACGGGAGGGTCAGAGTCGCATCGGAATCCTCCTCGACTGATTGTCCCACCTTCCGCTCCGCCCCTCACTGGCGCGCAGGTCTTCCCCCGCTGTCGGGAGAATGTTGCACAGGCCCCATCTCTCACGACACCCCTGAGCGGTGTCCAGTTCCAGGGTTCTGGGTTTCCTGCCAGTCCGAGTTACGCACCGACTCCGAGCTCAATGAATTCATTTCCCAGTCCGTTTTCTCCTATGAGATCGGCGTTCACTTCTTCTTCGGGGGACATGAGTGCAATGACCACCCCGATGTCCTCCAGGCATGTCTCGTACAGCGCGGCTTACAACCCCCAGGAATGGGGCCCTATAGCAGCAAACGGGTCTCCCGCTGCTGGCATGAGCGCGTTTACCTCTCCGAATGGTATTCTCACCTTTATTCCCACCTCGAATTCCTTCCTCCGCTTTCAACTGGTGCAATGGATTACTATTCGAGATGATAAATGTCATTATTCCAAGCGAGAGACTGATAAAAAGTGCGAATGCAGATGCCACATCTATACCTCCTCCCCCCTACTCTCCGAGACACCCAAAGCCTGAAGATACACATGTTGAGGCTTCCCCTAGACTAAGCGTAGGTGCTGGTGCTTCTCCATTAGCAGTTGCATCCCAGTATAATTCTCCAGGCCCTGCGAGAACTCGGGAGTCAGTCCCTGCTGGATATCGCTATCCTGCATCTCGCCCCAGGCCCGTATCGATGATTCATAGTACCGACGTAGTTCTGAGCGACAATCTGCAACCAGGCGCCCCTAATGCGGGTGGCCATTTATCACAGTATCCAGGCCAAAGCGGCCAGAGCAATCCCCCGTACAATGCGGACGGTGGCATTTCTAGCTTGGTATCCTCATCGTCGAGATTGTCACATGACAATGGCTCTGGAAATGTAGCTCTACGGCCTCCAGCATCGATCAGAGCGGCTTCTACAGGGGATATTGGTCAAAATAGAAATGGAAGTGCGGCGCATGCGTGGCTTAATCGACAGCACGGACGTTGGGAGCCAGGGATGCCACTTCCACCTCCACCCCCTGGACCACCACCTAACGGTGCTTGGAACCAATCGAGGGAGTCGTCAAGAGGCCCTTCCCAGGATGGGTCAAACCAGTCGAGTCGACATAGATCACCGCCGGTCTTGGGGACCGGCCTTGGAGAAGTTCCTCCTACACCAATCGGATGGATTGACGAAAGCGTCGTTGCTGGCCAGCGGTCTGAAGGTTCTAGGGAGCGTGCTAGTTCCATGTCTCAAAACACAACAGATTATGCCCCTGAGGATGAGCTTGCTCGTTTGACTCAGCAGAACAGACGCCCCCAATCAACCGTACATCACAGAGACAGCGCTCCAGCAATGAGAGCCATTAGCTCAAAAGGCATCAGAGAACGCAGAATTGAGGCCAGAAAAGAACATGATGCTGCCACAGCAAATACTGGTCCCGATCGCGACACAAACCATGACTCATCGGACTCTGCTTGGCCTAGCGACCTTGTCCTTTCAAAACCAGGCGGTCCTGGACTTATCCGTCGTCGAACCGTAACGAAGCACACACCGCGAACGCCACGAACTGCCCAGTCAGATGGTCAACTTACTGCATCAACTGTGAAGTCTCCGTTCCCAATGCTAAGCTCAACTGGTTCTGCTCAGTCCACTCCAAAACAACAACCAACGCCATCTTTTGAGAACCTCACCCAGCCCAGCAACTATGTGCAAACTCCTCCATTTTCTCCGGCTTGTGACCTCCAATCACCAACTTTTTCTGCGACTGCCACCACTCCAAGTCTACCACCGAGAGCGTTGCCAACCCCACCGTTGCAAGCCATACAGGAACGGAGTAGCTCGACAGTAACAAGCAGCTCTACTGAACAGGAACACACTCCATTGGGTCAAACTAGATCTTCTTCACGTGCATCACGGTCTGGTAGGACAATTGAATATGCAAATGACGACTTCATGCGTGATGCCATCCAGCGACATCGTGATTTCATAGAAAAAGAAGCCTCCGCATCCACCGCGGTTGAAGCCTTGGGCCTCTTTGCTGATTTCATTGTATCAGAGTCTATAATACGACAACAACGGCATGTTACTGCTATCCAAACCGGTTTGTTTGACGTACAAACAGTTAGAGAGAGACTTTTTCAAGCAGATTCTAACCAACACAACGGCGTGCATACAAGCAATCCGCCATCAGCTGGTATCACTACCCGAATAGACCCTCCAGTTCGCTTTCAACCTGTGCTTCCACAAATGCGTGTGGAGTCAGGATGGTGGAGTAATTACAAACCATCCCTATCTCCAATAGGCAGTATTAGTGTAAGAGATGATGAAATGAGTTCCAGAGGGAGAGCCCCGAGCCGTTGGTGGGAGTCACAGACCGGGTCGGAAAGTGGGGGTTCTGGCAAAAAGGTCCGGCGGTCCAAGCAGGAAGCAAAATACATGGGTGTACCTCGAGAAGTGCGTGAAGCGATGCAACAGGAACATTTTTCTGCTGGACTAATTGACGTGAATCAATCTCAAATTCCGCCTCCTGCTTTTGGCTTTGCTGCTACATATGGGCCAAATGAATATCCCCCCGAGAAAGTTGGCTTGGAACGGCACGCTTCTGCATCTCGAGCGCCAATGGTCACATCTCATATTGATCGCCAGATCCCGGCATTAGATATCTCAAGATTTATTACTCTTCCACCCCCATATCCCAGGCATTATCCAGCTGTTAATAACAGCCATCCTGATCTATTGTATTACAGAAGTACGGTAAGATCCGTCAGTGACCTCACGGAAGTCCAGGAAACGAAACAGGCGCACCAGATAAAACTAGAAAAACTTCAGCATGAACACCAAATAAAAATGAAGGAATCTCGGCGCGCATTTAGATCAAGCGTGAATACCCGGATAGCGCAAGGGACTTTGTCTTACGCGGAAGCTGCCGAGGCAGAGGCAGTCCATCTTCTCGAGGAACAGAAATGCGAAAAGGAGCTAATTCAAGCCGAATTCGACTCTTATGAACAAGTAGTATTCCAGCCTTTACAACTCATACTCGCAGATCGGATCGACATTACGTCCACCTGCATTGACAGCCTCCGGAGCAAGTTGTTCGATTTAACACAAGATGGAACCCCAAATCAAACACAGGAAGCAGGCGATGAACGACCAGAGCTTCTAGAGAAATTGACACAACTCAAGTGGCTGTTTGAGGCGCTTGAGCAACTGCATCGAGAGGTGTACAACCTCGAGAGTGAACGCAATGGCCGATATCGAGCAATCGTCACCTTACCATATAAACAAGCCAAAAACCAAGAGAAACTTATAGAGACAGACTCTTTCTTCTTGCAGGATGAGCAAAACAGGAAACTGACATTCGCAACGGAAACACTGCGGCGCTTCGAAAGCTTCATGGAAGTCATTGAACAAAACGTTGGGCGAGGGGTGGAGACCCAGCTTTCAGCCTTCTGGGACATTGCGCCCTCTTTAGTCACCGTCCTTCAGAAAATTCCCGACGACTTTCGATCGTTTTCCATCCAGATACCTTCGAAGGAGTACGAGGAGAGTCCAAGCTACTACCAGTTCCCTCTACAATATCTATACTCTCTACTCTCTCACGCTGAAAAATCAACATATCAGTTCATTGAATCCCAAACCAACCTCCTTTGCCTTTTACACGAAGTTAAAAGCAGCCTCATGAAGGCGAATTGCAATGTTATGGAAGTGCAACGCATAATATCTGGTGAACCAGCAGAGAGCGTACAGCGAGAAATGACGGAATCGAGCGAGGAAGAAGAGAGGCGGTTGACAGCTGACCTAAAAGATAAAGTCACAATGGTCGAGGAGCAATGGGCTGAGGCTCTTGGGAAGGAGCTGAGCTCAGTGAAAAGGCGTGTGCAGCAAGATCTTGTCAACCAGGGCGGATGGGATGATACGATGTTCGAAGAGTCATAAAAAGAGAGATTTATGTTGATCCGCATAATTTTTTTATTATTTATTTATTTATTTATTCTAGTGGGGTTTTTTGGTGGGTGGTATCCTTCCCCCCATTTGTTTTTTTGTTTTTTTGTTTTTTTTTTTTTTTTTTTTTAAGCTTTGAAAAGACATGATTTCTTCTGCTGCTTGAGCTCCAAGATACCCAACCCTCGTTTTATGTTCGATCCTATCATGGAATAATTTGTATATAGTTGCGCTCTATATTTTAGGACTACTTTCTGACGACTCCATCTCATGAAATCAACAGACTTCAGCATGGAGTCAAGTATCCGCCGCGATGCGCAAAATCACATGACATATATTATGTAATCTCCATTTTTCCTCACATTTTTTGTGCTCAGCTCAGTTTCTAGAGCTTTCCAGAAATTGCCCAACCGCATATATTCTCACGACAAACCTCCGGCCACAACGACTCACTCCAGTCACTCTTCCTATTTTACTTTATTCACTCGGCTGATCTGCTCCTTAACAGGATTCAAAAGATTAAAATTGGTGTGATCTCCACTGTGAGTAGTCTGTCTCGAATTTCCAAATTCCAAATTTTTACTTCTTTTATGATGAGACTTCATAGCTGGCACCAGTCCTAGAAAGACTTGTACTCTGTTTGTTGCGGATTAGCTTTTGCAATGGCTTGTATAGCCTTGTTTCTGATAAATTCCTCTTGCATTTTTCGTTGTTTGTGTGCTTTATTTTTTGGACTAGATCGAGCTCATTTCAACTAACGCTCCGTCGATCAGAATTCTACAGCTACAAGAACCATTGCCAATCGATATTTATTACAATCCCCTCCCCAGCTCAAATAAGTCACTAGTAGAGACATAAAAGAAATTTGGACTTGCTGCCGAAATCCTTAGAAATAAAATGGTGCTTCACAATCCCAACAACTGGCACTGGGTGAACAAGGATGCCTCTGCGTGGACCAAAGAATATTTGGAAACAGCACTTACTACCATCTCCGCAGAGGAAGATGGAGTGACTGCTCAGATAAAGAAGGTTGTCAGCGTCGATGGCGATGTAGACGTCAGCCAGCGGAAAGGCAAGGTTATCACATTATTTGATATTAAACTACAATTAGAATATGAAGGTTAGCATGCCTCTTCGCCAACAGTTTTGCTGTCACTATGTGGCCGGAACCTGAGCTGAGATAGGATGTTGTTAGGTAAGACGAGCGACGACGAGGACGTCAGCGGCTCAATCAATATCCCTGAGGTTGCGCATGATACCGAGGAAGACGAGTATGTCGTACGTTCCCTAGTTAGACCCTTGATGTTCATCTCAGCTGTAGCGTGAAGACCCTGTCTTATAACAAGCGTGAAAATGTGAATAGTTTGATATTGGCATCTACTCCGAATCTGCCTCGAAGCAGCCGGTGAAAGACCTTGTCCGCTCTAAACTCGTTCCTAAAATTCGCAAGGAATTGGCAAAATTAGCCCCTGCTTTGATCGCCGAGCATGGAAAGGATATTCAACATGCCCCTGGCTCCAACCCTTCAAGCGGCTTTGCGACACCAAAGAACCAGCTCCCCCAGAGCAGCGCCCAAACTCCAAGAACTTCCACTCCCAGCACTACAACCACTCGCGCCTCCTCCAATGTTAATACTGTCACTGTCACCGCTTCAGACGAATTCCGCACTACCGCAGAAGAGCTCTACACAACCTTCACGGACCCCCAGCGCATTGCTGCCTTCACCCGGGCTGCTCCTCGGCGATTTGACGGTGCAAATGTTGGCGGTAAATTCGCAATTTTTGACGGCAATGTCGATGGCGAGTATATAAAGCTGGAGTCTCCTACCTTAATTACCCAGAAATGGCGGCTTGCGCAATGGCCCGAGGGACACTACAGCATGCAAGAGATTAAATTTGATCAGAATGATGTTGACCGAGTCACCACCATGCGTGTGAAGTGGGATGGCGTTCCAGTCGGACAGGAGGACGTCGTCAAGCGAAACTGGGAAGGATACTATGTGCGGAGCATTAAGCAGACATTTGGGTGCGTTTTGACCTATTTTCCTCCTGTTCTTGTTACACTTTTATTAAATGTTGTTCGTCTACTCCTCTTCCCTACCCCATACGAATATTTCGACCGCCAACGCTTTGTATCTTCTTTACTAGACCCTCCTCCCCATGTTCAATATATCATGGTTCATGGTCAAATTTACTAACTATTGTCTTCTCACTCCTTTTACTACTCGCTGTAGGTTTGGCACGATTCTCTGATCTACACTGAACTTCATAGAAATGTCAAAAATAAAAAACTTTCTATGTTCGGTTATTTCTTTTCAAAATTAGCAAACCTGACTACGAAAATAGCATGAAACGAGAAAAATGACTGGTTCAATGAAGAAGGGGTGGGCGAAGAAGTTGATATCAATCTCACATTATCAAACAAAAGAGAAAAACGCAACCATGGCCGATAACCGATGAGAACAGGAGGAGATCGAATTGAAATATCCATATGTTGAAACACAATTACGGTCGTTTCCCTTCCCGCCTACCATATATTTGTTGTTAGTATGGACTAATCGCCCAGAGTATTAATTGGAGGTGTTAGACAACCTGCCGAAATAAATTTTGACAGCCGTTAGAAGCTCGAATTCATTGCTAACAACAATCAATAATTAAGTAATTTTACATTATGGATTATTCCTTCTGCATTTTCGTGAGCGTTGCAAGGTTGGGTTTTCTTTTTGCATTTCCATTTCTGAGGTGGGGCTGTGTGCTATATTCCCTTCTATCGACTCCTTCATATATATATAATCTACCTTCAAAATTACATGCTATTCCAGGTTAAATACCGCGAATTTTTCCTCCACAAAGTCCCTCCCCCGCTCCCTTCCTCTTTATTCATATGCATTTATTCATACTCCCTTTCTAGACACATTTCCAAATAACCTTCCTTTCACTTTCCTTCGCCTTCCAACCTCGTTCAACCGCATATCCCACTCCCAACAAGCCTCTCACTTGGGTACAGGATCCTCGGCTCTCCCGCACCCATAGGCACTGGTAGCTGCCCATTAGAACCCACCACAGAAGACGTGCATGTGTAAACATCAGTAACCTGCATGCCGGCCGGATAGCCGGTACCACCCAGCTGCAACGTGTAAGAAGCCCCGCCAGAGCCAAGGTTAGAGAGTACAGTGATAATTTGTTTGCCATCGAAACCTTTGCGCATCGCAATGGTGTTTTGGTCTTGGTAGATGGGATAGTTCTATATTTGTTGTGTCATCGAAGTCAACTGCGTAGTTCTGCTTGAGGGAACGGCTAACGTGTGGCTGGCTGGGGGAAGGGAGGGGGGTAATGGTTATCGGATCGTGCACGAATGATTAGGAACTTACTTTATATGTAAGATAGTTGACATCGTCTGCGATCGCTTTCTTCCGGAGTCTATTGGCTTTTGCCGTGAGCTTGAATAGAGGACTTTCAGTGTTATAGCCCGACAGCCAGGTTGCTTCACGGTTGTATGGATCATTTCCGCCTGCATAGTGCTGTTCTTGGCCAGCATAGACTATGGGAATTCCATCTGCGAGGATCGTGAAGACCAGGACACTTTTAGCGAGAGACATGTCGTTGGTATAACTTTGACAGTGCAATATTAGAGATTTGGGGAGCCAGACGATAAATGGATTTGCACTTTACCTACTTTGCGAACCTTGGAGTGTCGTGATTCTCTGAGAAGGTGCCTATCAGTGTGGAGTCTGGACAATTGTCCTTCACTGTATTGATCATATTGTATAGGTTTGCCATATTGCCGCCTGGTGATTTAAAGGCTTCAATGAGAGGGTAATAGCTGCATATACTTTAGTAAACTCCGTGTGACAAACCCATTGGCAATGTATCCGTGATCGTACATTGGGTAATTCACTAAACCATCGATATACTTCTGGTAGTCACAGGTGTACCCTGGGTCACCGTGATACACTTCACCCATGGAATATACTCCTGCGGCAAGATTGAACTCCTTCCAGAATGGCTTCCGTACATGCTTCGCAGTGTCGATTCGAAGACCGTCGACTGCAGTAATTGTTAGTTCCAAGACTAGGGTATTTTGAGCAGCAAGAACAAGTAGAGGGCGAAACGGAAGGTATTCGGGAATATCACCCACTAGAATAGTTGGAAACAAGGGCGGAAATCCAGGTGTTGAAAATGTTCTGTACATCTGTCCTTTCGGAATTAAGATCCGGAAGTGACACAGTATCATCTCCAAGCCAACAATGTTCGACCATAGGTTGATTGTTGTAATCGGTGATGGGGCAATAAGGGTGAAAATAGATAGAGTTATTAAACGGGACATATCGACTATAATCCATACTGCTGCTGGAGCCAGGGTAGCCCTGATATAGGATGTGAGGATGGGTACAGACGAATCATCAGGTTTACATTTTCTTGCATACCATATGGTTCGCGACTACGTCGACCATGAGATACATCCCACGTTCATGTAGTGCTGCGCTCAATGCCCTGAGATCCTCTGCAGACCCAAGATGGGGCTCCACGGCATACCTGAAGGCAAACAACGTAAGCGGCGCATACAAAAAAAGTCTCAAATGGAAAACCACTTCTCAGGTAAATGGAGATCCTGCAACTTACAAATCTTGTTGCCAATATCCATGGAACGCCTCTCCATACCCCGACCTCTCGGGGAACTGTTTTGTCACAGGAGTAATCCATATAGCAGTAAACCCCATTTTCTGGATGTAATCAAGCTTCCAAAACGTGTTAGGCTAGGTCCCAATCTGAGATAGGAAGAGCTCTGAAGGGTACCTTCTTGATGATTCCTTGCCAGGTCCCACCGCAAAATCTCTATGTTGATATCAGCCTGGTGAATATTCATTCAAGATAGGGCATGGTCAGTTTCCTTGGAAGGAAGAGTAGGTAGCTTACACGATCTTCAGGGTTGCATGGAGCAGTTGTGGAGCCATCAGTTCTTGCAAACCTGTCCGTGAGAAGGAAATATATCGATTGCGAACGCCACTCTGCTGGAGTTGCCGCAATAACAACTTTTGCAACAGCCAGAATAGACACTGAAACATTAATGATAGTGAATTTCATCATGGAGGACAAATGAAGTGTTTACTATTCATATTCGAAGGGTCACATCGAAGAACCTGAACGCATTTATACCTCGAATATGACGACTCTTCCCATCTCATCTCGACAACTTCAGCCATCTTGTTACATCAAATGCAGAAACCGCTAAGATCGACGACTGTTGCGCTCATTTGGCCATTGTATATCGGCGTCCCGCAAGAGATCGGGTATAGTCCTGGAGAAGGAAGTGCTGTCAACCGAATAATCGGGAATGACAGCAGCGAATTTCCACCCTGGATATTTGCAATCCGGGGATTTTGCGGGGTGAGGGAGTACGGCGTGACTAAATATTTTGTTTATAGTCATGCATTGCCCCATGGAACGAAGTGGGTCACTGCTTGTTTACTACCAAAATTCTCCGCCGTAGAGCAACCCTGGTGATCGACATGTGGAAACACTCTCATGTCTTATGAAACCATTTTGACAAGGTACGGGCAATTAACGGAGTTCATATATTTCTCTGTCGATCGTTCATCGCTTTGCCCTCCAAGCTGATGTTAGGATGCTGCCGTGGGTTAGAGGATGACATATTCATCGAATGGCAATAGTTACTAATAATCCAAACCATAGTCCAAATTTGATAGAAACGGAAATCCATCCTTCACACAGTTGACATGGAAGTTCTGCGTTATCAACGCGGGTAACTGCTTTATTTCGCATCGTCTGTGGGAGTTGAGAAGAGAATTGGAATCACGCTCCCATCGTGCTGCCTTCGTAATAAGGAGTAAGATTGGATGGTATGGGGAATGCATTTTCATTCAGAAATTATATATATAATAATACAAATTTATATAAATGTATTATTATTATTATTAGAGAGAACTGTCATCAATGACAATTTTTATACGATTGGATGAAATTTCAGTATGAGATTGGACAATAGATATCAAGATCGTGCCAACCTTCAAGAGTTTAGATATTACAGGCCCATGTTTTTGATATGTAAAATTACAACATATGCAAATTTGGTCTACACACGTCATATTGTGAATTATGTATTTAATTCTTAATTACATGAGTTAATTTTTAAATAATTTATAAGTTAGCCATAATTTGTAAAATATACAAGTCAGGAGTATCAAGATTACAAATTACAAATAGAATAGTTATCAACAATATCCTAGTAATGTTGAGACTGATATGTTTTTTTGTTTTGTTTTGAATGTAAACTCGGTTGGGCTAATAGAACCATGGACTACGTTATGCCTCTTACCAAGGTATGGTATAACTATAACTGTTTACAAACTCCTCGATGTTCGCGTTCAGAACAAGTGGCGCTGTAACTACATCTACAATCATCTGAGCTCGTACTGCTCCATGGCGGTGTCCCTTTTTTGCGGAGCTTTGCTGTTTGTCGGCCTCTGGTCTGTATTCGCTGGTCTCTGGGCCGGGTTGGTTGACCTCCAACCATGGCCCATTCAAAGGCCCCTTTTAACCAACCCATTGGATGCTTGGATTGCAAAGGAAAGCTCGTATGCGCTACAGGCACTCCTAGCCAATATTGGGGCCGAAGGTGCAAAGGTAAAGGGCGCAGTTGCCGGCATTGTTGTTGCAAGCCCAAGCAAGGAGGATCCCGATTGTATGCAAAATCCATCACCGATTTCCAGGCACTGAACTAACATGCAGTACAGACTTCTACACTTGGACTCGAGACGCGTCTTTGGTATTCAAAGGTCTCGTGGACGCCTTCATTTCCGGGGATACTAGTCTGCAATCGAAAATCCATGAATTTATCAGCGCGCAAGCTCATCTTCAGACTATTTCTAACCCTTCTGGAGGCCTATCATCCGGTGGCCTTGGAGAACCGAAATTCGATGTCAATATGTCATCGTTCAATGGCAACTGGGGTCGTCCCCAAAGAGATGGCCCGGCCTTAAGAGCAACGGCAATGATTTCTTACGGAAAATGGCTTATTGTACGTTAATTTTAACCGTGTTAAAATACATGCATGCTGATTCGATCTCAAGGCAAATGGGTACGCTAATACCGCGAGGATGATTGTTTGGCCTGTTGTGCAAAATGACCTATCCTACGTGGCGCAGTTCTGGAGCAGTCCTGGCTTTGGTCGGCATATTCTACTTCCCCTGTCCGGTAACTGTGCACTGACTTGGTATAGATCTTTGGGAAGAGGTTGACGGCATGTCGTTTTTTACGACGGCAGTGCAGCATCGTGCTCTTGTCGAAGGTTCCAGATTCGCGCGCCAGATAGGACTCAGATGCCCGAGCTGTGAATCCCAAGCTCCCCAGGTCCTCTGTTTTATGCAAAACTACTGGACAGGGTCGTATATCAACTCCAACACCGGTGGTGACCGCTCTGGTAAAGATACTAACTCCATCCTTGCAAGTATCCACACTTTTGACCCTGAGGCTTCATGTGATGACTTGACATTTCAGCCCTGTTCTGCGAAATCGTTAGCAAACCACAAAGTGGTAACGGATTCTTTCCGTTCAATATACCCTTTGAATCATGGCGTCTCAGCAGGTTCAGCTGTTGCTGTCGGTCGATATCCCGAAGACGTTTACTTTGGTGGAAACCCTTGGTATTTGAGCACTTTTGCCGCAGCAGAACAGCTTTACGATGCCATCTACCAATGGCAGCGCCTTGGTTCCATATTGATCACCGATGTATCCATCCATTTCTTCAAAGATATTTACGCTTCTGCGGTGGTGGGAACTTACCCGTCTTCCAGCGCGACGTTCAAATCTATGATAGAGGCAGTGAGGGATTACGCGGATGGATATTTGGCTGTTGCAGTAAGTAAGCTGCCACTGAATGTTAGGCCTGAATACACTAATTGATTCATTAGCAAAAATATACCCCCGTTTCCGGCGAACTAGCCGAGCAGTTTTCTCGAGATGACGGAACCCCTCTTTCAGCCTCCGATTTAACGTGGTCATACGCCTCGTTCCTGACTGCTGTTTCCCGGCGTAATTCAAGTGTCCCGGACCCCTGGGGCCAGACAGCTGCTAGTAGCATCCCGTCAACTTGTCAAATTACATCAGCCACGGGACCTTACCGCACAGCAACCAATACCAAATGGCCTTCAGATCTTACTAGCATCTCGAGAACGACTTCATTCTCCAACGGACTCACGGAAACTAAAATCACTGCTACTTCAACCACTACATCTACATCCCCATGTGTCACCCCTGACTCAATCCGGGTTACATTCAACGAAGTCGCCACAACGACCCCTGGACAGAGGATCTTCATAATTGGCTCTGTTCCAGAGCTCGGGTCTTGGGACGTTCAATCTGCAATTGCGCTCTCCGCAGACCAGTATACCGATGACAATCGTTTATGGCATCGAACTATTCAATTGGGTGCAGGGCTGGATTTCGAGTATAAGTACATTCGTAAGGAACCGGGCGAGAGTGTTGTGTGGGAGAGTAATCCTAATCGCTCTTATACCGTCCCACGGGGTTGCAATATCTACACAGCAAAAAGAGACGATGTTTGGCGTTGATTATTATTAGTGAGCGTTTCCGTACGGAAAAATGCAAATTTCCTCTACTATATTGTTAGATAAGGACTGAGATGGATCAGGGCTTAGCATGCGAACAGAAGCTAATGCGATTATGCAGAAACCTGCATGCCTCAGAATATCGTGCTTCTGTGAAAAGCATTCTAGTCAAATGCCACATCGCATGAGCTGGAGCGCGGTATCAACACCATTCCAGAAACGGGAAATCCTCTGTCACAAATGGATGATGCTTGTAAGTTAAGTGTCCATTTTAAATCCCTAGTCCTGTTTTGATCTGCAGCTAGAATAAGCCTCTTTACGCAGTAATTGACAGATTGACATGTCCCTTATGGGATGGTTCTCATGAACAGCACAGCGTTGCCCGTTTGAATTGCCGTTTAAATTTCAAATTTCAAAATTCCAACCAAATACCGTTGCACCGCCATTAGTTATCTATAATTATTGGGGTCAAGAAGCCCTAATGTCATGGTTTTCGCCCGAGAAATGTCCAGAGTGTTCTAGCCTGTCCCGATGTCGTGGGCCAAGCACTCCGTGACGGCATTTTCTGTACCAAAATGCCGACCTTTACGAGGATGTCTTGAGCATGAGACGGAGGTATGCCCACTGTAAATTGCAAACTAATCACAGCTACAAAAGTGATCATTGAAATTTCTAATCATATAAATTATTGCGGTTCGATTTTACAGGTTTCCCCTCCTACTCGGCGCCTGCTCATCCTCGCTCTCTAGGACGACAAGTCACCACGATGATATTCTTTTCCCTCGCTTTTGCCACGGGTATTGGGCCTGATTTCGAATAGATGCGGTTGGGAAATGATCTTTGCTCCTGGGTTCGACTTGTGCAGTAACCCATCATCCAGGCACAGTTGTCTCCTAAAATTGAATTTTTGACACCCCGACCAAGCCGCAAATTGTCCGACATCCTTAATTTCTTCTTTGCTTTGAAGAGCCCGTTTTATTCACTTCTCCCGAATACCTTGGAGATTGGTAGACATTGTTTCGGTCAACTACCTGCAAACTACGATGTCATTCTCGGACTCCTTACCAGTATCAGACACCAGCCAAGAGCTGTTTGGATCTGCTGAATGGCTCCTGTCACCTCCCTCCTTTGTAGCGCAGAAAGGTGACCATGGACCAGCGCAAGTAACATTTCCACCACCAGGAGTTGAATCTGAAACGGGGTTCAGAACACGACAACGAGTTTCCCTAGCTTGCCTTCCATGTCGCAATAGACACGTAAAATGCGACTCTGGTTTGCCAATTTGCTCGCGTTGCAAATTCGATGGCAGGCAATGCAAATATATGCAGTCTCGACGAGGTGGCCACAATAAGATCGTCTCGTCCGATACCCGGGCCCCGGTCACGCAGTCACCAACTAGAGGATCGGAATTCAGCCACAGGTCTTCTGGAGATCGAACAAGTACTCGAGTGGACGATTCAGAGATGGTTGAAACGGGAACAAGTTCTGAGAGCGCGGCAACAACAGGTTCCGCGTCCCTGGACCGACCCTTTGAATGTTATTATACTTTCTTCCATGAATCACACCCAATGGTCCTCCCAAAACAGCACTTTACGGCTCGATTAGACGTTGATCCGGAATCACTTGAAGTTGTGGCTGCGGTTATGCGATACATTGGCTCGTTGTATGGTCATTGTTCGTCCCCAGAGTTCTTCAAAAGTCTATCTGAAAGTTTATTGTTCTGCAACCAACTACCCAGAAATGGATTCTCTGTGCAAGCTCTAATGTTATACTCCATCGCTACGCACTGGAATAATGACAAGCCACGTGCGCGGGAAATACTGGATGTTGCTACTACCATGGCGTTGGAGATTGGCATGAATTCATGCCAATTCGCTTACCAGCATGGAGAGGGGAACCTTGTTTTGGAAGAGACCTGGAGGAGGACATGGTGGCTGCTATATATCGTTGATTCGCTCTATGCAGGAATCCGGCATTCTCCTGGATTTGCGCTATGGAGTGTGAATAGCAACGTCGACCTTCCTTGTGAAGAAGAAGATTTCCATTCAGGAGTAAGCAGATCACAGCTATCCATGTGCGTGGTGATTTAACATATTGGAGAGCTAATCCTTTTGATAGAATATCCCTAAACCAAAAACTCTAGTTGAATTTGATGACCGACAATTTGATACTGTTGATGTAGTATTCTCATCATTTGCCTACCTAATTGACGCGTCACGCATCCTAGGAACAACTTTAGCTGTTGGCTTGGATGATAGTAACCCCGTTGACCCGGAAGTTGATTACGCAGATTCAGGGTTGGTAGCATGGTCGCTCCATCTTCCAGATATCAAAAGAGAATTGGTAACAAATAAAGGGAATGTAGATCCTATATTATTTCTTGCTCATATGCTAATTCATACGTGAGTTATATTGCGTCTTATAACCAGATAGTGTTATGCTTTGGCAACTAACCGTTTTCAGGACAACCATCTACCTTCACCGTCCCCGCTCAAAGCTTCTGTACAACAACGCAGAAAACATTTCCAAATGTGCCCCTCCTCCGCCTCCCGAGCGGCTCACACATGCCGCTCAGGAAGCATACCAAATGCATACAGTAAAGGTGTTAACCGCCTCCGAAAAGATTTCCAGTCTATTAGCCCTCCCGACACCTTTGGTGAAGCAATCCCAATTTATAATATGCATGGTAGCTCTCTCGACAATCGCACAGTTATCCGCGTGCATTTTTGACACCAACATCGGCACAAGTCGCGCGATCAAGGAACGGATTCGACTCAATATCGGTGCTCTAAAAGCACACGAGAAAATATGGCCTTTAGGCCGCAAGACTCTGTATGAAGTAAAATTGATTGCTCGTCAGGTGTTTGCTCTTCCAAATCTGGATTGCCAGGCTATCTCTGATCTGATGGATCAGGCTCACGAGATTTCGAACCACTCTGGTAACTCTGTGATGATAGATGAATCATTCCCTACTGCAATTTTTGGTGATTCCTGTTTTTTATCACCAGTTCCTCCTCCCCTATAGTGTCTGGATGAGCGTGAGAGTTGACGGAAGGGCTTAGATTCTGTAGTTTAATTCTGCCGTTGGAGGTACAACCTGCTTCCCAAACTTACCCCCAACTTGTAGCTAAATGGTGATGAATCAAAGCTCCTCTTATTGGCATTTGCCCGTTGTTAAGTCTGAAAGTCCCTGCTCCACACTGTACATACACACTCCACGTGAATTTATTGCTGGCGATTACTGGTGAAAAAGTCTTATAACATGTTTATTTTATGATAAAGTCAATTCACAGCCTACAGGGCCGGAGGTGATCCAGGCGTCTGGGCCCGGAGTCGGTGATCGGCAACCCGACATTTAAAGTTCGGCACTGACGTCAAATACCCGCTACCCGAACCCATAGCCGAACTAATACCCGCGGAAGCATCGAGTTGGTGATTTTCTTCTTCGTTATTTCCATGGTAGCAGGCATCCCAAGTCCCAGTCTCTCCTTATACAAATTGCAGGGAATGGCTATCACGGAACAAGGGCTATATTGCCGTGCACCATCTTGAACTGAGATGGATATACGCAGGGTTGATCGATTGTTGCCATGCCTAGATAGTTTAGATTCGAAATGGCTGAGCTTTTCAGTTTAAACAAGGATCCTAATAAAAATGCGAGCTCCAGGTGGCTATTTAACAGGCCTTGTGGCCCCAGAAAAATTTACAGTTTAATTTTCTTTGTTCCCAACACCCACTTTCAAAAGAAGAGTTTGTTTTATCGCAGCATCATTTTATGTATAATAGAGCGTGTTCACTCGCTCATCGGATAACGGTTGCAGTGAAAGCTCTCAAACCTGAGCTGCCCACCAACCAACTCCATAACCCCTTACAGCCTTCATCATATTCGAAAGGCCGGTTGTCTCACACGCAAAATAAATTCGTCTTGACTCCAACACAGAACACTGCAGCCTACTCAACATTACCCCTCACTCAACAACGCACCATGGCGAACCAACCCTCTAAGTCTGCTGTTAGATCTCTTTGGCAGGATCTCGAGAAGGATACTCTAACTCTGATAAACCGACCTATCCCCGAACCCAAGCCAAACTCTGATGAGCATCTTATCCGCGTCCACGCAACAGCTCTCTGTGCTGGAGAGCTCAGCTGGCCCAAATCGTTTCCAATACAGGGCAAGCAGGAGATAATTCCTGGTTACGATCTCGCTGGAACCGTTGTTGCCGCACCAGAGACTTCCCCATTTGCCGCTGGAAGTCAAGTTTATGCTCGTACAAACTATGTTCGGCCAGGCTGCGCTCGTGACTACACCATTGCGGTGACCTCTGAACTCGCCCTTAGACCAAGCAATCTAAGCTGGGCCGAGTCAGCAACGATTCCCTTGTCAGCACTTACGGCGTGGCAAGCCTTGTTCGTTCAGGGCGGGCTAGGCGGGCCTGAAAATCCTGAAAATAAGGGGAAGAGGGTCTTCATCACAGCTGCGTCAGGAGGGGTTGGATTGTGGGTCGTCCAGCTTGCCAGGATTGCAGGCCTTCATGTCTCTGTGTCCTGCGGATCTGAGAACGAACAATTTGTCCGTGACCTTGGAGCGAATGAGGTGGTCGATTATAAAACGATGTCCATAACTGCCTGGGCTGCTGCGGATGAGAACAGGAAGGTAGATTTGGTGATTGATTGTTTCGGTAATCAGACATTGAAGGATGCTTGGGGGGCTGTGAAGGATGGTGGGACGCTGATCAGCATTGTGCAGCCGCCTGAAGAGAGGAAGCCAGCGAATTGCACGGCGAAAAATGTGAAGAACTTCTTTTTCATCATGGAGCCGAACGGGGCCCAACTGGCTAAGGTCACGGAACTGGTATTGCGAGGGAAATGTCACGGAGTGCTTGATAGCACATTTAAGCTTGAGGAATTTGAACAAGCATTTGCAAAAGTCGACACTAGGCGGGCTAGAGGTAAAGTAGTCCTCAGTGTGCACGAATGAACTGTTCTCGAAGGCTGCTAGCTGTGATATAAAATGATTCGTTATGGTTGGCTACTTCAGATCAGCAACCAGATGCCTCCACTGAACAGAATTAGAAAATATCCTAAGTAGCAAGTTCAAATACATTGGATTGGTTTTATAAACTCCGTAATACCCCATTTGCTTTATGTTTAATCCTCCGCCATCGATACTAAGCCGATTAGTGAACCAAGCGGGAAAGTGAACATAGAAAATAGCGGGTACGCCCGAAAGAAAGCCATTGAAATCAAAGATCGCCCCAATCTTCTCTGATCATCTGTGCCGCCTTCTCCCCAATCATGAAAACTGGCCCCTGGATGTTTACATCGGGGAGTAACGGAATGATACTGGAATCCGCTACCCGGAGATTTTGAATCCCGTAAACCTTCAGTCTTGGGTCAACAACTCCACCGTCTTCTAGAGGCCGCATTTGTGTTGTCGCCGAGGCGTGCCAATTTGGGATGGTATTTGCTTTGATGTATTCAAATATAGCGTCATCGTCGTCACTGCTGACTGAGGAGCCCGGACTAACCTCTCCGTAAAATGGACCTACGGTGAAACTAGCAAATGCTGGATGGGCAAGAATTTTCCGCAGATACTTGAATGCATGAATCCCGAGGACGCGGTCTACGGGATGGGAGTAATACTATCGATTTAACGTGTTAGCTTGTTTGACAAATGACACGGGGATTCAGTAGCTTGTAAATTAGGTAATACGAAATGAAAAGCTCTTGCCTACATTTGGGTTAACTTTGGGTGCATCGCTCATTGAGTTTGATCTAAGGGTTATATTTCCCCGAGATGCAGCTACAAGATTTGATGCTGTGAGGGAGATGTATGATATATCTTCATCTGGAATGTAATATGGGGTTGGCCCTCCAGGATACCACATCGATTCGTAGAGGTACTCAATATGAGATCGATTCGTGAGACCCTGGGCAATAATTTCATGTGCACCAATGGACTCCAGTTCATCGTCAAGGAGCATCTGGAAACCATTGGTTATGCCCGAAGGTGCTGTATATGGGCCAGTAAGGTTATTGTAAAACTCCGCTTGGGCGGCTTGAGTATTACCAGCAGAAGCAAACATCTGACTAGTCGATGCGTTGCGCCGAACAGTAGCCATTATACTGAAGACAGAGTGATCGTCTAGGCTAAACATATAATGTTAGCATGTACATTACATCCCACCTGAAAAGGCACATTAGAGCTACTCACTTCCGACCAATATTTTCATTGATCAAAACATGATCTATGCCAAATTTGTCCAACTCTGAAACGGGTCCAATTCCCTGATTTATATATAGTAAGTAAGCGGAGAAAAGTCAATTTTTGGAGTGGGAGTCATACTGAAAGCATGAGAAGTTGAGGAGTCTGGAATGCACCCAAGCTTAAAATGACCTCTTTTCTGGCCTTGACACTCCGTGATCGGCCAGTTGACTGATCAGTAAACACGACTCCAGTTGCCGCTATAGAGTCGTTTGTTTTTTCAGTAATGATATGGGAAACAGGAGCGTGGTGTAAAACCACTAAATTTGTACGCTTCGCTGCCTGCTTATAGAAAGAATCATAACTAGAGCTTCGACGGTATGTACTGTCGAGACAGCCAGTACCTTGCTTGACACCAGTGTTATTTCCCGAATTTAGCTCGTTGACGATAGGTATATTGGCAGCTTCGCAAGCTTGTATGAATGCAATTCCTGACTCAGGAACATATCCCTGGAATCCAATATCAAGAGGACCGTTTGCATATGCACTTGGATCCCATGTTTTGTACCTTTGGTCAAATCCGGAATCAGGGTCCGGAGCATTAAAACGAGTACTCTACACAACAGATCGTTAGTTGAGATTCCGAAGATAATTAGGGTTTCCCACCTTCACAAATAGTGGATATACGTCATGCCAGCCCCAACCAGGGTTACCAAGCTCTTCCCACTTGTCGTACACACTGGCACTACCGCGACCATAGAACAGACCGTTGATCACACTGCTGCCACCCAAGCACCTACCGCCTATATCTTATATTAGTAAAGGGAGAAATTGTGGAGTAAATTTATACCAATTAGCGCAGTATCTTCGGGAATTTGTATCGGACTTACGATGGTACGGTAGGACACGCCCGTCAAGATGCTCCTGAGGAACAGTGAGAAAATTCCAGTCAATTGCGGTTCCTGTAATCGTGATTAGCTGAGTCCCACGCCAAAAGCTCAGGGGATCCCCTACATACCGGCGAGGAACTGGTTACCACCAGCTGGTTTATACGCTGCCACGACTGAAGGTTCTGGTCCCTCTTCGAGAACAAGAATATTATTCCTGCCCGATTCAGACAATCTGTTGGCTAAGACGAGGCCAACCGTGCCGCCTAGAGAGACGTTGGGCTGAGTATATATATGCCATAGAGGACCGGAATAATCGTACCTCCACAAATCACGAAATCATACTCGTCCTCGATATAAGTTGTCGGTTTGGTAGGACTGCTATCGACTGCATTGGCCAATAAGAAACTTAATAGGAGCAGCCAATTCGGTAGCCGTGTTGAAATAAAACGTCTCATGATGCGCTGTAATTCAGTTCTTGTACTACCAAACTTCCCTACCCGCCTTGGTATATGGCGATGAGCACGAGCTATTCGCCTGGATGTCGAAACATATATATTCAATTTCTCGGATCAGAGGACATTGCGTGTGTGCGTTATGGGATATTAGATAAACCCCCATCCCCAGCAACGGTCACAAAAGACCTTTGTGCACAGTCCTCTACGTATTCCATGTTCCTCCTCCTAGCCCATTCACAAATGACGTAGTGTTTCTTGTCATGACATCGTTTCTGATGTCTCCAGGCAAATCAGGTCTTACTACGCATTCCCCCATGCCTCTGCTAGGCAGATTGTTGCGCGGCAGCTCCTCAAGTTTCAGACATGGAATCTTTCAGGCTTTGAAAACACAGCATTCAGCATATGAAGTCTAGCATATTCGTTCAAAACACGATTTCTTCAACAGATAAAAAGGCTTTGTTTTATATCACCAAGCCGACGGCCGTCTCAAGTTTAAGAGGAGGGAGGCGCGCAATCGCGAGAATCAAGGAAATGTTGCTCGTATATTGTGGGCGTTCGAATCGTCTGATAGAAGGAATAGGACATTCGTTTTACCTGGATAGCCTCCGGACCAGATCTTCATAGACAGCGTTATACGAACCATGACGTAGAACAATGACGATGGAAGCTGAATCTCCCCGGGCCTGAAGCTGTGAAAGCTGGCAGTGTCCCTGTCGTTGCAGTTTCAGATGAGTGGTGTATTTAAGGTTAAGCTTGGCGGGAAAAGCGGAGCCTTCCACCGGCTCCCGATTTCCCGGTAAAGCCGGGGTAGCCGAGTTACCAATTTGTTGTTTATAGTTGATTATTTGTATTACTTATTTAACTGGAAAAGCAAAACAAGCGTATTTGACTGACATATCTGATCATGATCGCCAAACGTCATCATGCGTCATGTTTCAGGCCAGAGAAATACAATTTTTATTTTTATTTTTTTGAACAGTGAATGAAACAAACAAGTTCAAAGCACACCCCCCTTGGCCTCCGGAAATACCATATCACTATACTCCTCATCAACCTGGATAAGCGCTGCGGCTCCCTCCCTCTCCACTTTTTCCGTCTCAATCACAAAAGTCGCCAGTAGCAGAGCTGGTTCCGTCGCGCTCACATTGGCGCTGATCTTATGATGGCAACCGGGCTTTTCTAACCAGGTTCCCCCTTTCTCGATGACACGCGTCGGCTCATCGTTCATTTTGTTCAACACCGTGCCTTGGATTAGGTATGCGGAGACGGAAGCGCCACCGTGCCGATGTGGTGGTGAGGCACTGTTGGGTGGGAATGTGACCATCACGCCAATGATTGATTTCCCGGGGGCATTGGCAAGCTTGTGATGATATAGTGGTTGGATGAGAGGGAGGGGTCGACTGGTTGTTGGTGATTGTTGTTTTGTTAGCTGAATATTATTTGTCTCGGGGATACTTAAAAATGCGCTTGGAATGAAATGGGGACGGAGGGCAACTATGAAGGGGAACAATGACGAAGGGTAAAAGAAATTGTCTTACGATCTGTCGTAAGCTGGCTCCTCAGCAGACATGGTGTGTGGGTGTCAATTGAAGAATTGGCCTCCAAGTGGACTTCATAAAGTGATCTGTAAAAGACACTATTTTGGATAGGCGCAAGTCACTGATATTTATAATCCACCCCTCACAAGCAGAGCTGCTGCAGCTATTCATTTGCCTCCGGGATCATAGATAGCTGTAAAACTCCCGCAATACCCTTTGCATACCCGAGATACCCGTTACCCCGGTTTCCCGAGATGTATGCATGCACGACTTGTCTACGCAAGGTTTTGACACAATTTCTAAGGCGAATATTGAGGGAAATTATCCAGAAACCATACTTTGTAATGGAGCTATTATGGGTATTCTTTTGCGTCATGAAATGAAACATGGCATGGAATGATAAGTGAAACCACAGCGCTGGAAAACGTAGAAGGAAATCCAAAAAGACTTGATTTTTGTAAACCTTACGTTACGTCCAGCAACCTTCTAAATAATGTTTTTCACTCCTCTCACACAACGGCAGAAAGGAAAAGGTTCACTACGCCCCCATTTTTACTTGTCTACTCCCTTTTGCTTTAAACAGTCTTTTCTATCATTTCAATGCCATATTCCTCCTTGAGAGTCTTGATCAGAGGAGCACAAATGTCCATGCTCATCGGTGCCAATATACCCTGCCAAAGTTATATATAGATTGTTAGCAATCTTCATCACAAGGGCAAGACAAACGAAAAATGAGGGGGGAAATCATCCGAACGAACCTTCGCACTGATGGTTCCATCAAGGACCTGCTTAACTGCGACACCGCACGGGATGCCAACCAATTTCGCCATGGATGAATAACCGCTGGGATCACCGTAGTCGCATAAAGTGCTAGTCCTCGTCTCCTTTGACCCATCTTTATGCTCGATCTCAAACCTGTGCTGGAGCATAACCATATCACGCTCCCCAGTCTCGTACTGCATTTTCGCCTCTAGGGTCGCACACAGGGTATCCAGGGGATTGCCACGGGGGATAATTTTTTCGTCAGAGAAAATCCCGATCCAGCGTAACCCGGAGAGGATGCGATATTTCTCTTCCGTGGTAGGGAATTTGGTGCGCGAGGAGATTGCCCACTCGAGATCCTTTTCGCTGGAGGAGGTGGCACCAAGGATTTTCTGGGTGGCTTCTTTCCAGGGGATTGGGGAGTTGAGGAAATCCTTCGCTTCATCACTGAGGAAGTCCATGTCGACGAGTGTGCGGATCATCTCAGGGAAGCCCTGGTATCTAAGTGTGCCGCGGATAACGGTCTGGGCTTCTGGGATATGATAACGTTCCTTGTAGGCGGTTGAATCTCGATTTGGATAGGCGACGAAGGCAAAGCCTGGATAGATAAAGTATGGCTTGGCTGTTCCCATAAGTTCCGGTCCTGAAACAGATTCCACCTTGCCATACTTATAGTACTTCGCATCATTTCGAAGGGCGAGAAGGACACCTCGGCTGGACCAGGAGAACTTGTAGCCCAGGGGGTTGTTGGAACATTCTGGCGCAGGAAGCCCACCGCAATAAGACAGGAAGGAGGTTATTTTTCCGCCGGCCTCATGAACCTAGAACAAATCGATCATTAGAAAGGCCAGAATACATTTACTGGAACCGCGCTTAAAGAAGCGATTTACCTCAGAAATTGTCTTGACAGCGTAAAGATGATCAATACCCTAACAACGTGACCGAACACAAGCGTATACCAGTCAGCATGACATGGCTATTCGTAGTCCCAAAAACTAATCTCGAATGAGACATACAGGGTCAAGACCAATTTCATTCATAACCGTTATACCAGCATCTTTGGCCTCCTTCTCAAGCGCTATCATGGCAGGAGACACATAGGATGTAGTGACGACATTCTTCTTGGCGCGAATCGCTCCTTTAATAACAGTAGCATGATTTGTGTAGGGAATAAGGGAGACGACAAGGTCAACGTTGGACAGCTCCGCATCGAGCGCAGCGCTGTCATTCACATCGAGGGAAATGGCTCTTGTGTTCTTGATGCCCTGGCAAAGCTTCTTAGCGCTCTCAAGTGTGCGGCACGCTGTTTACCAATTAAACTAAATTAGCTACGTTGTTTTCCATATATGGTGCGCAAAATGCTTTTCCCCTTTTGATTCATTGCAGGTGCGCGACCAATGATGAATTTCTCTCCGCGTTGCGCAAACTGCCATTGCGACACAGACTGGTTATTTATTACATACCAACTGTAACCTCAATACCCGCATTGCTTAATAGCTCAACAGTCGGCTTCGTAACTATTCATTATCAAAGCGGAGGGCGATCTTGTCAGCGATTGTATCCAAGGGACTAATTCGCGAGCTCTCGCAGAACCCCCCGCTTCCGGGGAGGGAGAAAACACCAGCAAGGGAAAAGCGAACCGAAACCACTTCCCAACCTAAATGATACCGAAAAGAAATCAGTCTCCGTCTATAGTATCCACCTACAATATTGCAATGGTTGAAGGAGAGGGAATTGAAAATATGACAAGGAGTGGGAGGAGCGACTGCGGGATGAAGTTATATTTAATGTGGGGAATAGAGGGGAACTTACAGGAGCACCTTTCGACCCTCAACTGACTGCGGCATTGTGAGTTATATCGATTTGGTGGATATTATTAATGGAGTGATTATATATTGTGTAGGCTGTGCTGCCAATTTTGAAATGCAAGAGAAATCAACTGAAGCAAGGAGGAGTTGTTGGGCATTTTGCACAAAAAAAAGTGAGGGACATTTTATTTACCGGTTAACCAAGTTGGTTCGTATCGCTTTCCGCTCTCGGCCCGAACATATTATAATCACGTGGTTTTATATTTTCGGTCATATGGGTTCCAAGGTTGAAGACGAAGAGAGAAGGGGGAAAAAATGGTCTAATGTTATACAAGAAGTGCAGGAAACGGGGCAGACTAGGGTATATTGGTCTATTTCTATATGTGGATGAGGAAAAAAGAATAAATAAATAATAGACAATGAGTCGGGGCCTTGCGCTTGGGGTCGAAATAAAGACGAAATCAGAGTAACTGGGGATGAATATGGATTGAAAACAGGGATGCTACAAACGGCCCCTAGAATCGCAACCAAAAGGACTCCGTCATTATGACACATGAATGCCAGGCTCCAGAAACCATAAAAAAAAGGTTAAGAATATGCAGCGAATATTCAAAATAAAAACAAGAACTAAGAATGCCATTCTCGCTGAAAAGGAAGAACCAAAAAAAGGGGGGGACTAACAGAAGGAGATACCAAAAAAAAAAACTCCAAAAATATTATATATCCTTAAATTTTCCGCTCTGCCTGCGTGCTGGGGGGAGAAAGTCAGAGCTTGCCCCATTTATGACCCCATTGCGCGAACTGCTGGATTCATCTTCATCGACATCATCCAGCTCCCCATTCTGACTCCCCTGCTTGCGCACCCGCCATTGCCACTCCCACAGCACTGGTAAGAAAGTCCACAGGTCAAAGCTCGGCCAAAGGGTCTCTAAAAACACAACCTCCGTGTTTTGATGGCACTGCCAGAGCATAAAGTCACTCAGTCTCTCGACGCCAGAGGTTCGCACAAGGAGGTCCAAGGGAGGACAGCCGACGGTAAGCATGTGATCGGTCAGAGTCTGTTGTGTGATGGTTTCTGGAGAGAGGAAGATAAGTTGGTCAGTGTTGGGAGGATAGCTGGTGTATGCTTCCGGGATCATAGGGACTTTCTCTACAGCATGCGGCAGGCTGTTTTTCGATATCGTTGAGGTAGGTTGGGGGGGATGATCGGGACTATGGTTGGAAATCTTCGATGCACGTTTACCGCATGGAGGCAATAAGGAGGAATCTGTTCCGTGCCCGTTAACCATTCCATTCTCCTTTTGCATACATTCAGCGATGTGAGTTTCGGAAAAGGTGTGACGTGGTCCATTTGGCAATGGTAGCTGTGTCCGATCGAGAGGGGTGCTATATTCGGTGACTGTGTTCCGGATCGCCGTCGTCATCTCGTCTCTGGACGTATACGGAAAACAAATGTTCAGGATCGCATCTCCATTCCGACTGGTGATCTCAACAGCCTTATCGATAGCTTCGAGAACTTCTGGCTTGACCAAGTCCCGGCGACCCAAGACTCGTACACTAGCACCGTAACGATCTAGAAGATCTCCATGCTGAGATAACTGGGCTAGCTTCACCCTTGCCATATCCATTAGAGCATCCACCTCGTATTTCGACCTTTTGAAGTTTTCGATGCTGAATGCGTACACCGTTACCACCTTAACGCCTGCTTTGTAGCACACTTCTAAGATCTAAGCACAAGCAAATAGCTGTTAGCGTAAAGTAAAGCTCCAAAAGCAAAAATAAGGATGAAAATGCAGTCTGAACAGCCACTTCTAGAGACCTCCGCCGCCCGCCCTCCTTCAGCAAACCCCATTCTAAAAGAAAGAAATGCAAAAATAGAAATTGCAAGGTTAAAAAGAAAAAAGAAAAAAGGAAAAACAAAAGGAGGGGGAAGCCCATACCTTAGCCAACGCCTCAAACCCCAGATGATGTCCCTCAACTCTCTCTATTTGATGGTTCCTCGCGAAACGTCTATTCCCATCCATGACAAACGCCACATGCTGCGGAATCGGCCCTTCTCTCAGCGCCCCAATCAACAGCTCCCGGAGATGTGACAGCGCCCACTCAATCGGCGGAGAAGAGACAAACCACCTCCGCAACTTCGAAAGGTGCATCGACGAGGCAGCCATGGTATTGCGGGCGGGTTGGATAGTTAGGCGGAAGTTATATATATATTATGCTATACAAATGGGATCGGACGAGAGTTAAATTCGGATGGTCTGTGGTTCATCGAAGGTTGAACGGAGCGCTGCGAATAAAACCAGATCGGATAGAGAGACAAGTTTTCTGAGCTGTGGAGGGAAAGTGGATCGAAGCGCTTGTTGTAGGGAGTCGGTTTTCTTTTTATTTCCCGTGGATCTCTTCTGAATCTTCGCAGTATGCACTCTCTTTCCGCTTTGTTGGCTCAGTATTGCGAGACGTTGCTTTCGTTAATATCTGCCCCGAGGACGAGAAAAAAAGCGAAGGAACAACAGACGAGTCGTATTATACAAAACCCAAGGTCAAAGATGAAACCGAAATCCTCCTTGGAAATACCCCAACGAGAGAAAAAAAAAGAAGAACGAGGAGAAGGCTGCGGAGCCAGCGGAGGAGGGTAAAATGGACAGGTGTCGCCGGAGCAGAAGAGCTGAGAGGACACCAGCACAACTTCTGGCCCTCAAGCTAGGGCAGTGTAAGGGAGCAGGGGAAAAAATTAAATTAAAAAAAAAAAAAAAATAAGAATAAAATATAACACACACAACAAATAGAGGAAAATAAAAACAAGCGGAAGAGAGATCAACTCCCTGCCACCAACATATTCGCAACACAGCAGAGATACGTAATAGGTAGTAATAAATAATGATTATCCTAACTGGACGTTGTTCCTATTACTGCTGATGAGGGCGTTGTTGTAGGGAGTAAGTACGAGTAACCAACTCTTGTTGGGACCAGAACGAGTAAATTTTCCACACCGCGTCGAGCCACAGCCGGCGTCCCTGAACGCCCGGAGTGTGGCTGGGGGGCCGACGTCATCGGGCTGGCTCGGGCGACGGTTGGCAAACCAGCAAACGGCGATCGATGGTTAAGTTACCTAGGCATGGATGGAGAGATGGAGAGATGGAAAGATTGGTAGATTGGTGACATCACTATGTGTGTATGTGTGTACGATATGCCAATAAGATGATATCACATGGATTTCGTGAAACAATACATGACGAAATGTGCTCCTCCTTTCTTCGTCCCCCTCCACCCGTCCGGATGCTATTAGAGACCATGCTTTTGAGACAAGGCATTGAGAAACGCCACCACGCCAACGCCTGATTGTCGAAGTTAAACCGACAAAGGGGGTACAAAGAGGGAAGAAGAAATATATCACTACCTTAATTAAGAATGGCGAGAGCTCCCATGGGTAAAAAAGGAAGAATAAAAGAGAAAAGTAGTAGAAGAAAATGTTATCCAAAAAGGAAAAAAAAATGAAAAAATGAGATGAGATGAAAAAGGAAAAGGAAAAAGAAAGGACAAGAGAAGGGGACAGAGTAGAAAAGAGACGAATAGCAGCAACGGAAGCACACTCATAAATCATAGTGATACCTCGACCCTTCGCCTGGTCAATCCCAAAAGCCGTGGTTGCATACCCGCGTGTGTAGATAGACAACCGTGGACCGATTCATCATTCAACTGCGGTCTGCAACGATCCCCGTCCATGCCAACGTAAAGGAACGAGTTCGCAGTGTTCGTCAAGCGGTTTTCATTCCTACCCCATCATAGATCTGACCATGGGAAATATATCATTCCATGTACACATCCTGCCTTCCACATTCCAGAATATCACTCATTTCGAATTCCACGTATCACAAAACTGTGGGGGGGAAAAATGAAACGAGAAAACAAACAAACAAACCTCAAAAAATCACAAATCCTTCTTCCCAAGCTCGCTGCGCGGACTCTCAGAACCAGCAGAACTAGCCATCTCCCACCCAAACTCCTCACTCTGCTTCCTCCTCAATCGGCCCCGTTCCTTCATCGCCCCACGGATCCGCTTGCTCACTTCGTCAAAGCTCTCCTGCGAGTTCAAGGTGCTGAATGCCTTTAGTGGCATGCCGCCCGACCCAGCCAAGCCACCGCTGGAGCTGCTCCGGCTCCGGCTCCGGCTAGAAGGCCGCGTGGAGAAAAATCCAATGTTGCTGAGGTCGTGGAACGATTCGTTGCGGGGTAGGTGGCTGGGTACGAAGGCCGTTGCCTCGCCTTTGGTTGTCCGCGAGGCTCCCTCCCGCTCTGCCGTCGTGACGGGATGGTTTTCTTTCTTTGATAGTGGCTCCTCGCGGCCCATGAATAGCGATTCCTTGAAAGGGTCCATGATGACCCTTGAAGAGTCGAAGTCGGGAAACATCTCCGGACCGAGGGTGTTGATAAGCTCCGTTACTTCCTGTGAGAGCTTGGCTCTTCGGTGTCGGAGTTTGACGAGGGTGTTAGCGGAGGTGGGGTTAAGGGACAGGACGAGCGGCCGCATAGATTTCAGGATATCCATGCCGATCTCGCCAATTCGTAATGCCGCAAAGGTGATCGAGGGAAATATCCAGCAGCCGAATATCACCACTAGCCAGAGAGGCACCCATTGGGGGACATATCCCTGGACACGATTTCGATATGTCCAGTATGTGAGGAGGATGGTGTAGAATGCATAAAGGAGAGGTGCGAAGGCTAATGCGACGAGCAGTTTCCATGTAGCCATTACATCGCGACCTTGAATCTTCACACTGGATGCAGCCAATGCTTCCCTGGATTTCTTGATCGAAATTACTTTGGTAGCAACGAACACTGGTGCGAAGAGCACGAGGCCTGGCAAAGTGCCAATGGACATAATGACGAGTTTTCCAAGGCGGGTTATCAAAGTCCAAACCACCTTGAAGATTGAGAACTTGGCATATTCTACTTGATGGTCTCGTATGCCAAGCAACCACAGTTGTTTATTGTAGGCCATGACGGACTTTTTCAGGTTCACAATTCTAGGATCGTCTTTGTAATGGGAATAGCCCTTCACTAGGCGACGGTTCAGTTCTACGACCATGGGGAGCGGAAGCTTCTTGCCCGCTGGGTTGTATAACCGTCTTGCCGCGTGTATCAACTTCAGGTCCGTCAGTAAAAACCGCAAACTCTTCCTCTTTCATTTTAATGGTAAGGAAAATCACGGGAACGAACCATGAGGGTTTCGTAGTCAGGGCCAACAACGGTCACCGCTACCAAGGCCTGGTAAATAGTGCTCAAGAGCGCTCCCACAGCTTCTCGTCGATTGCCTGCCTTGTACATTTCAACAAGTTCCGGCGGCACTTCGATTGGGTTTCCGAATTCCACCACCGCCCGGGATCGGAACTTGTGTGCATGGAAATAGTTCATACCACACGGTACGATTTTCACGCCGCAGTTGGGGTTCTCAGCGAGCGCCCCAAGCGCCATTAAAGCAACTCCAGCTACAAAGATCCATCAGCTCTACATCCGCATAAAGGGAATGAAAATAAGAAAAGAAAAGAAAGGCCTGTTAAAAATATATTGAACGTATGATATATACCTTTCAATGGAAGTAAGTTAGGCCTGTCATGGCTGCCACCCTCGGGAAAGATGCCAATACAACCTCCGGCATTGAGAGTCTGAAAAACTGCCTCATACACCCTCGTCTGATCGACATGCGGAGCAACTTTAAACTTGGAACCTTTGAAGCCTGACAAATCCTGCTGTGCAGCACTGCCGGTGAACTTCAAGTCATCAGTGATATCAGTCCGCCCAGTGAGCTGGTACAACGCATCCTTGTGCATGAATGGTTTCTTCAGAATAATCTCTTCTGGCCCGCGAATCTCCGCGATGTCGGTTGAATGGGCCTCGCCATTTATTGTCGGGAGGGCAATCGTGCCGCCAGGTTCAAATCCTGGCCCGTCAAACTTCGTGCCGATGCCCCTTAGCAGCGTGGGGTTGTTAAACGGGTCTGGCAGGTATATCGTCCCCTTGCCCGGTTTCATATTATCCATGGCCCTAGCTACGGGCAGCGCACCCGCGGCTTTTGCCAGCAGCCCGACGAATCTCCGTTTGAATGATTTTTCGGCAATAAGGAAGGCTATGCGACGGTTGAGTTCTCTCCGGGCCACGCGCATCAAAATCAACGAGTCCACAAACTGCATCAAGTCAAAGTAAGGATCGCATTTCCGTTAGCAAAGTGTATTATATTATCTCTGGATATTTTCCCGAACATATCGGGCCTTTTTTGTTGAGCAGCGTTGGACGTACCTGGTTCGCATGCGGGGCAGCAACGAGGATTATAGGCCCACGTTTGGGGACTTTCCATGATCCGCGAGGGTGAACTTCTCTGAAAAACAGATCGATAAGCACGGCTAGCCACCATAGTACCAAATCATATAACCACCCTATTTGGTGGTTAAGGGTCTTCCGAGCCATCCCTCAATGTGCTTGCTTGTTCCGGTCGCTTCCGCTATGTCTGTAAAACAGAAGCAACCAGGAAGCAAGGATGTATTTATCTCAGCGCAAATTGTAGCAAACTTGATTAATATATACGTATAACTATATACTTTTGTGTGCGTGGCAGTGAAAGGCTCGTCGGAGGGGTATTCGATCAGTGGGGAAGATGGAGGGATCGTAGGGCTTGCAGGAGGAAAGACAACTGCGGGCGAACAAAAAAGGGGCCGGTATAAATGTAGACAGTCACTCCCAGCGCCCAAGAAGAAAATGTGAGTTAAAGTGAAAGGAATTCAAGCCTAGATGTAAGCTGCGATCTCGATGTGGACACCGAGTCCCTCAGGTGGCATAATTCTTGTACGGATCTGTCGATTGCAGGGAGTCAGTATCTATATATAGAGCTCGAGAGCTGGGACAAGAAGTGCGAAAGCCATCAGATCCTATTCATCTAACAATGGCAAGGTGGCTTGGTGGGGTTGTTTTTGTTCAAGTTCGAGTTCGTTGAAAATCGCGGATAAAAAAGTGTAGACTGAAAAGCGGCTAACCGGGCCCGCACGCTAAAAAACAGACTAAGGGGTTACAAGGCACAACTTTTGCTTGATTTCACTGGAACAAAGCTCTGGAGATAGGCTATTTGAGGTGTTTCCTGCTTAAAGCAAGTGCAGGGTTATTGGCTTGCTGCCATGTCAGTGATATCACCATGTCCTCATTTCGGGGCAAGCGGAAGTTAAATAAAATTGCAATTGTTCTCCGGGGCCCGCAAACTTTCTGCTTTTCAACTCGTAGCTACCATTGTGCGGGAAAACAAGAAGATGAAAGGTCTCGGATTGCAGAACTTCTGTCTTACAACATACGGTCTCTCATGGCTCATGCATGGGCCGACAAGTGGACTGTAAATCCACCCTCCCTCAATGGTGTAGATATTAATTAATATCGTTACTGAAAATCCGCCCGGTCTTATTCTCCCCTTCCCCTCTCCCCTCTCACAAAAGTCCTCCGCATGAACGTATGAGTGTGGATGAATACAGTTTTTGCCCTCTTTTGTAAAAGTCGGGTTATAATAATAATATATTAGAATTATTACCAATATAGACACATCCGTTCATACAGTTCATAGAATTATATATCCCACGTCTCCCCAATTGGCCCATTCACGATAACGACCATGAGTAAACAATCCCCCCCCTCAAAGAAAAAGAAAAAAAAAAGGAAAACCTGCTCAAGAATGCTGACCAGCAGCGCTACCCTCACTTGCCCTCAACCTCTCCAGAAGCCCTTCATTCCTCTTCTCCCACTCAGCCACCCACTCCTTATCGCGTTCAGCAACCGCCTTCTCCACCTGTATCTGACTCTCAAGCTCAATCCTGCGCATGCGCTCCATAAGGTGGCGATCGCGATCCTTCCACCTAGTTTCCCACATATCCTCCACTTCATTCTTCGCCCGCTCGATATAGCTGTTCATCTGCTCCTGCAGATTCTCGAGCCGTTTCCGCATATCGTCAATGGTGAAGTCCCGCGACTTCAGCTCCTGGCGATATACCTGATCGATCTCGTTTAGACGCTCTCGCATTCCAGCTAGCTCCCTATCGCGCACATGGAGCGCCTTGCGATGGTCACGGTCAATGCTGCGGATCAGACGGGTGTAGTGGATGCTAACGTCATTTTCATCTTCCATTGGAGGTGGGGGGTCTATGCCTACATGGCCCTCTTCTATTCTTGCGGGACTCTGTGGGACGGCTAGAGAGAGCATTGGGATATTTGGGAGCGATGGCCTCCGTTGATGGAACCCGTCATCTGGCGACAGGTGTGTTGGATATGAAGGAGCGGGATTTCCACCTGAACTACGTGTCGTATTTACTGGTGATTGTGGGCATTTTCTCTGGCATGTGGCAAAGCTGGGACCTGCCGATTGTGTGATATCGCCTCCGGGCGAAGGAGATTCGTCTGGCGGCCCGCTAAATTTGATATTAGTTAAACTGGTGAAGAGTCTAGGAAGTCGAACGCCGTTCCTGCGCCGAAGGCGACGGTATGAGTCTTCGTTGTCATGGCGAGAATGTACACTCTCTGGTATGTTGCCCTGCGAGGCGGAGCGCCCTTTAGGAATGACTGATATCGTTTCCGGCCCCGGAACAAATGATGGGCTGCGATAAACGGCATGGTCCTCCATTGTTTGTGAATCCCGGTTGGACAGGCTTGCACTTGGTAAGTTTGATAGGTCAAACATCGAGTTCGAGCTCAGTCGTCCAAGAGATGATTTGGCGTCGCTCTGAGATATGTCTGATGGTTGCCGTCGATGGCGGGACCTGTCCGTCCAAAAGGGAATATGTATACGGCTTTTTGGTACTGGGGTAGGTTGCGAGGAAGGTGAACGTGCTGTGGGGGTAGTCGGTTCAGGTGGTTGCGCGCCGTTGAGAAAACTAGCATCAGTTTGATTGCTGGATTGCGCGTAAGTTGGGAGGGAAGGAGAATACGGAGGCAAGTCGTTATCTGAAGAGCTGGATATCTTCGAGCCGTCCCGATTGATATGGAATAGCCTTCCGCCTAGCATAAGATCAATGCTTCGAGCGCTTCGAGTGCTTCGATCATCATCCTGTAATGTAGCGATCGTAGAAGTTGTCATTGTCGATATGATGCTGGAAGCTCGACTAGGTCGCACTCCCAGGGTCGTTGGCATTCTAGCCACATGAATGGATGTTTCTGTAGCCTGTTCTGAAAATAGGCCTCCAGGAGCAATAGCAGTAGAGCTGTAGCCCCTCCCAAAGTGTGGTGTTCCAGCTGCTGGCCCTTGCTGCGTGTTTCTTTGAGGGACCGGAGTTTCTGGGCGCGAGTTGGAATTATCCATGATAGAGAATGCAATGGATTAAAGCAGACAAAGCTGTTGCGCCACGGTTAGCATTGCTTCTCTGGCACATCGAGGGTCATCGCTCCACACCCCGGTCTCTTCATGTGTAAAAATGGCTTCTAGAATCCTTGCTGTCAACGAGTGCTATCTGTCAACCGGAAATCCAGTGGTTGAAACGAATGGCGACGGCTCCCGAGCTCCTCTTCCCTGGGCCCCTGGGTGTGCCTTGTTAGCACAAGTCGCTATCGGAAGCTAAAGAAGCCTGTAAGCCATCGTTCGCAGCAAATGGTTCTTGCGCAGAACAACCAGCGGAATGGACTCTGAAAATTCTTCAACTGTGAAAGCCAAAGAAAACATGGAGGATCATTCTGGGGGTGATCGGGGGGATATTTCAATTGTCCCCTCGTGAAGCCTTTGAGCCTAACAGCGGATTCAACAGCCAAGATGAGACTACGGCAAGGAGGAGTCAGGGGATGACGTTTGGACACCAGGACTCCTCGACGACAGGGCTTCCATGGGACCGCCGCCTCACAGGCAACAAAGAATCTAGAGGTGAAAGTGGGGGCCTGAGTGTCAGTTGATCGCGCTGACAGTCTCCATGCAAGGCTCGGCCGACGCAACAGAGCAAAACCAATGCAGGATAGAGTTGATGAGGCTGAAACCAAGGTGAACAGCATCCTCCAGTGGAGTCAGACGAGTCGCGTGTCTGTACGGACCTGGACAGGCATCATAATTTATTTCTGCTCGTTTCCTCTTTCTTTCTTTATTTCGCGCAGTCTCCAGGAGAAGAAGACAGAGTGGAGGGCAACTTAACTTCCCCTCATCGAAGGCAAATACTTGCCCATAATTTATTCAACGTATTTGTGACAATTTAAAAAGGAAACGGAGAAGGCTTGCACGTGGCAGAATTGATATCAATATTCCTATTTCTATTCAATGCAACGAACCCCAGCTTAATCTACGGTGGCCCCTGCGAAAGCGATACACTCAGCACCACCCAGACAGCTCCAAGATGCTCTCGTGATCATCCGTTGAGTCCAGGGTTCAATGTTGCTCCCAGCCGCCAAAGTCGAATGCATCCAGGTGCTTATTAGGCATCAGTTGTCCCTGTTGGCGCAATAGTCGAGCCTAGAAGACATCTCGTCAACTACAAGAAGGGTTTCTATTCCCACAAAACTGGTCCCACAATGCTGGTGATGTGTTCAAGCAGGAATCCAGGGAGAATCAGGGGAGTGCGCTATATCATTAAGCTATGTAGCTGAGGAGCTCAGTTATCCGACGGCAGATGCGATCTACATTTTCTCCATTCCAAACGCCTTCGAGATGATCAATAATGGATTGCGAATTGAGTAGAAGGCCATTGATATGTTGGAGCATTCAGTGGTTGGGAGAATTTGAGGGCAGAATTTGCGGAGTTCGGGCTGCACGGATTCTTCCAGGCTGATACTTTTGAACAATTCAATTCGTTGGCGCTGGAGGGAATCAGCAGGGAATGTAACGAAAAAGCCCACCGAAATGTAAAATCACCAACGGATGGGATGTTCCTGCAAGACACGGTGTACCCATTAGTTAATCCGTTCTCTAGATTAATAGTTAAATAACAACCATGCACCCGGTCGCCCTCCGATATGCTTTTATCTTCATTTATCCCCCGCACAAAAAGGTTCGCGTCGAGTCTCGGCTTCTGAAGTTCTGGTTGCCCGTTTGCTGTCCCGCGCCGTTGCTAGTTACCCATTTAAGGCTGAACCGCCGCAAGCGACGGATGCGACCCTGGCGGTGGCGGGTTGGCCCTTTGGCTAATCGCTCCGCTCCCTCCTCGAGTTAGCGATCTACGCGCCGTTTTTTCTGCCCATGACTCTGAAACGAAAGACCTCCCGGCTCATCCATCGAGAGCGAATGTACATATCCCCTTCACAGATAGACTTTAACTTCGCGTGTTGCAGGGAGTTGCAAGAGGTATAATTTGTCTCCTCTCTTTCTCCAGACTTCTCGAGTGGTGACTCGTGTTTCAGCACCCGCATCCGCTTGATTTGCGCATGTCTTCTCGCGAGAAATGGAGTATATCGCCGGCAGTCAATTAAAAAAAAAAATTTTTCTGAAAAAACCTTGCCCCATACTAACCCCACGCCCGTTAGCTATATTCCTGGTTCCAGTTCACTCCGGCTATTGGTGGTTACCTGGACCCTTATGGTTTGCTAATTTTACTTGAGACAAGGAACCAGGTCCCTCGGAGGTTCTTATCGCCAACCTCAAGCCACCAGATACTGGTGTCAGATAGTCTTGAAAAGGTCCCCAGCGCGGGTTACTCTTGGACAAAATGTCTATAAAGTATGTATTCCCCTTTTGATAACTGATGACTAGAATATACGTTGTTATCCTTCGCTCTGTTCGACCCGTTCCGTTTCCCCATATGCCCCGCCATATGCGTCGCCCTCCACTATACTCGCTGTTTTTTCCCTATATACTGTGACCCCCAGCATCATATGGGATATTTCTAAGAGAATCGACCATGCCCTCTAAATCTCAAAAGAAAACAATGCTAAGCAAGCTCCGGCCAAGCAGTTGGGTCATGCTCCATGAGACGGAAGGATTCGTCGGCCTTCCAAATGAACGAATCATGTATACCTCTCCAACCCGAACAAGCCTTCTGCTACAAAGCGGGAACCCTAGACCGGGAATCGAACCTCTATCAATTCAAAGTAGCACCGGATGTGTCTATCTTACTAACCAACGAGTGTGTCGCCCTTCGCATTGCTCTTATATGACTTTGCTTCCTAACCCAGGCTCCCAGGTTGTCTATCTTCCCACAAACTCCACCCCACAGTTCCAATCATTCTCCGCCCCTCTCCTAAATCTGCAAGACACACATGTTTCGGCTCCCTTTTTTGGCCCCAACATCTGGACCGCGCAGGTCAAGCCCGTTGCTGGCGGCGGCATTCCTCCTTCCCATGCGTACCTCCAGTTAAAACTAACATTCAAGGATGGCGGGGCCTTTGATTTCCACTCCGGCTTCGAGAGGATCAAAGAGCGGTTGCAACAGGCCCTGGAGCAATCACAAGAAAATGGCAGCATGAGAAGCCCCGTGGATCTCTCCCTCATACATCTTGACGAGCTACCCGCCTACGAAGCACCCGCCCAGCAAACTGAAACTACATCATCACCAGCGTTCTCTCCGGTGGATCCTCTTGAACGAAATCAACAAATTTCCAACGAAGTCAGTAATAATACCTACTCTACGGAGAGTAATCCTGCCGATACAAACCCTACAGAGCCGCCTCCTGGATACGAAGAGGTTCAACAACAGAGCGTTGCGAACGCGCTTGAAACGTGTCTACGGAAAAACCAGTGATGAAGATGCGAAGAAGAACGTATATATTCTCTCATTGTTACATTCTTAAATCCGTATGATAGAAGGAACGAATTCTCTTTTTTCTTTTCTTCCTTTTCCTTTTTCACCCGGGCCGAAAAAAGCTGTCAACTGGTCTATACAGGCTGATCTGTATATCCGGATATTTTGCACATTGCTATATATTATGTAATATCTGTCTGTTTATGATAAACTACGCTGCAATGAAAACTAACGGCTAGCAAGCTGAAATGATCCCCAAAATGAAAGAATATGTATTGAAACAGAGTAACTAGTATTACTTTTCTACATGGTGGCTCATAATATCCCCATAAATATGAAAGAGCTGAATATAACTAGCAAAATCCCCCTTCCAATGCTGTGTATCTTTTATATTGTACAAACAATCGAATTGATCAATATCTCTTCTTTGTCTTAGCTGCCTCTTCAGCCATCTTCTTCTGCCTCCTCATAATCTTCCTTATTTCTCTCAAATCCACTGGTTTCTCAATCCCCAGCTCCTTTCTCAGCTCATCAACATCCCTTTCCAACTGCTCCTCCCAATAAACATTGATAACAGCCTTGCTTGCCAGCCCATTTCTAACTGCCCAGGGCAAATGCAACTTCCAAAACCGCTCCTTCTCCTCAGGTTTCAACCTCATCACAGCAAACATACTCAACCCTGTCATAGGCAACAATGTATTTGCAAATTCAAATGTCTTCAGAGCAATCTCCCCCTCTACCACAACTGGTAAACCAGTGATGGCATGGTAGAAATCATGGCATTCTCGATAGCGCTGCATCACATATGCACACTCCTTGTCATCAATATACTGCACCTTTGCACGAGTATCAGGGCCGACGCCTTCTCGATCTAGCCAGTCCACATAGGTTCGTCCAACAGTGTTGGGGGATAGGCTGCGAAGATATTCAACAGAGAGAGTTTGAGAATTTATGGATGGCTGGTTGCGGAGGATGCGACGGCCTGTGGGGTCGGACAGCATAACATCACGGAGACGGTAGATGAAGTAGGGAGTTGCAGTAGCCTCACCCAGGGCTGCAATGAGATCTATTGCAATTGATTAGTGAAATTATTAGAAGATTTTGGAGGTTTATGTGCAATTTTATAAGGTGATCCAATCTGTTGAGATATATAAAAGAAAGCGTACCTGCTCGTCTTGGGTTTATCAGTGATCCAATTGCAGACCCGACTGCAAGAGCTCCACGCTCAAGAGTGGTTAGTGGGACATGGCCTGGATAGTTGGGTGAGGGCCGATTTAAGACTGAAAATCCTCGTGAGAGAACCCGTCTGTACGGGTCAGTTGTCCGCAAAGCCCGTTTGGTGAGCATTCCTTGTCTCACAGTGGATTAGGGTTATGGATATATAGGTGTCGAAAGCATTCATGACATACAGACAGGATCAACCGACTGTCAATTGAGTACTAGTATTTCTGAACCTCGCTTGATCTTTCAGAATTCACATGACACAAAAAGCCAGCTCTCATAAGCAATATACACTGAGCATGCCTATATACAATGCTGCGCAAGATGTTTGAAACTTTTGAGACTTCTCACAAATATACACTAGTTCCAAAGTAGTTTAGTGTTTGCACTGTTTATTACTGCAACTAATTGATCAATTACTACATATCTTTTCCTGCTAGTTTCGCATGTAAACCTACGCCGTAAATAATTAATGATTATATGAACAATTTTCTATTTTGATGATGGGTCGTTAGGAAAGATGACGGATGCGACAGTACAAGGATCCTCCTATTTGAGATATTATAAGCCGGCTTGAGTGCGCAAGAAGTGATCGATACATTGCATATACTCCGAGAGAAATCAATCAATCCTTTTCTGATATTGAAGTGATTGTTCCTACATTGAATATTGATATTTATTTGGGCCTGTGGAGAGAATCGAGAGGCAACCTTGGTACCATTAAAACTTTCACTTTTTGAATTATTTCCCTGCGTCCCGCTCAAGGTTTATCTTCTCACGTTGCAATGTAGCTACAGGCACATAGGCTACTATATCCCGCCCGCGCCAACCTGTCCTTCATGCTTATGTAAAACTCCGCAGCCAATCACGTGCAATATAATTCGACCAACATCCCGACTTTTCCTTTCAAAACTTGAGGAATTTCACCAGTATCTGGCTTCAAAAGACCACCACCCCCCACCTTCCACCAACCTCTCCAATTGCTCTCAATTGCCCTCTTTCCTAGACAAAGATGGGGCTAGTCGACATGTTCACAGATCTAATTAGCTCACTACCTTTCGCGGAGGCGCAGGCCGAAGCACCACCAGCCGAGGACGCTGCCCCGGTCGACGACGCGGAGAAGGAAGAGCCCGAGGAGGAGCAAGAAGAAGAGGAGGAGGCGGAGGAGGAGGAAGTTGAAGATATTAAGCCCAAGTTGGAGGAGGGTGAGTGTGGTTTTCCCTTTTATATCTATTCTTTGTCACTTTTGATTCGTGGATTTTTTCATCTTCGAAGAGAGGGGTTGAACGCGGTGATTCAACTTTTATTTCTGGACGCATCGAGATGAATTCTCCAATGTTCCTCGCGCAGTGGCGGGGCAGGGTATTCAGTCCTTGAAGAACTGCTGTCTGGACATTTACCGGAGTTCGCTAGCAAGCTAGAGCCGGTGATAGATGAAAAGTGATTCGAAGCTACTGATGCAGACAATATGAAGCTAACTGACAAATTCCTTTTTATTTCCCTTCACCTGATAGAATGCGCCAACTCCTCGAAATGCGCGCCCGCAAAGCACCACTTTGATGAATGCGTTGAGCGAGTTACCCGAAACAGCGAAGATCCCGATTTCAAGGGGCCCCACGAGGACTGCGTTGAGGAGTGTAAGTTATAATCTCTCATTGTATCCTGATGACCGTCTTATTTGGAATTTTCGCACCCTGCCCTGTCAACGATGTGTACACTCCATTGTTCGAAATTCAATCCCCTATATACATCTCGAATGAATCGGCCGCTGCGAATGGGACTCGAACGAAGAATCGGCCCATCCCCGGAAACCCACTGAGATTCCAACATTCCTTTGATTTGGTTACTAATGGGATGGGGTCTTCTCATATCCACCTCTAGTCTTCCACCTCCAGCATTGCGCAACCCAATGCGCCGCGCCCAAGCTCTTCCGGGCCCTCAAATAAGGGATCGTTACCTTGGACGTCCGGGCGCCCCACAATTCAAGTCAGATACCGCGGCACCCCCTCCTGTTTCAACTAGTACCTGGATCAGTTACTCTGGTGAACTCTCAATCGATGTGGAGCGGAGCAAAGGATATTCGGAGATTTGTCGCGGTGAGGGTTTCTACAGTTCGGAGAATTACGAAACAAATTACAATAATGAAAAAACGAAAAGGAGAGGAGAGAGAAAGGGGGGGGAAAGACCCAAACAAAATGTGGAAAAGTGAAAGGATCTAACTGACCACTTTACCTTGCTTTAATTGCTTGACCATCATATCATACACATACCTACCTACCTACCTACAACGCACAACAAAGAAGAAAGAAAAAGAATAAAAAATAAGAAAAAAAACCATCCTTGTATCACTATTATTATTGTTTCCCTCCGTGTTTCCTTGATTGTGTAAAACCGTTCTACAGCCATGTACAGATGAATATATTTTTTATTTAGACAAACCTCACCGTTTCATCCCGGCCTGTTTCTATCTAGATCACATATCAAATCTTGTATCTTTCCAATTTCAATGTGCTTTTTCTCTCCCCACAGTTTCCCGCTTCCTGGAACTCGAGGATTAGAATGGGTTTTCGGCCTTTCTCTCTCTCTCTCTCTCTCTCGTATTAATACGTCATGGCCGCAGCGTATTCTATCTCGATCTTGGGGTCAACAGGATTGTCTTTTCTACCGCGCAAATATTTTGCTTTTTGCCGCTTCAGAGGATCCCCGGTTTTTTTCAGCCTAGCAATTGATATACCCTAGATGGAAATCTAACTGTATATAAGTTCTAGCGTGAGTGTTTTGATAATTTGCTACCATATAGAAATTTTACCTATATGTCATATCCGCTATGTATCTTACCCTTATTATGACTTGTTATAAAAACGAAAGAAAATAAACAAACAAATAAATAAAGTAAAAGTAAAACAATACCCTGTTGAAAACCTGCCTTTCAGGGAATTGGCGGGGATAAATAAACCCAACACGCCGCGAACGACTTTATTCATCAAAACCGACATATTTACCAAACCTTGCCCCATCCAACCCCCTCTAGGCCGTGGGCATTTTCTTCATCTCTCCCGAAACATCAGCACCATCTCACAATAATTATTTCCCTGCGCTCCGTTCCTGAAATAGTAATTGTTCTGCTGCGGTCTCCGCCGCGGTCTCCGCCTCAAGCCTCAGTCTCCTCGGATTCCGTCCAAACAGCCCCAGACAGAGCGGCAAAGGCACCACCGCAGACGCCACCACAGCCTGAAAAATCAAGGCGCGGTTCATATTGTTCGGCGGATGCGCATCGTCACCTGCCTTCAGCGCATTCTCAATGAGAATAAACGACGTGCCCAGTAGTTGGCCGCCTGTCCAGCACACGGAGCTGGTCACCTCCGGCGACATCGGGTATGTAATTTCAACCGTGTACTCTAGGATGATAGGGAGGACTGCGAAGCTGGACGCGCCTAGCAGGGAGGCGATGACGTAGGGGCCGGCGATGCTGGTGGCGCGCGGCGCGAAGACGAAGACGATGTAGCAGACCGCAATGATGGGGACGAGCACTTTTGTCAGGAGCAGGTAGTTCTTGTAGCGGTCTGTGATGGGGGAGATTATGGCCGCGGCGACAAGGCCGACGACGATCAGCAGGGCGCCGGTGATGCCGGCTTCAGTCTCGCTGAAGCCATAAGGCTCGAGGATCTGGTTGAGTAAGGAGGATATGCTGTTGAAGCAGCCGACGTAGGTGCTGAAAGGAATGAAGATGAGCCAGAATTCGAGGGTGCGGACGAGTTTTAGGGGAGATTCGCGGAGGGGGATGCGCTCGATTGTTGCGGCGGCGGTGGGCGGGGTAGGCGGCGCGGATGGAATGAAGAAAGAAGGGACGCAGGCGACGGTGGACTATTCAGATACTTCCTGTTAGTTTTTGAATGTTTTTTCAGATCGGACGCGTGTGTTTTCTTTTTCTTCCTCTTTTTGATCTTGTCTGTGAGATAGTGTCCAATCCAGGCATTAACTGGGGTATTGGTTTCTGCGGCTCAATTTGAGACGACTGATCTTATCCGCTTCTTATCATTGTTGCTCAATCTGAGCCTACCAATAGACCCAAATCCGAACAGTGCCTTGATGATTCTAAATTGCCACGGATTTTCACATCCCAGACGAGGGAGATAGGAGATAGGATTTCTGTAAAGAGAGGCGATATTTTCTTCGTTTGCTTACAATTATAGACACGTAGAGCACCATATTCGGGATTTCGGAACTTTTCGTTGCCAGGATCGGCCCCATCAACTGGCCCAGCGCACCGCCAAAGGGATTCGCAAGGGTCGTGATGGCCGTTGCACTGGTTCTTCCTTTGCCTGTGAACCATAGATCGCTGTAACGCGTGGGGGCGCTTAGGCAGAAGGGTTGCGCAAGGCCAATCAAAATCTGCCCGAACATTGCAAGGCCGAAGATGCTATTGCCAGCTCGTGTGCCCGCATAGCGAATCCAGTTGCCGAGGAGAAGGAGCACAGCTGAGAGCGTGAGGGAGAGCTTAGGACCCCCTTTATTGAGGGCCCAAATGACCACGCTGGAAGGGCGCAGTTAAGTGTTAGTGATGGGTGAGAGTGTCACATCTCTCATGGGGATTCCTTACGGGGTAGAAATGCAAAAGGCCAATTGGAAGGCTATGCTCATCCAGTTGATCGTGGCTTCTGAGACACGAAAATGTTCCGAGGCAGTCTTAGAGACGGCGGAGAAGGTTAACCACTGTGAGAGATACGTTATAAAGTTAGCGAATCTTGCCTCTCTAGGTCTCTCTCCCCCTCTCTCTCCCTTTCTCTGTCTGTCTTTCTGTACGCGCGCACGAGTGTGTATACGATCTCACATACATCCCAACTAACAACAGTATTCAACAATACCAACTGCGCCAGGCCGAAGAATCGGCGCTTATAGACCTTGTATACTTGTAGCTCATTGCCACCCGTTGCTGCAGGGGAAGTATTGTGACGCGCATCCAAGCTGGTGCTCGTCTCGACATGAACATAGTCGGTGCCACTACTAGCCTTAATCGCATCCATCTCGCCTCTGGCTGCGCAGGTCCAGAGCCAAACTTGTTACCGACTATATGGCTATCATCGTCTTTCGTATGGACCAGGAAGGGGTGGAACAGAGCAGAGTGAGAAGCTGGGTGTCGTCGAAAATTATTATAAAGTAAGCCCGGTGGTTTGGTTGAACTCTCGAATGGCAGCATCCACCTGGTATATACCGAAAATTTTAGGGAGAAAAAGGCGGAGATTCATTTCCCGCCACAGGCAACCGCCTCGGGTCATGAGACGATACTTTCATGGCTGGCCTCTGGGAACAAGGAAGACTCGCGCAGATTGGCTTGTAAACGATGAACGAGCAGCGGGCGGGAGCCGCCACTGAAGTTATTGATTTAGCCCTTGCTGCTTCCAGGGTTACGGGTCACCAACACCAAAAATGGAAACATCATCCGCATGTGGAGATGTGATTGTGAATCAATTCCTAAAGGAAACCCATCGATCGTGCTCTACAAAATACGCAGAGTCAACAGAATTCACCGGCTGTCAGATCCACGGGCACGTGTATACATTGGAAGTTTTCTCAAGGTGCCGCAATTTTATAATGCCCGATTCATGGTCCAGGGTAAAAGAGTAGATGCTGGCAAGCTTGGTCTCTCTTCTCTTCTGGGTAGGAAGAGATGTGGCTCTCACGGAGTCGACATCAATGGTATGTTCTAGGTCTGGAGAGAAAGAATGCTTGACTGTTGATTTCCGAAACGACCCCACAGCCCATACAAGACACAGGAAAAGGGTCTCTAGTTTAGATCTAATCAAACAAGGGGCGGTTCAGCGCTGAGGTGAGGAAACTTTAAATTCTCAGGGCAAAGTGTGGATTTTTGGTGCCGATCTGCCCAACGGGAAGCAATAACCTTGCGCAAACATGGATTTATGCTGATGAACCCTTTTCATGCCTGACAGGAGCGGTGGCCCCTCCCTTGATATACTACTATGTATGTAATAATAAGATCGAGTCTGAGTTACCCCATTCATCTTGGGACACTTGCTTCTATTTGTCTGGCACCGAGTGCGGGACCGCTCATTGCTGAGTGTCCACCAGGTCGGTTGATGTGACCAGAACTCAGGCCTGTCGCTGGGCCTGTTTCTTCACACTGAGAGCTTTTCCCCGATCGATCGCGGGCCCAGCTATATATAATGCTAGTTCGCATTCAATCCCTGCTAGGAAGCACGCTATCGGTGATCAAAGTTCGCTCATTGATCGTCGCGACGAGAGGGTTTTAATTCTCCGACTGCAACAACGGCATAGTCCTGTGTATGACAGGAGACAGTGTTTATCTGTCTCTCGACCTTGCAGGTTATCGCCATGAGACGATGGGGGTATGAATCAGAGCGTCTAAAATGCATCAATGGCAACGCCAGACTACGACATTCAATGCTGCCAGTTATGATTTTTGCTTCTGTGACTGGTCACAAACCTATACCCCCACCCCCGAGCATGAAAGATTATTGGGGCCAGGATGTTTTCTGCTGGGATATTCTGTAAGATTACATCAATCACCCGCCATGGTCAGATTGATTTCACGATGGGAGTTACCAATCTCAAGACCAAGAGATTTCCTTGCGAGGCAGCATGGAAGCCACAGCCTGTAAGTTAGAACCATTTTTACCTGCTGCTTTCCCATTCATATCTTCTAGTTCTTGTAGGCTGCTATCTAAGTTGATACCTTGATCTCACTCAAAGAGATTCAAATTTCCGAAACCCTTTTCTTTCTTCTTGGTTCGTTAAAAGCCACAATCATTCTCCCAACATTCTGTTGTCTTCGGAGCAACGCCCGGCAAGAGAGTTTGAGCCGACGCTCCGGCAGGTTAGAAGAGAATATCCAACTTGCGCGCGATAAGTTTCCCAAGGTTACTCTAAACACATATGCTCCCCCCCACACAACATTGTTTGGTCGTCCGCTGAAGTGCTAATTGGTCGGCATGCATTTGGCCAAAGCGATAAATTGACATCGCTACATTTACGGTTCTTGACCTGTTAACGCTTACTCCATTTTAACATCTTCATATCATAAAGAACGTGTCCAAGCCCGTAACATCTTGCCGGCATAATGAATGAGACAGGAGAGGGGAGGAGGATGATGACGGTGGTAGTGGTGGTGGTGCTGGAGAGGGTGATGATGAGGACGAAAGGCAGAACCTGTTTGCCCCTGGAAATGTATTTCTTGGAGCAATATAATATGGGAGGAGAATGCTTTTATATCGTAAAAGGCATGAGTGGTTTGGCTATCCGCCCAGTCCTACAGGGACCTTGTGGGGGTATCATCTGCTGAGAATAAGGCTGAATACTCACTACTTACCCACGCTATCTCTGCAGGACAGCGACCGCGAATTCTTGATTTTGGCAAAGCACGCCCTCGTGCTCTTCGAAAAAGGTCTCTTCCAACTAGGCGTCTCTAGTGACTGGCCTGGTCGGGAATTCTTGGCAGCGGCAGCCCTAAAAACAATGTGCATTGAAGCAATTTGGGGGTGCCACGCCTAAGTACTGTATCCAGGATTGGGTTTCTTGGTGCGCCTGACAACCCCCCGGTTCCCTTGGGCCAAACCTTCTTGAGGTTTTTTTTCTGATGGTTTCAAAGGTTATCTTAGATACCTTGGCACAATGCATGAAAGAAAGGCACCTGTAAGACAAATTAACCATGTCTTTTGTCTCACAATGACTGGTCCATTCCAAGGTGAAAAAAAAAAAAAGAAAAGCTGCCATTTTGTTTCAAATTGGATTGTGGGATGGTGGCCAGATGAGCCTTTTTTTGTTCTTCTAACCACAGTAATTTTCAAGCCCGAATCCTTTTGAATATGGAAAGCAAAAAAGGGGTGGCTGAACACAGCCACAGAAGATGAGATGTGTGTTTATTTGATTATTCCCACAGCGAAAGTGGCCTGAATACACTGATGTGCCCAATGAAATCCTGGGTTTGCGGCCTGGTTCTGATCTGATATTGGTATATATCCCAGGTCGGTCGATTCGGGCCTGGAACAAGGAGGGCTTTAGCTCCTCATATTGCGGAAGTGAGAGGCGTCGATTTGAGGCTCACAGTTGAGGCTCATTGTAGAATAAAATAAACTTTCGTCGCGGCGGCCGTTTATTGATTTGGAGACTCCTGTGGGGCTTCATCTGCGTCTGTTTCTCTCGCTCCTCCTCCCAAGGTCTCCCGTTTCCGGCTTCGAGAGTTGTGTCTGAGCTGCATAGTTTTCGAAACCCAATAAGCTTAAACAAGGAGGGTGTGCTCCGTAGAAGCTAACTTATCACCAAGAGCCGTTCTTATCAAGCCTCAACTCTCCCTCAGCTTTCATGGTGATCAGATGATGTTGGCTGTTTGCTGGTGGCTTGTCCCGTTGGCTTTACCAAGAGCCAGTGGAGTGCCTGGATGCGGTGTATGTATCCAGCCCGTGTCAGCCATGGATAGTCGTATCAAAACATTCTCAGGCAGACAGGGAGATGCCTGGCTGATGTTGCTGTGAGCTGTCAGTCGGAGGTTGTATGGAGGAAAAGGAGACAATCTTCAGCTACCAAGGGATGTACCACGTGTTTTTGGCCGTAGCCGTTGTGTGCTGTTGGTGTTGGGTCACGGGGTCCTTGGTACCTCTATCTTGGTGACCGTTTACTGGTTCTGTCGTGTACCAGGTACATGTTTCTCCAGCTGCAACGCGCCCAACTCTGATCTGGCTGGGCCCTACAGGGATCAAGTATTTACGAGGCACCACCTTCAAAGAGTCCTCTTATTTTCCAGGATTCTTGAATTTTACCTTCGTCATCGGCTTCATTTTCTCGCCTCCCGCTCCTTGTTGCCCATCTTTGGGGCACCACTGTCGGCCTCTAAAATCCCGGTGCACCCTCACGATCTTTGCGGCTCCGAAATGCCTTTTGGCAACTGAATTCACCGCGATTAATACTGAGGCTATGACTCCCTTACTCACCTAACGGGCTATGGGACCTTTTCCCATGCGATCACCTCCAACTGCAGATACTGCCCGCCGCAACAATGATTGGTATGAACCTTATGGACGGTACGAACGGTGCAAGCTATCGCTCCAGTCCATCCTCCTATGGCGACCCCAAATATGTCTCCTCAATTTCAGTGTTGGGCGTGGTGCCGCCTCCTTCTCGGGTTCTCGTTGACGGGTATAGGAGCGGGTTTGACTCCATTGAGGATGAGAGCCCGCGATATAATCCGGTATGTGCCACATATAAGTCACTTTTACTACGGTCTTACTGTGCAGTATGTCTAACTTATTTGAACCTTTGTCGTGGTTTGCACCCTGCCATTTTAGCTCAATGTTGCTCATCCAAGAAGTTCGGTCCTTTTGAACGCAAATGATCCGGTTGTCATGCACCTTCTCACAGAGACCGCCATGGGGGATAGTATGCATTTTGAGGTACTATCGTTTGAAGAGGCGGAGAATCTTAAGAAGGAGCTCTCGCTGCTCACGAACCGCATAAATTCCTCGAAGCGGAAATTAGCCTTGGAAATGAAGCTGCAGGAAGCGGCTCTATCGCTAAGTAGATTACCAGACGGCAAATCGCGACGCGACAGTGGAGACTCGATTGGCGAGATGTCACCAAGATCGCCACGCAAACGGATGAATTTTTTCGGCCGGAATAGTTGGGGAGACCACCATCGTTCGGACAGCGAGCTTGGAATAAGCACACGGAAATGTGAAGAGTTGGCGCAAGAGCTTTGGAAACTCGAACGCAGGGCCGCTGAGCTGAGGAGGAGACTTTTAGAGCACACTGCGGGCGTGCTGCAGATGACGCATAAAGGCCTTAAGAAAAAGCCGGCTGCCAGTAACAACTTTCCGCGAAATCAGAGTAGCATGCACGGAAGTCCGGGTGCACGAGAGAATGGTGTGCATTCTGGCCCGCCCCACGACTTTGACGATAGAAGCCTCTACCGGACCGCGGATCATCTTGATGAATACGGTAGGGCTTACGGCCCAGGGGGAATGCCTCATTTGCTAAACGGAGAAACTAGATCATTTGATTTGACAGCCATACATAACACTGAGAGAAAGCTAGAGGAGATGAACAATCGCTTGCGTCAGATGCTCCTCGAGGCTAATTTGGATGGGGATGTAGGGCCTGTTCCGACTTCCCTTTATAATGAACAATCTCTCAATCCCGTGGCTGGAGTGGAAGCGCAACTTGATTACCTCGAAAGGAACTTGAGTTCCATGGCAAACCTCCGACTCCAAGAACCCACAGAGGAAACAAATGATATACCGCAATTTGTTTACCATGCGGAGGAGAAATTGGAGGAGATGAACGTGCGGCTTGCCAATATACTCAAAGCATCTGGTTCTCGTTCTCCCCTTGCATCCTTTCCGACTGGCCCGAGAAGAACTCTGCAAGAACAACTTGACTATCTTGAGCCGAATATTGACAACATCCAGCAGCGGGTGGAAAGCTTGGCTGAACAAAAAACTATTCTCACAACTCAAATACAACAGCAAAGGGAACTTAATTCGAAATCCGATGCGGAGCGGGATGCCCATTTTGCAGAACTCAACGAACAAATATCTATCCTGAAGAAGGAGCTAGATATGTCACGAAAGGAAGCTGATGGCACCAGAGATGAGCTTACTCTGGTAATGGACCAACTTGACGCTGCTCGCCAAGAATCGATGATTCGAGAACAGCAACGTACTGAAGAGGAAGCGGTTGCCTTGTCCAGTATGAAAGCAGCTAGAACGAAAGCCGAAGAGGAGTTGTCCGCCAAAATCAACATGATCGCTCAGCTCGAAAATAAACTACAGAAATCGAGTGACGAGCAGGAATCGAGGACAAGGGAAGCCCTTGCGGCAAAGGAGTCCTCCGACAAAGAACTTCAGAAACTGCAGTCAGAATATAACGAACTCGAAAACGAAATGATTCGTGTCCGGACAGAGCTCACTATGGCACAGGCAGAGCTTGACAGTGCATACGGTAGCCGTGCCGAACGCGCAGCTCAAGTGGCAGCGAATCCGGCGATTCAGAAAGAAATCGACGATCTCAATCAGCGCAATAGGAGCCTTACAGAAGAAATTTCCATTCTTCGAGCAGAGCAACTCAACAACAGCAATGACGGCGATGGCAAATCTGGACTCCAGGCAAGAGTTCATATGCTGGAAAAGGAACTTAGAGATACGATTGACGATTATGAAGTTATGACAAAAGCAAGCATTGAGTTTGAGAAAGAGCGCGAAAAGCTCGAAACCTTCATTGACAACCTCCGCGACCGCTGTGAAAACCTCGAGTCAAAGCTCTGTGAGGAACGAGTGCAAAACATGGGAAGTAGTAGTCCCAGCCACGCGAGCGGGTTTGACAGAGGCGCCTCCGAGACAACCTCCATCATGGTGCTCAAAAATGAATTTAAGAAGATGATGCGCGATACCCGGGCTGAAAATATGCGACTTCTTAAGGTATGTCTACATGATTGTGATATCTGGACGCAATGTATTACGCTAAATGCAGTTCGCTAACGATGCTCCTCACTCGCTCACTCTAGGCTGAACAAGAAGAAAGACGGCGACTGGAAGTCCTGATCCGAAACCTCCGGAAGGAACAAAGCATTGGAAAGTCAAACCTGAGCCAGAGCACCATTTCATCTTGATATCTTACTTGTTTTTGTTTCTTTTGATGTCACTTTTGTTTGATATTTCATTTCCAGTATGAACCCTTTTCAATCCGTTTCTTGATGGCTTTGCCCAAGCAGTATACCTATACGCATTTTGCAACCAAAGAGCTTCTTTGTGACTCTTCCTGCCTTTTATTTTTCTTTCCTGCAATCTTATGATTTGTGTGATTGTTTTGGCTAGTGCACGCCCAGGGGCTGAAAGCTACAGACGTACCCACCCTCCATTATTTCGTATTTATTTAGCGTGCTAAACGAATGAGTAATATTTCTGCTGCTCCTGTGTATGTTTAAAGTGTATCCCGCCGTGGTCGCGATTTCTTCCAAATAGGGAGAAATGGTGGATGTGACAAGTGCCTTCCTTCCCGCCTTGGATTCATAGTCCGTTGCTGAATTTTTCATTGCCTCCCCTTCAAATTGTGTTCTACACTGATGGCCGGTTCAGTCTCATATTTCCCGCTTGAATGAGGGTTGTCTATCGTTTAACTCCCCCCTTATATTTCGTCTTCACACAGATGACCGCTTTGCCACACGGGTGGTATCCCGCCATGACCTACACACATGACCTATGCAATCAAACCCGATCGCGCTCGCTTGAATTCGATAGGCCCGGACGGAGCAGGCTCCGTCGCGTTGTTTCAACGAAGGGTTTCAGTCAGCACATGGATTCCTCAGAATCTGTGCCCAGTGAGCACAGTTCTCTCTACGATGCAGTGTTAGCCAGCTTTGAATCAGATGATAGTCGGAGACAGCGTGAGCTGGATCGCCATTTAGATGAAGCTGGTCCGTCGAACTATGGGCCAACCAACTTCGTGGGGGAAAATATGGGCACAATTAATCAACGCCTAGTTTACTCACATGGAAAATGGCCTGGCAAGAAACTGGAGACCATAGTTGAACAAAGGAGTGCATCTACACTTAGGGGTTCACTGGCGCCGTCTGTTGGTGATGTTGATGGACCTGGCAATAATAGGCCATTGACTACACAGGAGGCTTTAGTCAACCCGCCTGGTACATGTGGTAGGAAGGTTTACTCCTTCGATGACCTTGATCTCCCAAATCGCCGTCCAAGGGATGGTGCCTCGCGTCTCCCTAATCGATCGTCTTCTTCTGGAGCGAGCTTCGAGTTGCGCGGTTTGTTTCCTCATATATCTCCCGTCGAACCTACCCAACCGGTATACCCTCCACCTGTTCGATCCCCAACTCCGCCGGGTCTTCCGTCTTTTGGCTCACGGGAAGCAATCCACTATGCTCCGACCCAGTCCAACCGCTCCCGCCCTTCAAACCACTACACTCCGCTATCACACAGAGGGCTACAGCAAGGTTTAGTAGCAGAGGGTGACGAGGAAGACGATTTATGTTGTGCTTCTGGATTAAAGCGCCTATTTGGCTTACCGTCTTGCATGGGAGCTAGACCGCCTACTCTTCCTACGGGTGCGGTCGCGAGGGCTCATGACGGTACAATGGTTCGAGGTCGGTTTGGTCCCCGGCAAAGTGGACATGGAGTCGGAGCAGGCCCAACGGCACGAGGACTGGAGAGCCACCCTTTCCACAGAAGCTCCTTACCAGCTGCCAGAGTCAAAGATGGGTGCGATTCTGCGCCAAACTCGGTCGTTGTGAGCCAACAAAATACTCACAGCGCTTCCACTCCGTCACAGACTGGTTACTCCTCTCCACAGATCATGCCGCTATCGTATTCCTCGCTTCTACGGGCACGCACTGCGCCGCACATAGTGCCGCCACGACGATCTTGCACCAATACCGGGAACTGTACACTGCTTAGTACTCCTTCTGTTCCTCTTCCATCATATGTTGCTCATCAAAGGCTTGAGTCTCCCCTGCCACGTCCTCCTGAAATGATACATGCTTCCAATAGCCCTAGCGGCTTAAATGGTCCTGGTCCTGAAGGAGGGGAGAATGATGGTACATCAGCTACGCTTACCCCAAGCCGACCCAATCGCCCGCCCATAGTTACAGGGCCGCGCCGTAGGCAAAGGATTTCAATGCAAACTGCTATAATTGAGGATAACAAAGCTCCTGGCCTGTGGGATTGGCTTTTAATGGATTGCTTCTTTGTCTGCTGCGGATTATTCGGCGGCAAGGAGCCTCCACTCATTCGAAGCCAACGGGGCAACTTTGGTATCGATGGGCAATGCTCTGCCCCGGATCAAACTGCGGCATCGGCAGCAGCAGCGGATGGGCAAATTCGCACCCCACTAAACCGTATTCACGACCGTGATCGCCATCGCGAAATATCTTCTCCCACCCCATGGACCCCTGCGTGGGGATGGCAGCCTCGATGCTTTGGTGGCGATGCTACATTGGATGAAGAAACCGGTCTTGGTACCGCGATTGAGTTGCGGTTGATCCAATCGACATGGCCTCAAGAAACTGCTGCTGTAAATTAGAATTGGGGATTGCTCTTTCTCTCCCAGTCAGTAGTCTTAGTCCCCATCTTGCAATAGCTGTGGTTGTTTATGGCTTTACTTGCGGCTATTGTTATTGTGCAATTCTTGTCTGTTTCGGCTGGATTTGTTTGAACCTGGCTGTCGTTTCAGTTTGTTGTGGGAAGAAGGTTGGGATAGTTCTTGTCCCCTCTGACAAAGGGATGGTAATGTTGAAGGACAAGGATTTTGGCTTATCATTTGTGAACCCCAACTGGCTACACTCTGAACTTGTTTACAACTGACGAGCTTTTCGTGCCACTTGTTAGCAGGCAAGGAAATGAATCATGATACTACTTTTATACTTACCTACTACCTCTTCTTCGGTCTATGTTTCGTCTCACGCTTGTTCACTTGGTAACTCCCAATTGAGTGGTGGCAGGGTGCAAATAAGAACGGGCAGAACTTTGTGCAACAAGGGAATAATAATAAAAACATTAGGTGTAAACCTTGAACTCAATCATCTGAATCGGGCCATGCATCTTGATATATTCAGAAGAACCGTGATATCCGTGTTTACACATGGTGTATTAGCTACAGGACATGCTGTCAGTCGAGAATTGCTGAGCCAGCCCGCCAGATCTTCAATCTCGACCAGCAGACGTTAGTGTTCGACTCATTCAATACGCCGGAGACAGCGTCCACGGGCTGCAACGTTGGAACGATTGTTGAGGGACACGGTCAGAGTTGAGTGTGGCTCAGGCAAAGCTGTTTCGAATCCAGGCCCACTACATCTCATCATGTGCTGCTGTACAAGTACATATACAATCGGAGGATAACCGCGCGTTGACGCTTCCCATCTTTTCCATTGGCAGACATGGACTAGAAAATTCTCTTCTTCCAGCAACCCTTCAAGGGTGGGGCATGAGCCCGAAGACATTTCACTTATAGATAAAGGCCTGGAAGCCAATAGATTTACCAGCACTATATCAGACTTTAATAACTTCAATCTCGACATCGCTGATACCCTCCTACTGCCTCTGCCAAACCAATTCAGACCTATCTGCTTACTTTCAGGATCGCCATTCTGGTGTGGGAGGCAGGTCGTCGAGGACTTCAATTACTATCCTTGTATGCGAAGTTGTTCCTCTCAATAATACGACACAGCGTATGGTGGACAATGTCCTATCTAAAGCCCTTGGCTATGCCAGACATCCACATGGCTGACTCTACACAACGACGTCAATCTTTCGGCATCGGTAAAAGCTAGATAATAAGAAAGGCAATTGTGGCTGGCATGGATTTGATCTGCCACAAGAACGACTTCTGCGTCATGGCACCAACCGGAGCAGCAGCCGACGCTATGGGGGAGATACTTACCTAACTTCCCTTGGAATTTCCCTTAACCGATCTATGCGAAGAAGAATGGGGCCCAGAATCCGCAGACCGTTGGTCGCGGAAGACCATAATGGTCATATACGAGGTGAGCATGATAGACCTTTCCGGCTCAGCACCACAATCAATACCCTCTGTAAAACAGCCCGATTGCTTGAACGGGCTTCTCCCGACTTGTTTTCGGCGCCTGCCAGCAATAGCTCTCATGCGCAATTTCGACTAATTCCGCCTATTCAAAGTCAACCGGTTTAGAGGCTCCTGAGGATTGAGACAAACTAGGACGGGAAGCTCTTGTGCGACAAATTCAAACAAGCAATTCTGCTGGATGAGGAAATGCGACAAACGGAGGATGTAACATCTTCAAGTGTGCAAGAAGAGGTTCATTTAACCTACAATGACGTGCTCACCGTGAATTTAAAACAATCACATTTCTTGCAGCTCCCCAGCTGAAAAACAAATAGTCATTGACAAACGCAACAGCCTCCTACATGTTATAAACTGTATCCGGATTGAACGCTTCGCGCGATCCAGAAACGAAAAAAAAATCTTCCCTGCTCTCCAGTATTGCACCACATCCCCTAGGACCGACAGATCACGATCCCGTGCAAATACCCTGCTTGGAGAAACCAAGTAGGGAGTAAACGAAGACCCTATTCCTATTCCTGTGACTCCTCCTATACTCCTATAGTGTCGCCTTCAACGAAATCCATAATGAAGTAACATCGGCATCCGAATAATGTGCCTTGTGTCTTGGTATTGAGAATTTGATAAACTTTAGGGACAGGTATTGATGTTTTTGCTTCAACTAACTTCGTGATCTCTGCTTCACATGGCCGTACAAGCTCACCTCCTTTGAGAACCAATGTGCGGGAGAGACGCGCAATGCGTGTTCCCTGGTAATCATGCAGCAATGGCGCAAGTTTTGAAGAGTTCAATCAGAGCTTCATTGGAGACTTTGGGTATATCGTAGCCGTCGAGGGGAAACTTGGTCAGAGGCTGTCTGGTCGCAAGCTCGCAGCGCATTTTCTATCAGAGAGGGCTTCGGATTAACTATGGCGGAACATTTTGTCTTACACCGAAATTGGGTGTACCAAGGCGTACAGCTTTCGTCATCCGGCAGTGATCTTGTGTGAATCAACTATTACTATTCTGTCATGGAAGGTTGACCACACTTTGACAGACGGTCGGTGGTTTGAATTGAGCGGGCCCGAGCTTGCACCGGAAGTTTTTCCGGCCGAAAATTCTAATTGAGCCTCCAGGGGTAACTCATCTATAAAGATCCATAGATACTACTAGTATGGGAATATACTAATATCAAGGAAGTTAAATACAATAAATGTTTAACTATTCAAAATCCATTGAAGATTACTGGTGAAGATTATAGAAATGAAGATAATAATCCTGGTTTTAGAAAAAGTTTTATTTCCGTACTCGTATGCTCCCTTCACTCAAGTATAATCTATCCTGTTATCCTGTATCTTATGTTGTGTTGAAGAGATCTATTTTTTGATGAAAATTGCATTTTCCTGTATCTCTTGTATGAGACTGCTATAGAAAAGTTACCTCAAATTGAAAAAGTTGCACTTACTCCTTTGCGATGCCGCCGCGAATATTCATGGCGTTTATTACTTCCTGCCTAATGAAAATTCCAGAAACAGTTCCATTCAGCACTATCAACATGAATATTGCACCGCACGTCAACCACTTAAATTCATTCCCCCAGGTGAAAAGGACTTGATTCTTGAGTTAACCGTCTTGAGCATGAATGCGATTGGCCATGCCAGGCTCCCATCCACGGGACACCATGGGTGTGTCTACCTCGCCGTCTCGGAGTCCGGTCCGTAATTGCGTCAGTAAATAAAGCCCGGTTTTGGATCGGGCCGTGTATAGTTTGAGCGCAGTGCGATGTCAAGCAAGCCGTCTGAGACACCTGCCTTGATGCTTTCTATTCGTTTTCCGATTCTGATTCCGATAGGATTCTAGGTTCCGGAAGCCGTTTGAGGGCTGATTTGTACCGTATTTATAAATTTCTGGCGCGTCCGAGAGACTTAGCTTCCACACCTCCGTACAACATAGTTGAATCAAACCTTAACTTAGTTATTTATTTAGTTATTTCTTTGTTTGATGCCAGCCAGACTTGGGGGGAACGATGCCGGATAACATCTTGTATATCAAGAGCACGATGAGACCTCCTGAAAGCAGTCCTCTCCTCATTTCAACTTTTTTTTTTTTCTCCTCTCATGCAAAGCTTGAAATATACGCTTAATTATCCATCTCCTCGCAGGAAACAATGCTTGTCACCTCTCCCCTGACCATATGCATGGCCCTGCTCTTCCCCCTCAGGGCAGCCATTGCAGCACCTTCGAATAATGCCGAGCCTGTCCTTAACGCGACTCTCGATTTATCACCTTCGGGCGCCAACAGACCATTCCATATGACATTCGACGTCCTCAGCAAAAAGTTCCCAGACCAGCCATTCCTCACCAACACCTTCCACGTCGAGCGCACGGGTGGAGAGAACGTTGTGATGTCTGCATTCACGGTAGGAGGCATAGGGTCAAATATGACGAACTGCACACTGTGGTGGAGGAAGCCGAGTTCCCGTGACCCATTCTATTTGGTCTCCGGTCAAAATCGCTCGGTAGATATCTGGACTACGAAGGCTTGGTATCCAGAAAAACCACGTACATACCCCACATGGCATAATCCGCCCAAGAAGAGGCATTTGTTAAAGAAAATTGTCTTTCCTACAACTGCGGGGAAAAACAAAATTCTAATAGGATCGATTCCATGTCGACATACCCTGAGCTTTCTGGGAAGGTTTAGCCCGGGTCAACCAGGAGACGCCATAACATGGTGGCTCAACGAGCCGGGGATTCGCGGCTTTTATCTGGTAGCTAAATAGCTTCGTCCGAAGGCTCCTGTCTTGCATGACAAGGGGAAACTCGAGCGTGCGGTTTGAAGGGTCTAATCAATGTTTTCGCGCTCAACTGCGTTGTTCAGATTTTAGTCCTAGTTTCAATCCTTGGATAATTAGTGGTTGAAGGTGCAGAAATTTAGTTGATTCACGTTTATTCTTTACCTGTTAAACTCGTCTCGCCGGGTTCCTTAGTAGACCCCAGTACCTTGCGAAGTATGATTCTGGGGGAAATCTTGTGGGAAGATGTCATGGGTAGGCAGGATTCTTTGCGCATGAATAGCAAGCAGCCTTTACCTTGCGAGCGGCAGGCTGGTAGCAGCCTCATCAGAAACATTCAATGGAAAACAAAAAATGGATGAGAGCCGAGCTAAAAGCAATGTGAAATTGTTCTCAGTCGGAAAGTATAATTCGTTTGCTGATTCAAGAAAACAATATAACGCGTACCAGTAGCGAAACCGTCAACGGAACAAACAAGGTAAACATGGAACATACACAAAAACGAAAATGCGCGTATTTCACTGATAAGGAGATACATCCAGACAAAAGCTCGAGTAACAGAATTCATAAGGTGCCAATGACGTCGCTACAGAATTTGCTGGAGGAAACAAAGTATGGATTCATGCTTGCTAGGCAATATATGCATTTTTGAAAAGACGCTGAAAAAAATGGCAGTATGGCATGGCGTGTAACTAGGACGTAGATCAAAAGATAGAATCGTATGCATTAGAAGGAAACAAGGGCACTCAGAAAATATTTAATTCCAAAGAGTCTTGATTGAATATTGCATGGCTGATTCGCAAAATTCGCAAAATTCGCAAAATCCGAAACAACTTCAAAGGCCGGTAAAAAACTGACAAGCCCACTCAAGCTCCTGGTCACCGTATGCAAAGTCCCAACCCACAATTCTGTGATCCAGGCTAGCACATATAAGTTGACGGGCGTCAAACTGTAGTTTGAAAACTCTGGCAGTGGGATGAGCTGCGGGAAGAGTTAGTGGTCTATTAGCACCGTGTAGTGGGGGCTGAGCCTGGTTTTGAAGTGTCTGAGGAGGTTGCTGGTTTGTTCCATTCAGGGAAGGTGGTCCAGCATCGTTCGTTGTGCCTTGAGGGATCGTTGTATTGGCATTCGGCGGGTTGGACTGAACTGTTGAAGCAGATGAGTTTTGCTGGGAGGTTTGGGACATAGATTGTAACCCAATAAAACCTTGCGGTGCTTGGCTTGGGAGCAGAGGAATTGGCTGGCTGGTTGGGGCCCTGGTATCTGGAACCACATTCGCGCCGGCTGCTCTGACAGCTTCATCCTGGCGTAGTCTTTGTCCAATAACCCACTTTCCTTCGTGGTCTTTCTTCCATATGATGATACTTTCATCGTAAGAGCCAGAAACAATGCGTGCCCAGCAGCTTCCTCCACCACCAGGGGGGATTTTGGCTCCTAGAGCCATAATGTCATTGGGGTCTCTGGACCCTGACGTTCGTACCGGGCATGATCTATGGAGGCGCCGGACTGCTGAGCTCGATTCAGCGATGTCGCCGCGGAGCCGAGCCTTCCAATATTGATTGTCTACCGCCATAGCTTCAAGTCGCAATGTCTCGTCTGCTCCAGGTGGGTCACCAAAACCAGCCTGGACGGTTCGCACGAGTCCACGGTGCCCGTGCAAACACGCGACCTCAGCCGCCGAGGCATGATCGTATATACGAACGGTGTCATCATTGCTCCCGCTTACTATTCGCCGGCTATCAAACTGAACACACGCGATGCCTTTCTTGTGACCAATCAAAGTTTTCCGGCAGGCACCATTGTGTATATCCCATACTTTGATTAAACGATCGCCGGAGGCAGAGACGATCTCATTTTCATTCATTTGAATCGCATTTACAGCCGCACCATGGCCGTCAAGGGTCATAAGTAGTGAGTAAGGTGATAGTGTTTTGATCTGTCGATTTGCGATTTGGGCTTCCAGTGCGCTAGGAGATATCAGAGAGGTGTCAACGATATAGGATGGGTATTTGACACCAGTTCCATTAAAGAAAGAGGGGTAGTCTTTGTCCGTCGGACAAAGTTCATGGCGGTTCCAAATTTTTATTAATTTGTCTTTCGAGCATGTCACCAGATATCGTTTATCAAATCTCAAGTTCAGTACAGAATCCTGATGGGCATTTGTGAGCTCGTGGATCTTTTCACCCGTGGAAAATCGCCAAATTATCACGCTTCTATCGCTGCTTCCAGAGATAATTATATCCTCTTCTGGACTTGGATCGAATTGCAAACAGAGAACTGATTTGCTGTGCGCTACCAAGGGGTTCCCTCTTAGCCTCCTTGTTTCCAGATTCCAGACTCTCACTGTTCTGTCGCGGCTCCCACTGACAAGCCACTTTCCGGAGAATTGAATAGTATATACACATTCCGTATGTGCCTCTGAGGGATATGCTGGATGAGGAAGTTGGAAATTAACGAAGTGGCCTTTCCGCCAGTTATCTTCTAGTTTCCGCCTTTGTCTATAGAGATATGGCCAATTCAACCGGCATGTACCATTAGCTGTCCTCATGAGATGTGGCGGCTTCACTTGAGGGGTGTAATTCGTCAGCGGCGAGTAAAATGACATATGCCTCGCGAACCCATCAGCTCGACTCGATTTTCGGCTGTGCAGTGGGCTGAAAACTTCTAATGGTTGGCGAGGGCGGTTTTGGTCTTGTGATAACCCTACTGAGTAATCATCATAACTGGCATCACGCATCTCGTGGTCACCCTCGGCATCAGGTAAGGTATTAATCTCGGAGGCAGAAGTGCCGTCAGCCTCAACTGTCTCGTGCTGCTCATTCCAAGGAGGGCTTGCAGTTTGTATATTATTATTGTCAGCGCGAGAGTCTCTCCTCGAATGGATCCAGCCTGGAGGGACACGCTTTTTTAGCTTTGGCTGCCCTATATCTGCATCCGAGTGTCTTGTTCTCGATTTTCGGTTGAGTGAGAAGTGCGGTTTCGAGTGAGATTGTTCGAAAGATCGAACGGCGTCCATGTCGAAACGCCATCCTTCTTGAATATAGAGATGCCTCCACAGTCGCGAATCTATGATCCTCGCTCTCCAAGCCCTAGACGCAAGTGCTGCGGTGAGCAGTGTAGGGGTGTCAAGGTATGAGAATATTTCCGAAGTGATTTCCGGGGGAAGTTTGAGAACAGGATCCATATGGAGCAAAGGAGTTAGCCGATCAACGACTGAGGAAACCGTCGATGTACTTAAGGTTCTCAATATGCTATAAGCCAATTCTGCGACGACAAGGTTACCATCTGTTTTTCTCTACCTTAAGGGTCGAAAGAGAAGGGTAAAATGTTACCTGCTCTGTCCGCTTCATTGTGTGCAAGAATCCAGCTGGGTAGACCTACACCTTCGTCTGAGGTTTGAATCACTTCATTTTCTGCTTGGCTTCTGGTTTCATCAGAGTAACCTTCATCCAACTTGAACGATGCGAGCGCAGATGGAGGGGCAAATTCTCCACGGTATTTACCGGCCTGTGGTTTTGGTGTACGTGCGGCGCCCGCTGCTGCTGTGGAATCGCGTTCCATGAGAATGTCGCTCTAAAGCTATTGTTGAGGTTTGGTGAAGTGTGAGAGGTGTGGAAGTTTGATAAATATATGCAACAAATGATGAAGCAGCCTAGTCCCAGGTAGGAAGCTATTACATCCTTGGTCGTTTCTTGAGGCAACAATATCCCGAAATGATCCTGTAAAGAAGAGAAGAAAGCAAGCAGAACAGCGCATTAATTATCAGTATTCCGAGTGTTTTGTTTAGAGTTCCCGCCAAGCGTCAAACAAAGAAAGGCTATGCGAGAACACATACAAAGGACAATGGGATTATGTTAGGAGAGTGTCGAAGAGTATCGAGCGCAGTCAGTTGTTAAATAAATCTCCGATTGCTGGAATGATTCGCCATATCCCAGCCCACCCGAAACTCGTCGAAGCAGGAAATGTCCGCCGCCTGTCTTCGCGATGTTCCGGGTTGTGGAGGTGAGGCAGAGACGTTTGTCGCACGGCCAAATATTATTCCGGGAGCCTGGGTGGCAGCTGAGTCAACATGCCAGATCGCTAGTTCACTAACTACTATTAGTTAGTTAGCCCTAGTATTGCCGAGAATGGAGGGGCGCTAAACCCAAAATATGCATTTTTGTCAGTTAGTCATCCACTCAGCCGCCATGTCTAATAACGGCTAGCCCGAAGACTCTCTGCAAGAGCCGCGATCTCCAGAGCGTAACTCCTGAAACACCACTACACAATCCAACCACCCTCCAACTACCTTGGGCGCCTGTGCTGCTGCGTATACCGCCCATGCCTATCTCCTTTCGTGTCTTCTGATAAGCATTTGTTCTTTTACTCTGCCAGATCAGACATCCTGTTTACCTGTGGTATTTCCAGGTAAGCTACGAAGTACCGTTGAGCACGTACCCCTCGCTTCACCATTCCCGTTGATATCTCCTTTCTAATCTTTATACTGCGACATAATGGTAAAATACTGACAAGCTTCTCAGAAAGCAGCGTCACTTGGTCCATCCTTTTTCGGTGGCCGTATTACCGCTCTCCCTGATATTTATTTTGATTGTTATCTCCTATCCGGACACGATCTCTACTGGTTCTCTCCTGGCCTACATTTCACCTAAGTTTCGAGAGTTCATCCGAACTACGTGGAGTTCCCTACCTTCAAAACTTACCCTTACGTTGCTTCCATCATATTGTGAATAGCCAATTTGCTCGGCGACTCATGGTCTCAGTTCCTGGAAAGGACCAGGCAGACTGGCCAGAACGATATAACTGAATTCGATTCCGATTAGAAACAGCCGCCCAGCTATTTCCCATAGCCTGGAAATATGGACTTCATAACTGCGAACGGTGGCCCTGTCATGGCCGAGGATAATATTATCAATCGGAGAGGGGGTGAATCGCTATTCCAAAGCTGTGCGAGCCTCAAAAAGAGACTCTCGGAAGTCCCTGGTTTCGAGGCCCATCTCGCAGAAATGGAAGAGATGGACAGAACTGAGGATGCGATAGACCCTGTTGCATCTGTGTGGAGATGCTTGAGGCAAGGATACCCGCTGATGGCTATCTTCAACGCTTCTAACCCTGCAGAACCCCTTACTATCGACACTGATAAAGTACCTGAGGCCAGGCGACCGAAAGCGGCCACTTTCAAGTTTCTGCAAGCTTGCCTACAAGATTTAGAGTTTCCACAACAAGATTGCTTCCTTATCACTGATCTTTATGGAGAAAGCACCACTGGCTTTGTGAAGGTGGATATTCCCTCGACTCAGCGCAAGTGTCGTTCGCTTTGGATTGTAATGCTAATTTGGGTTTAAAGGTCATCAAAATGGTCAGTCGAGTCCTAGACATTCTCGAAATGCGGGGACTGCTTTACCAGCCCTCTATTGCGAGTGCTGGACCACGCCAAGGCGAAAAGGTCAAACTGACCCGGAAGGAGCATATTCTGAAAGAGTTGTTGGAAACCGAAAGAGACTACGTCCACCACTTACAGAATTTGCAAGCGCTGAAAAAGGAATTGGAAGAAACTGGGGCTTTAAATGGCGACTCAAGCCACCAGATCTTTTTAAACCTCAATAACCTGCTCGACTTCGCCCAACGATTCCTCATTAGAATGGAGCAACACAATGCCCTGCCGGAAGATATGCAAAACTGGGGTGACCTATTTATACAGCACCAGGAAGGATTTCGCCAGTATGAACCTTTTATTGCCAATCAACTCCGGTGTGATGCTGTATGCCAAAGGGAATGGGAAAAGATCAAGGCCGCTCCACGGTCTGCTGACTTCCAGCAAATGGTGGCACAGCCATCTACACTCAACGGATTTTTCGTTAAACCATTTCAGCGCTTGACAAAGTACCCCCTGATGCTCATGGTAAGACTAAATCGTGTTGTTCGTAACCCAATATTGCCAATTGCCACTAAAACCGTGTATAGGAACTTAAAAAACAAACCGATCGTGAAGACCTTGTAGCCGATGTTGCCACCGCTATCGACATGGTCCAAACGGTTTTAGACCAAGCTAATCATGCAGTTGATAAGGAGCACCTTGCCAACGCCGTTGAAGACCTCGCTTCCCGAGTTGATGATTGGAAAGCGCTTAAGGTTGAAGTATTCGGGGAACTACTACGATTTGGCACTTTCACTGTGTTGAAAGGCGATGGAGGCAGAGATACAGAAAGAGAGGTTCGTACATCTCTTACAGATTATACTGCTGACCTCCGGCCCGCTTCACATCGTCGGCTCTCTTTCCCTAGAGAACCAATGAAGATCCGAATGTGTCTGTCATATATCCCTCCATTGGCCCCTGATCAAACCCCCCAAGAAATGTCATCTGGACTATGCCTTCCCTTTGGAACCACTTCCCAGGATCTGTCCCCTCATTGGTCTGAGTCTACGGCTCTCACGTGGAGACCAAGATTTCTGGCTGCCTCAATGAAACGGTTAAGCCTGCCAACTTTTGACAAATTTTCCTTGCCTCTGCTGTCTCCTAGCTCTAGCTCTAGGAGACATGACCCGTTTACCTTACAATCCAACGTTTCCATGGAATGCATTTCCTCGTATCTACCAGATGGCATTATTTGCGATGCACTTCAGTCTCCGTGCACCTCACCATCCCCTGGTTCACGTTCACACAAATCAGAGAGTTAATACCGTAGCTATGGACATAACCAACCTTCACATACGTTGTCTCCTCAAGATAGATTATTGATTTCCGACGAGAACGCGAAGTCAAACTTGGATGATCGCCTTTCTTCTTTGCAGAAGTTGAAAGAGCAGGACAGACATTCCCTTTTATGATATATTCTATCCTTTTACCCACAATCCATATGCGCTCTTCCTGAAGGCTTTTCATATAGCATGAGAGTGTGATACCAACTGGCCATGGATTAAATCGCCAAGTTGAAACTCCTCTCTCATTGCACTTTTCTTCTACTTTATTCCCAATGTATATTTTGTGGTGGACTGTTCCTTGGGCTAGTTCCATTCCATTGGGCCATTGGAAGGGACAATCGCCCAGCGTTTTTTTCACATCAAAATAAAGGACTCGGATATACCATTTGGCAGGAGTTATTGCTAACTTGTGACTTATTGTTTAACCAGTATCACATCTATCTTTTCGAACGCATACTGCTTTGCTGCAAAGATGTGAATCCCAACAAGCAAAAGACGAAGCTGATGAGCAAAGACAAACCAAATGCTGCTCCAAAGGGAAAGCCACGACTTCAATTAAAAGGCAGAATTTACATGGCCAATGTTACGGAAGTCCTATCTGTGCAAAAACCAGGTTAGTTTGTTATTCGCATAGATATTATGAGCGTATTTTCCGGTATACATTGCTAATAGGACCAAACTTTAGGATCATACAAAATCCAAATTTTCTGGAAGGGTGATCCAGGCGTTGTTGACAACTTTTCCATTCGGTACCAAAACGAGGATACGATGCGTAAATGGTGCAAAGATATTGACACACAACGAGCCATTCAAAATGAAGAGCGGGCTACACGACACACAGGGACATCTGAAACGGAGTTCACCTACCTCAAGATGGGCCCTAAAATTCAGAATCCGTATCGGGAGGAGTACGAAGCAGAGGAGGAGCTGGTCCGGGAGAGTAATACTTTTTCAGATTTTTCAGTATCACGGAATGCCTCAAGTACAAGCTTGCGGGCGCGATCTGCCACGGGAGGCAGTAGCAGTTCAGGTCCAATCTCAATCCGGCCTCCACGATTTCCCATGCCGGAACCACCACTTTCGGTTTCAACGCAATTTGCTAACGGGGCAATTTCTCCCGGAGATCGGAATGGAAATTCGTACTTTTCTCCAGTCACAGACACTACTTCCACGCGATCAAGTTCTCAGTCGACCATGTTTTCGTACTCCCGTCAAGGCACACCTTCAACGCCATGGACTGAGGACTCCAATCGGTACACTGCACCTGCCATGCCAAGAGCCGCGTCAAGAGACGGGACTACATCGAACCCATATTTCAGCAACAATAATCCGCGAAGCGCCCAACGTCCTTCACTTCCCCCGCTCTCTTCGTCCCACCATAGCCAATCCAGCGGGATTTCCCAGGCCCGAATGCGGTCTGCAAGTAGCCCTGATATCCACCACAACTCCAATATACCCGAATCCCGCCGTCATGTTAATGGGCATTCTATGCAGACTGTTGATAACGTGCCTGTGCCCCCCATCCCTGCTCACATGGCTAGTATGATAGCACCTGTCAATCGCAGCCAAAACAATTCTCCAATAAACAACACTCTTCCTATTCGAGCTGCCACCCAGTCACCGGGAATGCAACAACGCCATGGACTACCATTAAATCATTTTCCCGACCCCCGCTCGCAGCCGCCGCCCACATCGAATCCAATGCACTCTGCCATTTCCTCTCCTGTGAATCATGGGGGTGAACAAGAACTTTATATGCCCAGCCAATTGAAAGCAAAAGTTAACTTTGATGACAATTATGTCACTCTGGTTATTGCAAGTAACATACTCTTCCGGTCCCTAATAGATCGCGTAGATGCAAAGCTTGCTCGATTCACCGATAGGTCGATTGGGAACAAATCCGTGAGACTGAGATATCGCGATGAGGACGGGGACTTTGTCACGATCGATAGCGACGAGGCCGTTCAACTTGCCTTTATGGAATGGCGCGACCAGCACAAAAACATGTTGGCCAATGGTCAAGTGGGAGAAATCCAACTCTTTTGCCAACCGGTCGAAAATTGAGATTGACCTACCGTATTGCATGGATTGGAAGCTTTGCGCAACAATTGGGAATGATTTATTTATTTATTTATTTTTTTCATTTACCCGTTGAAATTTTTTGCTTTTTTTCATTGTTATTCCTCTTTTCGTTTTTGTCGATCTAGACACGCATCCCATGGCAGTTTTTGGCGTCGATAACATGCTTGCTTCCGATTGGTATTTACCAGGATTGGCTTTAAGATTATCTTTCGTTGCTTGGTTGTCGATTTTCAATACTTGATTCCCCGTTCCGTACCTCTCCCATTTCCGTGGACGCAGCGACGTCCTGCACGACAATCAGACGCCGACCGATCCACACGCCTGCACTCGGCGGAACTTCTTTTAAATACGTTTATGCTTCGTCTTTTGCTTCAGTCTTCGGCGGAATGACATTGAGGAGAAAGAAACGGAACAGGCTGACGAAAATCAAAATATGCCGGTATCCTTTTACCCTAAGGATGCCCATGTTACTCGCCGATGCGCCGCAACTTCTCCCCGCCCCAACAGCGTTTTCCTTCTTCCCGATATCACCGGTCCATTGCTCCCCTTTATCACCACTTGGAAGAGACGATGGAAGCAGTCTGGTTTGGATTCGACCTTTCCATTATATCATCTAAGAAATGACCCCGTATGATTGAACGTACCCTATGTAGATGTTGAATTTTACCTGTGTTGGTTTTCCACTTGACGACAAAGCGAGGTCTCCAAGATTGTTCTTGCTCTTCCGCCGGAGTCGAGCAAGCATAGCTTGCAATCTACTTTTTATAAATACAGTATATCTAACTATATCTTACTTCATATTTACTTTATCCATATCTCACATTTATTCTATTCCATTCTTTTTATTTTATTTCGCGCTTGGCTTCTTTGCTTTTCATTCTCTTTTTCCCCGTTACTTGATTTGGTTGGTGTTGGTGCTTTCGTGGAGTAGGTGGCCGATGTGGGACGCTGATGGCGCGTGGGGGAAAGCGAGCATAGAGGCATGTATCACTTGTGCTGTCCCGTTTAGCCCTCTTTGTTAAACTCTCGAAATATCCGAAATTGCGCTACTAGTGCTTTCTAGTATGCAAACATACGGAGGTGATTGTACTGTACTTGTGCGCACTGCTTGTCGCAGTGATAGCTACTAGATCAACAAACCGAACGTAAATCCACATCTGTTGGTGACTACTAACTCTTGTCATTCAATTCGTGCCGATGCATTCATGTCGCAACCAACATGCGCAGCTACGTAGTGGGCGTCTTGCGAATGGGCCCTTAGCCTCTGAGTTGTTCCACGGCCAGTCATGTTGCAGAGCAGATGTTCACGCATTAATGAGTGAGGGATTTAATTGATTGACCTGCTGGAAGCGCAATCTTGGATGAACACGTTCTCCCGCTCGCTTTCGCTTTCTCACCAGAGTCACCACGCCACCGCCACCACTCGATAGAACATAGAGACAAGAACAGTTTCCGTATAGATTTTGCTTAATCTTAGAATATTCGTATCGCTTGAAGCCCCAAAAATGAGCTTCTCAGGTCGTCGCCTCTCCATCCTTAGCCCCTCGCACTCCCGCCGCTTCTCTGCCAGCAAAGAACTCTCACAGAACGGTTTGTTATATACCACCACCCTTGCGGCAAATTGAAAATTTTGAAAATAGAATGTGTCGACTGGTTATGGAAGTCGACAATATTTCTCAAATCTGTCATCCTTGATTTGGTTACCACTTTCAAATTTATAACAAAACGTCGAATACAGAGAAGTCCTCCGAAACCCATCGCCAGTTCCGTGATGCGCACGAAGGCCATCGTCCTCACGCTGGGCTAGATGCTACACGCGCTTCAACCGGTGTCGTGTGGACCACTGAGAGGGCTGCTGAACACGGGTTCCTTGAAAACCCTTCGTTGTGGGCGAATCTAGGACAGGGTGCCCCTGAAGCTGATGATGATATCGCCGGCAGCTTCCCCCGCCCCACTTCGATCTCTATAACCTCCGCATCTCGTGAATACGGCCCTACTGCCGGCATCAAGCCTCTCCGGGCTGCAGTGGCGAGACTGTACAATGAACATTATCGACAGGGGAAGCAGGGCTATACTTGGGAGAATGTGTGCATTGTCCCCGGCGGAAGAGCGGGGTTGATTCGAGTTGCCGCAATATTAGGAAATTCATACCTCTCGTTTCCAATTCCGGACTATTCAGCGTATTCGGAGATGCTGTCGTTGTTCAAGAACGTAAATGAAATCTCCTTTTATTTACCCTTCTATACCTTTTTCCGTACAATATCAAAGAAATACCCCCTCAAACCATCAAATTGCAATTATGTGTGTTGATGGGTAGGGTGTGAAATAGTTTGCCGCGGTTCCAATGCCCCTCTCCGACGCGGACGGATACCATATCCACAAGGATAAGATTGCAGAAGAAATCGCTCGAGGCACTTCGGTCATCTTGACGTCGAACCCCAGGAACCCAACAGGTCACGTCATCAATAACCCGGAGCTGGCCAAAATACAAGATATCTGCCGTGGAAGGGCAACGCTTATCCTGGACGAGTTCTACGCTGGATATAACTATAGCACCGGCTGTGATGGCTCGACTACTAGTGGAGCAATTAATGTCGAAGATGTCGAGACAGACGGTACGTTCGTATTAGATATAGTTTTACCATTCTCCAAAAGACTCCGTCTTAATTGAACTAATCATCACCGAATAGACGTCCTCATCATCGATGGTCTGACCAAACGCTTCCGTCTTCCCGGTTGGCGAATCGCCTGGATCTTGGGACCCAAGGAATTTATCGACGCTCTTGCCTCCGCCGGCTCCTACCTGGATGGGGGCGCCAACGTCCCATTTCAAGAGGCAGCAATCCCGATGCTGGAGCCCTCTCTCGTTCGTAAGGAGATGCAAGCTCTGCAAATCCACTTCCGTGAGAAACGGGACTATGTGTTAGACCGGCTGGGGAAGATTGGATTTCAGATCAGGGACGTACCAGATGCGACATTCTATATCTGGCTGGACCTTACCGCGCTTGATCCCCCTCTCCCAGCTTCCGCGAACATCTCGGACGGTCTGAACTTTTTCAACGCTCTGCTGACGGAGAAGGTGATTGTTGTTCCTGGGATATTTTTTGACTTGAATCCGGCGAAGAGACGGGATTTGTTCGACAGTCCCTGCCACCACTTTGTCAGGTTGAGTTATGGGCCGAACATGGATGTATTGAAGCGAGGTTTGGATGGCATTGAGAGGGTCATTCGCCGAGCCCGGGGTGAGGCCATCGCCGACGATCCGGAGGACGAAGTCGCTGTTCAGGATTGAGATGTTGCGTGTTTCCTCAGGGTAGAGTTTGCTTCTGCGATTTAGACGGGAAATCAAGTATGTTTTGATCTCGGTCTTATCCGGTTTAGGGGAATACTATTTACTAGTATTTATATTACACAAGCGTTTCGACAGCTATGATGCCTCATAATTCTATTTAAATTAAATTTCTCTTTAGCTACCAAAGAAAGAAAGAAAGAAATCTCACTAAAAATGCCTGATGGAGAAGAAGTGCATAAAGGGGAGATCAACAAAAAGGGTGATGATATCGCGGTCTAGTGCGAATAGTACTATAACGTCTGTCTCAGGATTGTAATGTGACTGCACAACAAGCGTAGCATTCGCCACGCATAAGCCGTTGACAGATCCCATCCCAATGTCTATATATCCGCTGCAGTCTGTCATCAAAATATATCCGTTATATCATCGTTGAACATCCGGGAGTCAAGCGTGTCACGTGAACAAACCTCGTTATCGTTTCCTGGGTCTTTACACTCTTAAAGATTTGCGCAAAACCTGTCCTCTTACCCATATATTGCCCTGCTGTGAGGACGTGGGCGCCATGCTGAAGAAGACACGATTATCCCGCGTCTTCTACACCACTTTTTTCACTGTTCTTGCCTTTATCTTTTTCATCCTCACTCTCCTGACTCCTGCTGATACCATCTACCAGTCCTCCAAGACCCGCCGCCTGGGTAATGTTTTTATTGTCAGTGGTGTTTATATCATAACTCTGCTTTTAGCCATATTGATCTATGCGAGCCGCATTTTCACGAACCGCAGCGTTCTTGCCGGTATTCCCAAACCATGGATTCCAGTGGAGAAGCCTGACGTTCCAAAGAGTGTTCGAAGACTAGTTGTCAAGGGCCTTTCGAGGAGTGCTATCATTGCTCAGCAATCACGCCCACGAGATAGGACGGGGGAGGACAATAGCATGCTGGATCCTAGCTTGACCATTGCTACCACAGGAACACCACCATGGGGCCATATCTCTCACCCTGGCTGGACCGCCCCTGATTGTCCAGATATGCATAACCAAGAATTCGAGCCAGTTATTAAGGAGCTTCCACATCTCATTGAGGCAAAAGCTGTATCCTTTGCTCCCATGGATCCTCGCCTTCCAATGTTTGGCAACCAGGACCCGGATGAGGCCAGCGAAACAAACCAGCCAATTCCAGATGAGCGGATTGTCGAAATCCTCCGACGGCCTGGCAACATGTCTCTACGCGACTACGTGAACCATCTGATACGTCTCAATGTCATCAACCCTCCAGACCTTGGTCGGTCATTTGTCCGCCTCTACGAACGCGGCAGATTCGCCGACGCGCCATTGACCGAGCCGGAATTCAGATCACTGCTGGGCATGTTCGCTGAGCTCCTGCGGGGTATGTCGGAACTGGATCCCGAAATCACTGCAGAAGTCCAGTCGGAAAGCTCTATCGACGGCGGTATGGGGCATTTTAGTAACACGTCCAGCCGCGCACACCTCAACACCAACATTCCCCCAAGCTCCAGCGCGTCGTTCACGTCGAGTCATCAATCAGGCACTGGCAGTCAGCAGAGCCAGCGCAGCCGCTTCCACCCTTCCACATTTCCGAGAAATGGTTCTTTCATCCTCGATAGGTCTAGTGGCCGACAAAGCTTGCGTGCTCGCGGCAGTCGAACGCCATCTGCCTATTCCTTGCCAACTATGGCATCGGACCTTTCTGCCGCAAGTTCAGCGGGGAGTGTCATTCACCACACGCATTCGCAGATGTCTTAATTAATTGGTTTCTGCTAATCCGAGCGTATTCGACGGATTGTCAAGCAGGGACCAAGCAGCAGCAATTCTTATACTGTTACTTTCTGGCTTAATTCATCCTCTTTTCATCCCCTTTTCTTCCCGTTTCTATGCGATATACTTTTTTAATGTTTCTACGTTTCCTTTATCTCTCCGATTCTAAACCGGGAAAGGCGTTCTGGCGAAAGAAGCACGTAGTGCTACGGAGGGGTTTTTTTTTGGTGTTATTCGCCCAAGCTGCAACGGCGTCTGTTCTTTGAATACTTTTGATTTCCTCTATTCTATTTCTTTTCTATATACCCTGGGATTCGTGGTGGGAACGTCTCGCGATGATATTGTCTTCTCTCTCCTTTTTTATGCCGTACGGTCCAAGTGCTGGTTTTGAGTAGATGTTTCATAATTGGGCAATGCTGCTTAGGACTTCACACCTTCGTTAGAAGAGAATACCATCTGGCTTCTTGTTCCATCTCCGAGGGAGATGGCAAGATTATCGCTCGTCATATGCATCAGTTATGCAAGTCAGGAGACCGTCAATCAGTTTAGCATGGAGAGTTTGTGATAGTCGTTCAAGAAGAGTCCCCGAAAAACCCTTTGAGGAATTTCATAGTTCATCGTACCGTTTCTTTGGCCTCATCCACTCATACAAAAACACAGTGTATCCATGAACATCGCCACTCCTTTGCCTTAGTCCAAACGATCACAATAATCTGGTCTCCACGTCTTTCCCGCTTAGCCACTTCTCTAAATTCTCCGCCTGTTCCTCATACCATCGATGCATAACCCCTTCCTCCACATAACCCATATGCGGTGAAAGTAAAACGTCACTACGCCCCTCCACTCCCCATCTCGTTGTTCTCCACGGACTATCAAGAGGCAAAGGTTCCAGATCGAAAACGTCCAATGCAACACCCCTTATCTTTCCCTCCTCCAACGTCTTCAGTAACGATTTCTCATCAACCAACGGACCCCGCGACGTATTCACGAGCAGAGCCGTAGGCTTCATAACACCCAACTCCTCCGCCCCAACGATCCCTACACTCCTTTCGGACAGAACATAATGCACACTCAGCACATCCGCCTCCCGAAACAGCTCCAGTTTGCTCGAAGCAACCTCAAAGGTGCCTGCCGGCAACCCCAACCCAGCCGCCTTCTCATCCGCTGCGTCCTGCGTCAGGTTGCTCGACCACGCAATGACCCGCATCCCGAATGCCAAGGCCCCGATCTTGGCAGTTGCCGCTCCCAGCGCCCCGAGCCCCAGGACCCCGAGCGTCTTCCCCGCCAACCCCGTCGCAAAGCTGCCCTGCCACCGACCGTTCTTCACTGCCGCATCATCCCGCGCAATGTTCCGCGCCAGCCCCAGAATCAGCGCCCAGGTATGTTCAGTCGTTGAGTCAGCGTATGGCATGGGGACCCCCTCATTGTGCGAACCGGCTCCGAGGCCCGTGGTTCCCGTCACCAGAATCCCGCGCTCCGCGCATGCCTGCAGGTCTATGGAGCGGTTGCGGTGGCCGGTTGTGAGAAGGTATTTGAGATTGGGCAGGGAGGAGATGAGCTCTGCGGGGAACGGCGTACGTTCGCGCATTGTGGAGATTATGTGATATGGCTGTAGCCGGCTGATGAGAGCTGCTTTGTCGGCTTCATTGTGCGTTGGATGCAGCGTCTCCGCGAACGAGGTTATGGTTGTGAGATGTGGTTTCAGGTGGGAGAATTTTGCGGGAGCGATGCATTGGTAGTCATCGAGGATGGCGAGGTTGAGCGGGCCATTTGGTTGCATGATCGGTTCGGTCTTGATACGAGAAAATTGTGCGACTGATGTGGAAAGGATGAGGTGGGGTTTGACATTATGGCTCAGTTGATTTTGCTCGCTATATTGATCGGGATGGTGTTGATATCTCCAATCCGCACTAGCGGGACCAATAACTTAGAGTTTGTCCGCATTTATGGAAAAACGAACATGAATACTTCTTGAGTTAGAACACTGGACTGTTTATTGACTTCGAAATCAGAATTTTATAAAAAATCTTCTAAAATATATGATAGATTGTCTAGCCAAGATACTGATTGACTAACTAGCGGGTATATCTTCCATATGTATGTATGATTCTCTCTACTTTGAATCTAAATTAAAATGCCCGAGAATATCGTAAACAAATAGCACCAATGATCTAAAATAGATAAAAGAACCCAAAAGATAAAAACCCAAACAATGAGCCCATTATCAACCCTCCCTGATCACCGGCTCACCAGCTCACCAGCTCACCAGACCCTTCTCTCGGTCAAATCCACCCCTGAGCTGACTCTCGGGCTTGACAACCTTCCCCTGCAGCACCGTAAATTTCACAATGGCCTCGCAATCCTCGGGTTTTACCCTAGCAAGCCAAATCCCCTGCACAGCCCCTTCTTCAAGTGCCACATTACCCGCTTCCGTAGCGGCGCCTTCAGGGTTCAGATTCCGCCTCCGGTACACAATCACATTCGCAGAGTATTTGTGGCCGCCAACATGGCTAATGAAATATATACCTACCCCCCCAGGACGTTCGTCGTTGAGATCCCGATATAATCCAAGGGGGCGCAAGTGTCTTTCGAATTCCCGCCGGAGCAAGGGGGCCGATTGGCCGCACCGGATGTCGCGAGTTCGTTGCGAGCAGAGGAGAATTACGGCAGAGTGCCGACAGGGGCGGGCGTGGAGAGTGGTTAGAGCTGTGTAATCCATCGAGGAGCTGGTGGCTGTCGTCTGGGATAAAGGAGGTGCGGCTGGAGTTGAATTGTCTGACTCTGACTCTGGCCCTGCCTCTGCCTCTGGCTCTGGCTCTAGTGTGGTTGTAGCTAAAATTTCGTCCAGGCGTGAGTTGTTGAGAGGGGAACTGGTGGTCAGAGAGGTGTTGACAAAATAAGTGATCAGGTCTGAGGCGAGGGCAGGAGTGACGTGATCGACAAATGTGAAAGCCGGGAGAATGAGGGCGGTAGTGGGTCGTTTCCCAATGTCGTGATGGTGGTATTCGTCTGGGACGGGCATGTTTGAGGCAGACAGCTTCAACAGCTATATATGTGATCCACAACAAGAGTCAACAGATTCAACAACTAACCGAGAGAGAAAAAAAAGAAGAAGAAAAAAAAAAGGAATACGTCGCGTACCCCATTGCTGGGTTTCAGGCCATTCTTCTCAATAGCTTCCATGACACTTCCCACTTCGTCGGCCACGTCCCTCACCCAATCCGTCTTTCCTGTCGCAATGAGTACATGGGTGGCCCATCCTTTGACATTCCCGTACAATTTATCCTTGGTATCAATGTCAAACTTGGACGGGTATTGGATTGTGCAGCTAGCACAGTCGTGGTCGCAATCTTCCCCGTCAATTGCTGGGTCGACCTTGGTAAAGAGAGTCCCCTCCGTGGCGGTGGTAGTTTCGCCCTCTGCGGCTGCCTGTGGTGTCCTTGGGTTGAGAAGGGAAGCCCCACGGCGAAACAGAGATTTCATCGTGTCTAACCGTGGTACTCCAGCAACCTAATAATCCCCTCCTGCCGGATGGATATCTGTATTGGTGGCAGAATGTTGAATTGCTATCCCACAACTGATGCGAGGAGGAACAGTGCGATGGAAGATCGAGTTATCAGATCATCAGATCGATAATTATCCTAAGCCTACGCTTATCTGATGGAGCCAAGACGCCGGAAACATTCCGCGACGAGGATTTGTCAGCCCGGATATCAAACACTTCCAGAAAAGGCAAAAGCGCCTGCAGGCCAATTCCTGCCCTTGTTGACCATCGCTCTTCACATTCTGCCTCCATTAGCTATTGGGTGTCGGAGAGTATTGATGTCATAGTGATCTCATGAGCCGCTGCTTGACCAAATTTTTCTAGCGCAAGAAAATAAGAAAGAAAGAAAGAAATACTAATATATAATAAAAACAGCTTATTTTTGCTGGCATCCGCTATCTAGTCTAATCGTTCCCCGATATCCGGGTTTCTTGAACAGCATCATGATTTGCAGTTCGTTCCTGCTGCTGTCTATCGCTGCCCAGACTTTCTCTCCGTATTGTCGCATCCGTATACTCTGTATACTCCGTACGAGGGTCCTAGAGTAGTACTTATATTTCGCCTCCGCCTTGAAGGAGAAGAAGAAACCATACAACTACTGGGAATTAAACTTCAACTAGCCATCTTCCTCTCCATGGCTGGCAATAACGCGACGGGGCTCCGCTCCACCGAATGGGTTTCGGCCCGTCCCTCCCTTCGTGCCGCCGCCGCCAACTAACACCGGCAATCTTCCCCCCGTTTTTGCATCGTCTTATACGTCCATTTGGCCCCCACAGGGCCGCAGGAGGCATCTGGTTAACCGGCTCGTTTAGAAGCCAAGAGCTAACGGGGTCTTGTTTTTTTTTTTTTTTTTTTTTTTTTTTTTTTTTTTTCCGTCTCTCTGGAAAGCTTTGAAAACTTCCAAGTTAAGACGAGGAGATTTTTTACTACCTTCCGTTTTTCGCGCTCGCTTTTTTCTCTCGTACGCAATGCAACCGTGGAGGATATGCAGGATGCCTTGCTAAACCATGGATCTACAATTTAGGCCCTCCCTGGAAAAGATGGGCAGCGTTTCGAGGCAAAAAAAAAACAAAAGCTAAGTATTGCAAGGCTGGTTGAAAGTTCACGCGTGGGAAAATGGGCTGTACACAGATCATATCTCTACCTGAGCTGATCAAGATCCAAGTATTTTACAACATTGAAGGGACGAAGGGATAAGAGAAATATATGGGCGGGAAACACTCAGTAGACGACAAGGTAATAAATAGGAAGACGGCCATGATGATATCATAGGGCAGAAGAGCAAGAAACAAAGAACCCCAGATGATGTAAACCCTTTTTCTTCCCCACACGGACCATATTAACTGAGAATCGAGAACGTGGATACAACCTCATTTAACCCATTATCTGAAATCGAAGGATGCCATTTCGTATTTACTACCATCGAATCAGACAAGTATTACTTCCCCATTCAATCTCTAACTTGGATAAAGGTGTTTTGCGCATTAGCAAGTCAAAAGTTGGAATAATAAAAATGGTCGGTAACACATGACACCAACATACGGGAAAAATAAATAAGATGAGGAGATAAAAAGATAACAAAAGGGGGGAATAGAAACTTTAAAAGAAAAAAAAAATAGTAACAAGAAGTTGGGAAAAGAATAGCTCAAGGGATATCGATAGTGAGAGATGGAGCCCCCAAAGTAAAATAGAACAGACAAATTGCTACAAAGAAGCTTCACCGAGAAAAAACAGAAAACTCCAGTCGCCAATAGCGTCCGAGGATAGAGGGAGGGGGGGGGGGGAAAGGGAAGGAGTTATATTCCTCCTTGTGGCCGTGCGTATATCTTTCCTATATCATAGTCTTCATTCGATTGGCATTAGAATAAAGTAGCGTAGGAATTTGGGAAGGATCACCCGTCTTAATCCGTTTGTTTGTTTGACTCTGGTCGTCAGTCCCCGAAGCTCTGTGATGAGAGCAGGCTTGGATAAAACCGGACTCATGATAAATTGAGTCCCGCCTAGAGAGGGTCGAAAGCCAGAGTCACCATGGCTTGGGTGTACCAAATATCAAAATAGCGGTTGTAGACCTTGGGGTAGGGGGAGGGGTGTACGTATGGATTGCTTGGGTGTTTGTGTTTTCAGGGAGGCGGCAAATATGGTGTTCCTTTCCGGGTGATCGCATTTAACCCTCCAGGCCTAGAAAGTCCCAAGCTCTTGGATCTTGATATGGATTGAAGATTCGCGAAATCATGGGTTTATTATCCATTGGGATTTCCGATTGGTAAATTATTGGAGGCCGAGCCTCGTACTCTGAAACAACCCTTGGAGGTGCTGGCGAAAATCTTGGCACAGATTCCACTGGTGTTGGAGGAACTTCGTAACCTTGAATTTGAGGATTAAATACAAGCCCAGAGCCAGTATAATTAATTTCAGCTCCGATGACGGGTTGCTCTCCAGGGACGGGTATTGAATGAACAGGAGGTGGTTGTGTAGGAGGGGGATAGAAGACATGCGCAACAGCAGCTACTTGGGGGGGCGGATATGTTTGCTGGTTATTAGGGAGGCTGCTTGCTGGGGGTAACAAGCTAGGGGGCGGCTGTGAATATAATGGTTCTCGAGTAGTGCAAGCGGCTGGCGGTTGGACCTCAGGTTGATGAGACCGATTCTGATGCTTGGTTAATGTCGTTTTTCGGCAGAAACTAAAAGATGATATCAGTATCTCGTCCTTCAAAGGCCAACGAAGGAGCGAGAAAATTACCTTCGCCCACATTCTGACTCCAAACACTTATATGGTCGCCTGCCAGTATGTATTCGCCGATGACGAGCTAGGCTCGAGGACTAGAACCGATGTTAACTCCATGTTCGGCCAAAACAGAAACGAGGTAATTTAATGCCACACAAAGATTAGAGTTGCGTGAAATCGCGGCGTCTAGGCCCTGGTGCAAATGGTAGGTAGCTCGCAACGCCCTGAATATTAACCTACATCAGAAAAGGCTTTACTGCAGCTCTCATAGTCGCATACATGGGGCTTCTCGCCAGTATGGGTGCGAGAATGGACAGTCAAGGCCGAGCGCTGGATGAAGCTTTTTGTACAATCTGGAAAACTGCAGCGATAAGGTCGTTCATTCGTATGTATTCGAAAGTGTCTGCACAGATCCGACTTTCGGTTGAAAGCCTGGAATAAAACATAACAAAGACATCGATGTCAATCAGCCAAATGCGGGCATTGAAAGTAGGTATTGATTTTCTTACCTTCCTACAGTTATTCCATGTACACGGGAAGTTGCGCGTACGGGGCATGCTTGTTGGGAGTACAGCCAAGCTGGTTAAAGGTCGAGTGGTTCAAAGTGAACAGCAAAACGAATGCAGATGCAGTTTAAAGGCGAAACGAGGGCATCAGTACAGAAAATTATTGTGTCAAGAGGGAGAGAAGAGGAACGAGCGACAAGATAAAGGGAACCAATGTCGTAGAAAAAAGTAAAAATAAAAGATGATTTAAAGAATAAAAAGCACAGCAGAAATAAAAATAGAAATAAAAGTCAAAATCAGTGAACTGAAGGGAAAAACGGTTACAAATATTGAAGATGGACGTTGGTTCTGGAGAGTAGAATGCACCAACGAGGGTGAGTGGGAGGACAGAACCTTGGAAGACATGCGGGACTAGAATTCTCGATCTCCGCCAGTCAAGAACTGGCTAACTAGGAACGTAAAAAGCATTGCAGATAGTTGACCCCAAGGAAAAAGAAAAGCAAAATGCACTGAGGTACGAGGAAGTGGAGTTGAGGGAAACCATCAGGACAAACGGCGGGGACTATTGGTTGTCGAAGGCAGTATCATACGGGTACCACGCGGATACTGCCAGGCCGATATTAGCGGTAAAGTAAGCTCGCTGTCAGTGGTCGATGGCACTGACTGGATGCTGGGCAGTCACTGGAAAGTGGAGTTCAATGATTTACAGGGTTCATGGAGTCATATTAGCAGTAAGCCCAACAGCGGTGCGGACAGGGACTTTGGGGTGGGGATGGGGAGGCTGTCCCGGGGGGCGTGGCTTAGCCGTCCTCTAGCCCGCGGAAGCATTATTTTGATTAGTATCAGGCCGACTTGGTTCTGGGGATGCTCAGTATCTCCTCATCCCCACATCATGCTAACAGCTTAGCTTAGGGGTCCCCTGTCCAGGAAACCACAGTTTGGGTTTGCCCCTCAAATGTGACACTCCCGAATAGCTTCCTTCAGTCCCTCTTCCCACATACTGCGTAAAATGTAACTAACAGTGATTGATTCCGGGTCTATTTGCCGCTCCAATGACGAATAGATTCTGAAAACTTAAACCGCACTCAAGCGGGAAGCGTTTAATAAATCAAGGTTTGGGGAATGTATTTTGGACGCCGCTTTCCGCTCTCTTCTTTCTCTGCCTCGACAGTTCTCTATCTTCGTAGGCAGACGTTGTCAGAGGTCAAAGTCAAGGACTGTCCGGCAGTGCTTTAGTAACCATTTGGCATTGGAATGTCATGTCGATTAGCACCAACCATTGTAGCAAGGCTCAAGTCTAAGTTTTGCCTTCCTGAGTGTTGGGCTTCTTTGGTGGGCGCCAGTGAGCTCCTGGATTACCAAACGGATGGGAACGTTAATTGAACGGCGTAGTTCGTGCAGTCCGCATGCGCATGGGGTATGGAGTTACCGCAGCTTTTGTTTGGATATGATCTTGACAATCAATTATTCAAGAGTACTCTGCGCGTGTTTTTTTGGTGGCTTGACAGGTGTAACTTGGAATCCTCATATTTGTGGAATAGAGTTCCAGAGCATGAATTGAGATATTCCAAGTTACGACGATCTGCAAGACCTGCTATTTCTCATTACCCACAGTGTACGGAGTAGGTTGGCGCAATGTTTGAGATTTCGGGAGGTTATTCTGGAGCAAGCTAGTTAGTGTTCGCTGACAGAGGAAAGTGAGGCACGCTTAAACATCACATATTAAATTCGTAACGAGAGCGCATATCTGTGATGCGAAACGGAGAAATATTTGCACAACATGTCCAGGACATGTAACTCCGTACAGTGCCTACGCTTCCCTCATTCCATGTGGCCTCAACCAAGTATGTCACTTCGGTATGTGCGCGTCCAAGAGCTTGTGGATGTGAGATGGGGGCAGTGGCTGCAGCTACGAGACGCCACGCAACTTTGGCGGTATTCCACTCAACATTCCTCCACCCGTGTTTCGGCTGCTGCCCCTTAAAAAACCAATCTTTCGTTTCATTATCAGCCAGGTACAGGAGTAAAATATTCAACCACCAGAACTGCGGGGGAATCATCATAGGGGAGAAAATAATGAAAGGAAAATCCCCTTCAGGGAAACTATCCTTGATAGTGGGCCTTCTTGATCGGCCCTTCTCTGGTGAGAGAGAGACCCTATGTAAGCATTCATGCACTACCTGACTTTTTATTCCCGAACAGCACATGGCATCCAAACCCACTAAACCTTGAATTTAGCCCATGGGTTGCGCCAATGCTTGGGGTGAAGAACGGGTGTTTTGGATATGCATTAATTCGTGATCGGCTTCCGCACTCCAGATGTATGGCTGGATCGCGCAAAGTCCAAAATTGTTCAATAATGCGCGCGATTATGCAGCGAGCAGTCAGGGGATGCAAAGGATATGCCGACTGCATGTGCTGAGAAAGATATATCCTCAAAACAGATAAGGATCGCTCCTCCCAACAAGGCTGCAGCCTCACGGTTCATCTTATCACGGCGGGTTTTTTCTCGCCTCACCGACTGGCAGCCCCCGTTTCCACGATCATGTCTGATGGGTGTATTTATTCTCCCAAAGAGTGATTACCGAGGGAATCAGATGAAAGGAAAAGAAAGTTGAATACGACTGCTACATGAAACTTGGCTGATCAAGCATCCGCTGGTATGGTAGTCGCGTTTGTGCAGGTATTTATTTCTGGAGTAATCGAAACTCAATTTGTTGTTGAAAATTTTGATCGGCATGTCCAGTAGTTGGTTGTTCCATCTTGTGATGATCAAGAGTATCGCGGCTTTGTTGGTTAGTTTGACAGCCAACAGTTTGTTATTCGTTTGATTGAGTGCCCTAATGTGCCACTTGACGAATCCAAGGGAACAAAGGAACTGCTTTAAGCAGCCATCCGTCGGCTTCCCACCATTGGGCCCATACAGTACCCGAAGCATTCCGTGTGCCGTTCTACGCAACCACAATGATATGTTAAGAAAGGAGAATCAGCTCGGGGAGCTTTTGCCCTACGCACGACCGAGGGTGAGATAACAAAATAACACGGGACTAACCGTCAAAAACGTGCTAGGCAAGATTGTGAGACCGCTACCATGCTTCCGTAGTACTCATCGAATAAGATCTGTTGCAGAGTCGATCCTTCTCCGTTTCGCAGCACGCAGCACAAGCTGGTGGTCGGGCTTTTCCGCTGAAAACTTATTAGCCAGAGATGAGAAAGGGAAATTATGGTATGTGTCAGTGAAAAGCCATGGCCAGCCTCGCTGCCTGACGGTGTATATTTGCTTCTTATCCGTTATTGTCTCTCACAACGCTGGGGGCATTACCTCGAACATCCGCGTACGGTACATACCAGGCCGCATTTCAATTCAAAATTACCGATCCCAAGCACCAACTTTCCAGGAAAAGCCAGACAGCCACACCCCGCATTTTGAATGCAATTGCCTGCTAGCGGCGTGTGCAGCGACTGGGCTCCAATCATCCTGGAGTTGGGTGGGAGGCCAGGTCTCCCCAGGTCGGGCTGGCCAAAAGCGTGATGGCGGCTCCCAATCACTGGCAACCATGGAAAACCGGTGTGGAACAAAAGGGCTGCTTGTCAATGCTGGAACTGCCAGTCTGCAGCGTGTGTGGGAGATGGATGGATGCGCCAGCAAACGACAAGTTGGATCTTGTTGCATCTTTCGAGCGGGAAGATGGATTCTGCCCTTATTCTTCGGCAGGAGCGTGAAGTAAGGAGCAAAGCGGTAGCTCCAACACGACCTGCAGGCGACTGATTTTGTGCTCATGTCTCCATTTCAGTTCTTCTGTAGAAATTGAAGACCAACTCCTCCCGCTGTCCTCTGGACCGATCCATGAATACGAATGCTACGTTTTAGCCACCTGATATTCCGCTCTATGGCGAGCCACTTGGGTCACAAGATGAGATATCAATGTCGCACCCCTCATTCTGCAAGGATTGCCTGCACCGAATTCCAGTGGTATGCTCCAATCTACGTAGGGACGGTGACTTCTCGAGGGCTGCATCTCGCGTATCTGGATGTTTGTTGTTTTTGGCACTATGCCACTTTCAAGTCTCAAAATTGACAATGGCTACATATCATTTCATTCTGCAACATACTTCGAGAACAGGAGGCAAATTTTCCCAGCTTACCCACATTCTTGGGACGACGTTTAATAAAGTTGGGGACTGAACCCTATCGATGGGCCCCTGTCGCATGATTTACAACCTCCCTTGATAAAAATGAACGCTTGCAAGGGCCACATCCCAGCGGTGCAGCGGTGCAGCAGTGATAGTGGCCAAATGAATTGGCCATCACCAAATACACTTTAGTCCAGCATGGATCTTTAGGAACTAATCAATGCACTCAACGCTAACTTAATCTTACCATAGCACGGATGAAAAATGTGTAAATCGTCGATGCGGATATATAGCCCAATGATACCGACCCAGAAGGCTGGGACGACTTTGTCAATCATTAAGTAGTTGATAAAGGACCCTGGCAAAATGGGGAAAGGCATAAGGCAGGCAGCTGCACCGGTCGCAAATATGACTGTCGAATCTCGACGCCAACTTACCTGCAAATTTTCTTGATAAAATCAGTAGAACCCTGAACAATCAACAAGTCCGTTGACAAAAACACATTGCGGTGCTTCTAATACAATCAGTGCGATCTCTTGCAGGGCACGCTGGTGTTGTTACCCTATAAGAACTCTTCCTAAGTCCGTATTCGAATAGTTACTCTTAACCACTACAGCAAAATAGAAAAATATTCACAGGTACTTTGCGTGGCGGTAGCAGAGATACTTCCGGGATCTCAGCAATGTCATCATAATGTACAGATGTACTGTGCAGTGCAGTACCGAGTACATATCAGACCAGCAACTCTCCTTCGCGAGACTTCCTTCAATATCATAACTCCGTACTCCAATACGGAATATATACTCTGCGAAACAAACAGGTCCTGGAATGTACAGTTACAGTACCTACGCGGGAACACCCGTCATAGACCAACATAAATATCACACATACAAGACATAACATTGGAGCATGGCGTACACCACACTTTCGCCAGAGTCAACAAATCGTTGGCAGCAATGGCAAGGGGGGCCAAGCATCGATGGAGTCGTTAATCCATACAAGTTCCCGCTTCCGGCTACTCTAAAAAGTGGAGATCAAACTTTTGCACGGCTCCATCTTCCAGGTCAAAGAAAATGTCAGGAGCTAGGCTGAGAAGCGTCGTGAAAAACAACACGACTGAGATGTTCAAAAGCTTTTTATCATTTTCACTTCGCTTTAAACTCAGCTTTCAGATGTTACAAGCATGAAAAGATTCGAGCTACATCCTTGGCTGCAGCTACCTATTGAAGACACAAGTTACTGTGTAAATCTTTTGCAAGGATGAGAAATGATTCCAAATCCCTAGAGGTGTTCAAACCTGAACGCAGGTTATTCAGCTCAAACCAACGGCGCGCCGTTGGCCGGAATTCCGCTGTCTGAAAGCCAAATTCTTGCTTACACTGTAGATGAACGGGTCGCGAGACGGGTCACCTCAGACGCACTAAGGGGGAGGAGTTAGGGCCACAGAGGATGATCAAACTGTTGCTAACGGAACCGAGTGGACCGAAACCTTGGGTTTGGTTGAAAGCATCGAAACAAGCGTCTGAAGGAGTTCGGGCTTCTTGAAATATTACCATCGAAACGAGGAAATGCTGAAGAGCGAGATCTGGGTAGACGGTTGCTGATCGCTGATTGAGGATACAGATTGCTGGAACCACTGCTCTGTTTGGCCAGAATCCAAAATAGCTGACACAAGATGTCCACTTTACTAGTGGATTGGAGTGGCTTGTGTACGATTAGCGCTTCCGTCCCTCGATTTAGCGCCAGGAAATCGAGGTGTAAAATTCATTTCAGCGTGGTCCTGAAATCTCCACACGGCCTTGTAAAATAATGAGGGAGGAAGGGGGGTTTTCGGCTGTGGAACTTCAATAATGGTCGACTGCCACGGAGCAATGATGGAATAGAGGAACATTTCGGCTCTTGATCGAAGATAACAGCCCTGTGCGTGATCGTCAGCACCTCGATTAACAGCTTCGTGGTAAATGTGTTGATTCCTTCAACTCTCCAGGGATCCCAGGATGATTGCAATCGCCTGGAGAGGAATATTTGATTTCGGCTGTGATCTCCGCGGTGTCCAGCTGCCAATCAGCGTGCATGCGATTTAATATTGGGGGATCCGTCAGTCGCGATGCTCCAGGCCTTGTTAGCCTGGTTCATCTGTCTCATCGTCTTTGGAGCCGAAAAGCCTCAGTGCCGTGGGAGCGATGTCTGTCGCGGGTTGGGAAATCGATGCTTCGCCTCCAGATGGTCAAGCCCAGCATCACCTTAGCCAACCAAAAGGGCGCCTGCAGGCTCCTGTTTCCGTCCGAGTACGGTACTTGTACCGTACCATATCCAAGGTTGATAACAGTTGAATCGCGCCTAAGTCAAACGCCGAGCACAGCCTTCGAGAATCTCTCGTGGCTCTGGGACAATCCTCCGCTCAAAAATAGCGGTCCGTCCAAACGAAAGTTCTCATCAACTCGGAGACTTGCCATGGGACTGGTCTGCTTGTTCTGTCATTCTTGAGGCCAAGAGGGGGAATTATATGCACTGCACTTCACTTCCCTGCAGGATAAAGCAATTCTTTTTCTCCCCCTCACCTCAATTCTCTCGATTCGGTAAGGTGCACTGTTCTGTATGCATACATCCCTGGTCCCTGCTCGGTTCCCTAATTTCGTTCTACTATGGTAATTCATTTACTGCGTAAAAGGAGTATAAATAAAACCAAAAAGCTCCGAATAATCAATCTCTCCTTTTCCGTTCTCCGATGATTTCCGATATCCACGACCCGAACAAGTAATCGGGCAGGAGAAATGCTCATCACAAACGAAGGGCCGCGCGACATGCATACCCGTAACATATATATCTGTCGTGACGGTCCAAAACTTTGGTTACATCCGTCAAAATGGTGAACGGCCTAGACTTGGGACACTAGGAAAATCACCTCGGTTGCTTTTCCCTCTTATACCAAATGTTCATTGAGATTGCCTTACGGTTGAACTGCTCCCTGCATCTGCCGAGTGTTAGTTTGGGCGGAACATGCATACCACCTCCCACTTGACAACAAGGATGTGCGAATGTCCCTCCTACTTATTGAGCTATGTATTCTGTCCAGGAAGCGGACAGGCAAGGCCTGGAAGACTCAGAGATCTTTTGACAGGATATCTCAATCTCCCAATCCCCTCACGCCTAGCGTTGATTCCAGCCAAAATATACAGCGGATGTCGCCCGACCGACATAATACACATCTACTGTTCGCACTGAAGCTCAACCTTCCAGAAGTAAGCCCGGCAGTCCAGCGGCAAGCGCTAACGGTCGCTCCTGATGCTCCAGCTAATACCGATTTGCTTTCATGAAAAATGTCAGACCTATCCAAACACACCATTCTTGCTCTCCGGCAGGGTGAGGATCTCCCGCAAATGGGCTTCTATACATGGGCCAGCCTGCAAGACAGGGGACCCCTGGTATCGAAATCCCCCTCACCTTGATTACTGCTGGCAATATTTATTGTCTAGTGTGAGGTTATAATTCCCACTCAATTATATATACTAAGTGGCGGCCGGGCTTGCTTCAAATTTGGAATCTTTCTCGAGGAAATTATTCCTCCGGGCAAGAACCCATTCGAATTGGAGTTGGCTATTTGGAATATATCCCCAATCCAATAAGTACTAGCATCTTACGAGGCTCGGGGAGGAGCAACCCCTATCTACTTTCCCGTTTTATCGGGCAAATAGGATACCAAAGGACACCCTGGCTTTTGGCATTTTGAACACTACAACTGTAGCTTCTGAATTGGGGGAACCGGTTAAAGAGTAGCTCTTTTTGCGTTGCTAGCCATGCTTGACATTTTAGCTGATTTGCCCTAGAGCAGGCCAAACGTGTACGAATCTCGTATCTACAAAGTGGGCGAGGGACGGGTACATGGAGCCTGTATCCGGGACCAGCCGTTCAGAGTTGAAACTGGACTGGTTTCAGAGAGGTCTTTCGAAGGGCATGGGAAGTGGGTAGTAAAGTTCAGCTTATAGGGTGTCTTGCTGATAAAAACAATGGGGGGCTTTAAGTAGTGGCGAATACTGCTTATAGAACCTCTCTTTTCTTTGAATTACGTTCTCTGGTGAAGTTGTGCACTTCGTTTCCTTTCACAAAAAGCACAGTCATGATGATACTGGGACTGTTGATCCCCATGTTTTTATTCTGTTAGGTTTGCTCTCAACACGTAATGTTGCGCTTCTTCAAGAGAGTTACTACCAGGGCCTAACTTTTAAGCAACATTTTCAAAATGATCCGTATAAATTCCGAGGCAGACTTCATATTTTCAGTCGTCACCTAGGTCGAAGAAAATAATGTAAAACCTCGCTGAATAATAAAAAAAATCAACATTAATAAAAATAATGTGCTACCTCCCGCCCTTAAATACACGAGAAAATATTGCTTAATATGGACTGTCACTTGTATATTAAAAATTCGTAGCAAATAGCTGGGATGCAACTGAGAATTGATGGCGAGAGAGAAAAACATCTTAAGGGTCTAGCGAAGAACAAATGGACTATGGTTGAACTCTCCATGGACACGGATCATTTCGATAAGCCGGATGACATTCATTAATAAATGTATTGCCGGGCAGTTCCTGTGGTTCGACAGTGCGTATTGTAGGGGTTATGTTTGTCAAATAGGCCATGGGTATATGGTGGTTGCTATTAGCTGGATTAATCGGAACACTCTGCGTCGTTCCCGTCGTCCACGACTCATCATGAGGTTGCTTGGCCGGATATTGGTTGTCGGTTGGCGCGAGTTCGTGGGTGCCTTTAGTCGGCTGGCGAATCAGGTCATCCACAGTGACTTTGGAGCGTTTCCATCTGCGGAGAAGCACGACTGCGATCCCCAAAAATAATAGGATGCCTAACACCGAGCCTGTGACCACGCCGGCAATTTCTCTGTCGCTCAACCGCCGTGATTTTGAGAGAATTTGTTCTGAAGACTCTGAAGAAGCTGGAGAGGTAGTAGGAGGAGACGCTGGAGGTTGTGCCGTCTGCGAAGGAACGATGTCATATTTCTTCGCGAATAGAGCTGTGCGGATGGTTGTGGTACTGGTGTCCGCGCTTGCAGTCGCGGCTGGGGGTACAGCAGTCGAAAATTTGCTGTAGCATGGGGTTTGCGTGCCGAGTAAAGTACTAAACACCGACCAGCCGCTAGCACAGAGCTTCTTCAGTATCAATTGGCGAATGGTATTTGGGAAACTTTAAGCTCATACTCACCGTGGGCAGCATGCATTCTCCCCTGCGATCACATAGCCCTGCGGGCATGCCGATAGAGGCGTGTCAGGTGTTCCCTCAAGTGGGCAGCAGTGTTCCGTATTGTCCCTACAGAGAATCTGGGGATAGACAGTTGTATGATGGTTTGAATCTGTTACGGTAACATCTTCAGTTGGCCATGTGCAAGACCCAATAGCAACTCCAGGCCCAAGATCTCTGGATCCCAAGGCTCCAATTCTCTTGTCCATCGAGGTGCTAGATATTCTGGTGATAGAAGTTGATGAAAAAGTTGCAGAGCTTGTGGGTATTAAGGAATGGTCAACAGTCGTAACCGATATTGTTATAGGCCCTGTAATCATAGCTGTGCTGGAATATTCTCTGGTGGCTGCTTCCGCTCTTCGTTGTAACATATGTATGATCTATAACAAGGGGATATCAGGGATTGCTAATAATCGGTAGACCGCATTCACTTTGATATATCCTAGATATTCCAAATGGTGTAATAGCTGTTCCCCGTCGTTAGCTGCAATTTGAAGAGTACCATGTGAGCTTTATAGGGAATTTCATATACACTTACAAGACAGAGCCAGGTTGGATAAGGCTAAATAAAACCAATATATATGTATTGCCACTGTAATATAGTCCACCGCAAGTAGGATAGTCAACTTAGCAGCAAGTTTGCCAGAGGCGGATTTCGTCCCTCACAGATTATTCAAGTGAAAGTAATCGAGAGAGGTGAGATCCTTAAGGATAGTAGGAAGAAACATGCAATCAAATATGTACTTACATCAAATAGTAATTTCGAAATTGCCATGGAAACAGGACTGGTGTAAACGAGCAACAATATAGCTATCATTGTGTGGTAGGAGTTAATCATAACCCACTACTTAGCTGATAAACTCGGGTGGATGCTCCACCATCAGCTCCATCATTGGGGCTCGCCGTTACAAGTAAAAAAGCCAAACGCCAGGGCAATAAATAGGTTAGGCAAAAGGATTGAGGTAGAAGACCTCTGGAAATACAAGCTGCCTGGCCCATTCCGCTTCCGGCTATCGCTCCGCTCTGAGCTCAAAGAATCACGCAGAGAACCTTTGTGGGAGAAAGCCACTGGATTCCAAGGAGACCCCACCCTGTAAACAAACCTTTATTTGTTTATTTATTTATTTATTTATTTTTTGCAAAGAAACATAATGAAAGAGTCTCGAGAAAATTTGCTGGTATATCGCGCGATGGTAGTCATGTTGATATCTAGTGGGGATGAGGTTACCACCAGAGAGTCAATTGTGCCAAATGGCATGGCACACACCAAGGCACTCTAGTCCCCACAACATAGCTGATTTCCGCATCTACCATATGGCAGGGTCTGACATTCTGTCGCATCATACTCATGGCAACGACAGAGCATGAAATAATCGGAAGAGGTCAAAACAAACTTGAATGAATGAAGTTAGCACAACGTTATCAGATTGAGGGATTAGAGTGATAAGCTTATGCGCTAGCTAGTCACATGACAAACCTTAACCGATTTTTTAGTTTTGCAGGTAACAGTGCGGCATCGCTATTTGAACAATGGCTGTGGCATCGTGGGAGAAATGGGGGATTGATGGATTTGAAACGAAAGACATCGATCGCATTGGGGAGGCAGGGCAAGAGTAAGAAAGGACGAACTGAAACGCCTCTGTCGAAGTCGGATCACCCTTACAATGTCTCTGGATTCAAAGAAGTAGCATCCATGAAAATGGATTTGCATCTATACAATTCACAGACGAATAGAGAGATAAACAAACAGAAAAACAAAACAAAACAAAAATCTCAGAAGCAACCCTGCCAAATTGGGCAGCATGTCAGGGAAAACACTCTATGTGACTGTAAGAAACATTCGAAAATGACGCATCATATATAGGGTCGATTGCGGGGCCGCCAACGGATCATTTTAAGCGCGGTAATGGGCACCAAAGTTTTCTGATCTCTTCAACAGGTGCAGTTGGCAGGACCCATATCGCATCAACTCACCTCAATGCTATCATACCTTGCACAAGAGGAAAGAAGAGGGAGGGTAAGAGAAAGATTGAAGCTCGAGGTTCTGAAGCTTGTAGAATAAAAAGGGAAAATGTCCAGATCGACAGATTTCCAAAGCTCAGAACCGCCGCTTGTCAGGGTATCCCGGCTTAAATTTATGCAGGCACGCCCCCAAAGCTGCAAACATTTTCGACAGCGTGCGTACGGAATCTGTCCCAACCAACTCATTGTCCCAATTAATTTGATATCTAAATCGGAAAAAGAGCACGGCTAATTTGCAGCAGTTGGCCCACGGTTCTCAGCGCTCAAACGAATTGTAACACGTTTACCCTTTCGTTACCAATCTGTGGATGGACCTCCAGCCAATGAGAAGCAGCCTCTATAAAATCCCTTGGTTTTTTTTCATCTTCTCCTTCTTTCCTGCCTTGACCGAACCCCTGACGACATCAATTGCAATGGACTCCAACAGTAACGGGCCGGGCTCTTTTGAGTCCGACGAGACCTTCGTTCTCGTAACAGGCACAAACAGGTACGCTTTGAAACAAGCCAGCCAGTTTTCTCCTGTCAATTCGTCCACGCTAATCCACTTTTCTCCACTTGTTCATTCACCTACAGCGGCCTCGGGTTCTCCATCTGTTGTCGCACAATTGACGAATTCCTCACAACGCGCCCAGAATCCAAGTGCCTAACACTTCTCTTTACCACCCGCAGCGCCAAAAAGAGTGCCGAAACCCTCTCCCTCCTCCAAGCACACCTTAATAAATCTGCTGCCAAATACGCAACGTCCAAGAACCGCGTCACGCTCAAACCGGAAAATGTTGACCTGGCCAATTTGCTGTCGGTGCGTGCCTTGTCACGTCGGTTGCGGGCCTCACTCCCGAAGCTGGACGCCGTCATCCTGAACGCTGGTACTGCTGGGTTCACCGGCATCAATCTCTTCAAGGCGTTATATCTTACCTTGACAGACCTCGTGAACACAGTCACATACCCGTCGGCATTTACACTCACCTGTTCAGGGGTTCTCGTCAAAAAACAAACCTCGCAGCCCGATGAGCCTCCGCTGGGAGACATCTTTTGCTCGAATGTGTTTGGACACTACATGCTCAATCATGCATTGATGCCCCTTCTTTCCGCCTCTGAAACCTCCCCGGGTCGCATCATCTGGATATCCAGCATCGAAGCAACAAGCAAAAATTTCGATCTCTCAGACTTCCAAGCGCTCAATACCCGATCCGCCTACCAGGCTTCCAAGCACCTTACGGACGTCCTCGCTCTGACCTCAGAGCACCCCAGCTCTTCGCCGTGGGTTGACACCTTCTTATCCGTGTCGAAAACTACCACTGCTACGAAACTACAGCAGAATGGAACCGCACACCACGCCCCTACCATCTCACGCCCAAAACCGAGCATTTACGTCGCCCACCCAGGCATCTGTGGCACGGCCATCATGCCCCTCATTTTCCCCCTCTTCTACGCCATGATCGCTGTATTCTGGCTCGCCCGCATGTTCGGGTCCCCCTGGCACACTATCTCAACCTACAGTGGCGCCTACGCGCCAGTCTGGCTAGCGCTCTCGCCCAAGCCTGTCTTGGATGCGGCTGAGGATGTCTATGCGCGATTAGGTGGCGGGAAACCAAAATGGGGATCATCCTGTGACAGACTGGGTCGGATAAGCGCCGTGTGTACGGAGGTGGATGGTTGGGGTTATGGCGGCGTGGTTGGTCCTGCTGTGTTGGAGGAGGACAAGAGGCGGAGGAGGAAGGTGGGGGCAAAAGATTTGACGGCTGAGGAG